AAAGGGGAAAAAAAAAAAAAAAAAAAAAAAGACAGAAACCCGACATACCTTCTTGATGCCGCCTGTAGCACTTCGATCCCCGCGCACAGCTGGCACCCGTGGACCATTACTATCAGTAGAGGGCTTCGAGTCGGAGGCCATATCTTCCTTCTTCGACTGTTCCGTCGCTTCATTAGAGATATCATTGGTAGACTCTTCATTGCTCTTTTCATTTTGCGCGGTATCATCCGTTGACTTTGGCCTTGTACCCCCATCACCCCTCCTTGACGCTGAACTCTGCGATCCTCGCCTGCCACCGCGTCCCTTGCCCTTACCACGTCCTCGCCTTTCACCTCCGCGCGACCGTGGAGTATCAGTACGAGGAGGTGGCGTTTGGGTTTCCAATGAGAGCGTTGCGACGTTCTCTTCTAATGCTTGGACCTCCGGCGGGACCTGTGGCTCCGCAGAAACAGGTACAATTTCATCGTCGAAGAGATCGTCGCCGCCACGGGTCTGTGCAAATTCGTCCATGACAGGGGTATCGGCAACAGGATCAGCCATTTTGAGAAGCGATCGGGGAATGCGTGAGTCCAATATATCTTGCCGATAGCGGATGAGAGAGAAGCCCTGCACGCGCTGTCGCGGCGCAAACAATGAGGTCAATGAAAGCGATCCGTGCGAGCTCGCGGGGGGGTTAAAGATCACTACTACTAGTAGCGGGGGCCGGTAGCTAGATACCGAAGAGTACAGAGTAAAGATAATGTCAATCGATATAGTCTCGCAAGAATTCTGCCAACGTACGGTTGGTATAGAAAGTCATTAAGCCATCCCACCGAGTGGAACCCCATGATATGATGCGATAGGGCCCCAGTTCTCAAAGGCGGTCTGTCTGGTGGATCCTTTCATTCTCTTACGAACTACTATGTACTTAGTAAATACTAGGAAATGCACTATATATTTTGGCGAATTAACACATAGACAACAACAAGACACTTTGGCCGAGTGGTTAAGGCGCACGCCTGCTATTAGCTCATGATTCCTCATAGGAGGTTCATGTCTCCCAGCGTGTGGGTTCGCCCGCGTGAGTTCGAATCTCACAGGTGTCGTTCTTTTTTTGTCCTTTTAATTTTGCCTAATTCCCGTTCCCCAGGGAGAAAGAAAATAATTGAGATCTATCTTGTGCTTGATGTGAGAGAGAGAGTACAGTGTATGTATGATATCTGATCACCCTGGACTTTTTCTACCTTTTTTTGTTCTATAATACATATATATATTTTCCAACTCGAAGACGAGCCGTTTACCTGCCGGTGAGTCTAGCTTATATACTCCACATGTCTCTCACTCAACCTTAGAAATATATATTTAACACCCCATAAAAGCATGAGGTGCACATGTCCTCCCTCCCACGCCAAGGTGAACATTGAACAACCCCCTCAACATACTCAAACCAGACAAGCCTCTCAACGTCGCCAGTGTTGTCAAGCCCACACCACGGTGGGTGAGAGGTTGACCCCAGAGTCATTTACTTCTGGAGATGAACTATATATAGCTTGTGCCTCTGGTTTTGAGGGCCATGGCCTCAAAAACCCAATAGTCATCCAGCTGGACGTTTGCTGGCGGCAACAGTCTTCTCGAACTGGATCCCAATGGTCGTACATAACCGGCTAGTGAGAAAAACATTATACGGTCATAGCCTCCTTGCGGTCTGTCGGTAGCCTTTGACGATAGTGTATGTAATATCTCTGCTCCTCCTACATTGGAAGACGTGTTTGTTGGCTTAAATCTTGTTGCCGAGGCACCGGTCTCATGGTCTGATGATATGGCATATAGTCCCTTCCTTAGACTGTATCCATATTTGAAGAGACCATAGTTTTGGATCGAGAATCTTGGTGCTTCAGATAGCTTAAGAATTTCTGTCAATGTTTTATACCAGTTCAAATGGAATGAGTGATTGGGTATTTGTCAGAGATACTAGCGAAAGGTTGACCGGTATATATAGTGGTTTCCATAAGCTGATGTAGTGAGAGATGATATTGGAAGGAGGAAGAAGCTGGGAAGGGATTATATATAGGGTGGCTATTGTACTTATATTCACTGTAAATGAGGGCCTGTAGTGATAGACCGCCATGTTATTCATTGTCGTTGATATAATGAATTATTATTTTCCAAGACGAAGTTTGGCACTGGCTTCTAATGCACCCACCTGCCTACATTGGTGAAGTGATTCCTTCATCAATATAATAATTCCCTCGAATATACAGGAACAAGGGTGAATAGATATGGCTCCCTTCCATGCTAGGATTTCAATGCGTACTAGGCAGTTGAGTGCGATAGAGATTAGCTAACTATCTGGCGGCCAGGAATACAGATTGAATGTTACCAGTAGAGGTCGCGCATAGGGCTGCCCGAAAGGAAACTACAACAAGAACCCCCAGTGTTGAAGCAAAGGGAATTTCAGTTGAACCTAGTGAAACGAAATCTAGGGTGGCTGGTTATGTGATCATGTATCTCGCTCTGGTAGAAGAAAAAAAGACTATCAAGACATGGAATAGCATTGAATGTACGTAGGTACTACGTACAGACTTTAGGAACTCAAACGCACTGCCATGCAGTCTCATCAGTGTAGTCCCCTGGCCCCCTGTATACATTTCTCCGCGGGTAACGGCAATGCTTGCGAGTATACTCTACAGCTGAGCCCGGTCCATCGGTGAACTTGGCACCACGAATGGTCTCCGGGGCGATGCCCTTTTCCACCCACTGAACCATAGCCATGAGAACGTTGCTCTCGGGATCAACCCCGTTATAAGTTCTGAGTTGATTCCCAATACCGTATGCCCCATCGCCCCCGCTGCAATGTGCCATCCCACTGACCTGGAAGAAGCGGTAGAATTCGTCGAGTTCCTCGGGAGGTACGTTCATGGTTTCCGCCACGCGCGCGTAGTAAAGCTTGGAATTTTCCGAGCTGATGAGCTGATCCTGGAGCCCGTGGTAGGTGAGGACCTTGCCACCTGCCTTGCGGAAAGCGGAGATGTCTGCGTCCCAGGTCTGAAGGTTGAAGGGGTTCTGCTTCAAAGCCACGGCAGCATCACTTACTGTGAACTTGGTCCCATCCCATTTGGGGTTTTCGTAGACAACATAGCGGTACCAATCTGTGCTATAGGCAAAGGGCTGACCACTGTACATCATGGAGGCGGCCATCACCTCGGAGCCGGGCTGCATTCGGGGATAGAGCAGGGTGCCGTTCACGCCGTACAGCGGGGATAGAACCTGGCGAACCGTATTGGCTTGCTTCCCACTTAGACAATCGGTGGAATTTTGACCTGGCTTGCAAATTATTGTCTCAAGCACAGGGTAGCAGAGACTTGGATCTTCGATAATACCGTCTTCAGCACCGTCGATCCCATCACACTGACGCACAATTTCCTTATGGGTGATATTCCACAAATCAGGCGATAGATATGTGTCAGATGAAGGTGGCCCAGTGATTGGATAGAAATGGGCACTCCATGACATGAGGTTGATCATATTGAATGCCGGTGCACCGGCCACAACACCGTCAAAATCGTTGGGGTATTTTTGAACGGATTTGAAGCCCTGCCGGCCACCAGTAGAGCAACCAAGGTAATAAGACTTTTTGAATCCTTCATCGTAGAAGAGCTTCGTCAGCTCTTTGCCAATTACGACACCGGTGTGGACAGAGCGATGTACAAAATCTTCGAGGACCTCGGGATGGTGATAGAAAGGTTCGCCGGATGTTCCGTTATGGCCGTTGTTGGCGCCGACTGTCGCAAATCCTAAGCCAGATGAGTATGCCAGATCGCCGTACTGAATACCTGCGAAGCGTCAACGTCAATCGCTATGCAATCTCACTGCGGTGTCTAGTAGAACATACAGCCCGAAAGGCCTCCGTTGCCTATACTCAGGAAGCGACCGGTGTAGTTTCTTGGGAGCCATGCTTCGAGCGTGAGTTCGCTGCTGTTCGAAGTTGCGACAGCCATAGCAATCCGACAGATATCCTCAGTCACTGACTGAGAATTTGCATGGCAACTGGTTGGGTTATCTGGCAGAGAGAGGTTGGTACCTCCAGGTACGTAATCCACGAAGTTCACCCGTACATTGGGCAATTTGATTTTAGTTGCAAAACTTGTACACTTATCTTGAAACACATCCTGGCCTGCCAGAACAGCAGAGCCCGCAGTAAGTATAGGTAGAAGTAGGCGAAGTGAAGGCATACTGACTTGGTGTGGTTTTTACTCTGCAGTGAACTAGATGGCTTTATATAGCTATCTCGGGCATCCTGAACTCTGCTGATGGTATGCCTATCGCGAATAAGCTTCTTCATGTGTGGGTGCATATGACGGTCGGTACGTGAAGAGTAAACTATATCCCGTGTCCTAGGGCTTCTCCGAGGTTTGGCCGGAGGTATAAAGTAAGAGGTCCATATTTTCTCCTCATAGCCATTACTCGATCCTTTCATTAAATGTCTGGCTCGTATACCCAATGACGCGAGATTCTATGTTTACTTCTGATAGGTCTTATACAAGGGTATTTGAGTCAATTTCAATGGGCACTGAAAACGGCCGAATTCGACTGTGTTTTCAGAGAATAGCAATCTATGCGTCTGGGTAGCAGTATACCAGAAGCTGCATGCTGACGTGACTATCTTGATAATCATTGCGGATCTGGAAAAGCCGACATTAGGGTGAAACTTCCGGCAGCGTTTGAGTCGACAGGTCATCGTGTCCCTTAAATGAGTGTCTCCACGGAGTAGAGCCGGGGATCGTCGTATGGGTTTCCCCACAGAATGCCGAGAATTCTTCTCGTCACTCCGCAAAATGCCTCCGCAAAAATTCGCTTACCTGAAGGGCTTGAGGTTCGGCAGTTAAACAGAAGTTAATACAGTGATCGGGCATTCCCCTCGGCACCGGCCTTTGAATTGTGGAAGTGAAGCGGCACATTTCATGCATAATTTTGAGCAACATAGACGGTGCCTACTTTTGTTAGAATGACCGACTGCAATATGTTGTTCCTCTTTTCGGTCACTGTTAATCCGAAAACAAAGGGACTTTACATGTTCTATGAAGGACCGTAGCATGGGTTACTGCATGGCAAACAATGTGTTGCCGAGGCTTGGTCGGGACACATTGTATGGATTGCTGCCGAAAACAATTCGGTTGCCGACATGATTGCCGAGTCTGGCCTTGATTGATAGCTTAATACTTGGCTAGCTCACCTATCACTCATTGTGCAATAGGGAACGTGTGTATGGGAAGAGTCAAGAGCAGATTGACGCGGCGAGTACATGAAGGACTTCGATTAGTCATTGGCCTTGTTATCTATGAAGAAAATACTGAAAGTAATAGAATAATGGGGAAAAGTAGAGGGAAAAAACAGAAACGTGCGCCTCATAAGTGGGTGTTCGATCAAGAACAGCACCCGCACCCCTTCCGCCAAGCGGACGGTGCAATTGTGAATAAATGGCGCAATAAGATAGAGCTTAAAGACATATACAAGCCATATGATAGATATAAAGAATTAATTCCTCATTAACTTCGTCATCGTAACGGTCATGGACACATTATAGTATCCTTTTCATCATGAGGTGGGCTTAGAACAGCACGGTTAGTTGTATGAATCCACACGGGACCTGGATTCGGTACTCACTGACACCAATAACAAGCATTACTAGGGCAAACTTTATGTGGTGAGATGCTATGAGACTCAAAAGAAGACCGAAAACTGTCCACGAAGAGTATGTGCTGAAAAGAGTTCCTAGCGTAGGGGAGTCTTTATATAGAGCTGTTGTTTCTTCGATCATCACCTGTAAATTAGCCGTAGTTGTGGCTGCTTTGTCAATTAGAGCTTGTGAGATCCGTATACTTGTTTGCAACTTCTCCTGTAACCTTGACTGGATATCGAGATTCTCGGACTGTTGCAGTTGCGCTTTGTGTAAATCTTCCGCTTTCAACTGGAATTCTTTCAATGATGTCTCGAAGGTTCGCAGGCGCTTTTGATGGTTAGATCATGTTTATAGTCCAGGAACATCACTCACATCAGATATACTAAGTTCTTGCTCCGATAGGAGCCCGAACCTCCCAGAGAGCCATTCCTGTACAGTACAGTCAGCATTGGCCGTCTTGTTGAAACAGGCCCACCTGCCAAAGAAGCATCAAAAGCTTCGACATTATGAAACAACCTAGCCATGTCTTCTTGTACGAGAGACTCCAATTTCGACCGAAGCGACAAGGCGAGTTCGTTATGTGACATAGCATTTTGCTGATGTGCTAGTGTAATTTGCTCGTTTCGGGACAGCACCTCGTCTAGAAGATCTCGGAAAGTGTATTGCAGCTTAGTAACCTCAGCGGACACATTTTGGATATTCTATTAATCATTAGATATGTTGTACCGAAGGGCAGTTGTAGTAGTACCTTATCTAGAGCTGTCGCTTGGTCCTGGACACTCCCGAGCATTGAGGCAACAGTGTTGACAATTGAAACGGCTCCGGTTTCAATGTTATAAAACACTTTCTCGAATACTGACTTGAATTGCGACTGTGTTTTTTCTATGTCGTGAATAAGCCTGGCATTCAAAATATCTATCTCTCGTACGAAAGCTCTGTGCTGAGAAGATTCCGCGGCAGCCGTCTGCAAGGCTTCTTGAAGGCCTTGATTGAGTTTGTTAGAGCTCTTGACTACTGACCTGTAGAGATTCAGAAGCTCTTGCTTTTCGTTCTCGATTCTTGTGGCCTGACATATTAAGAAAGCGTTTTGCCTACTGTTGCTATAAGATGTCCACCACTGCGGTCGTGATTCAAGCGACTTAAGGCAGGATTCCAGCAACTGGTTCGGGATTGAGTCCATGACATTGACTGGAACCTTACTCTTCGCAGAGAAACCAAATATGCCTTTCTTCTGTGGTGGTGGAATGGTTACTGGAAGACAAGCAGGAGGGATAGATGTCCCGGCGCCGTTGAGTTCGCAGATGGCAAGTCTTGCCGCATACAAAGATCGAGTATGTTCCAATAGCAAATAAGTTTCCGTATCTATATTGGATGTCTTTTCCCCAATCGACTGACAAGATGTGACTAGCCTTGAGGCTGCGAGTCGGTTGCAGGAAGGGGCCGACCTCATTGACTCTAGCAACTGAACTGCCTCTGTGAACACCGCATCGTGTTGCGAAGGTTTCGAGTTTAAAAAAGAGACTAGGTCAGCTTCCTCGAAGGAATCGTTCTTGCGTACTAAAAGGTCTTAGCTCGATTAGTATGATCGAGATTATATTTTTCCGTGTCACATACCGCTTGTCGGGCCTTCAGCGTCACAAAGGACTGAGAACAGTAGCAAAAATGGAAGCAGGATGTGCGTAATAAGAGCCATATTTAAAGATGAACCAGTTATCTTTTTCAATGATACCAGCATCATAGTTTTCTGGGGCATCAGTGCACTATTTAGTAGAGTAAACGGGTTGCTTAGGAGAGATGATAGTTCCTTGCTTTGCTGCAACGCAACAAATGACGCGTGTGTAAAGACAGTTGGCTAAAAGTGAGGTCGTATAGTCATTAATGGCGTGGAAGGAATATGTTCAAGCTGTAGATTGGAAGCTTGAGAAACTTGTAGAGTATAGATAAGTTGGGATATAGAAAGAGACATGAAGAAAGGGAGATTATAACATAGGACAGAGCGAACGAAACAATTTCTCACAACAAACAAGACAGAAGCACCACGACGGCTCTCGTCTGAAGATTTGTTACATATTATATCATAGATCTCTCTGAAAAGAATAGTGGAGGATGAATCGAAGCCTCGATGTATACAACGGTGATGATCACGTGTACGACAGGCGCTAACCAAATTAGGATAGCAGGGCCTCTTGCCAAAATCAAAGTCGGCATCGGAGGTCCAAAGTACTTGTCTTCAGGCAACAAGCCGCAATTATCACCATGTCGAGTTCCTTGACGCAGAGCTGTTTCAGGCAGCTTTCCCGGAGCCCTTTGAGGCAGGGTTATTTGCCCATTTTTCTAGCACCTGCCTTTTCACATTCTCAACGGACACAATCGTTTTCTACCACCTCACCAACGCAATCTCGAGTCGGCGGCGCCGCGATCTCCGTACCCCCGGAAGTCTCCCTTAAATTCATTGACTTACCCCAGACACAAGTGAGAGGAAGAGCGAAGGATATTCCAAAGACTGCAATTGAAGTCAAAGGACCTTTGGGTATGGCACGGTCTTGCGTTCTTTAGATCTAAGGTGGACAGTTCGGCTCATGTATCTATCACAGGTGAATTGACACTGAAAATCCCCCCATTTTTGGAAGTTGCACATGATGAGGCCCTTCGGAAAGCGACTCTCTCTGTTCAGGATTCCTCGATTGCGCATCAGCGTGCTATGTGGGGTGCGTATAATACTTTGAGTGCCATATACTGATGTCTTCCTAACAATTCTATCTTTTAGGAACCACTCGCGCACATTTGCAGAACTATATCCTAGGAGTGTCGGAAGGCCACGTCTGCATCCTCAGTCTGGTTGGTGTTGGTTACAGAGCCGCTGTCGAATCTACGGCAACTACAGTCGAACCTGAATACCCCGGCCAGCAATTCGTCTCCCTCAAGGTTGGATACTCGCACCCGATTGAATTGGGCGTCCCACAGGGTGTCAAAGCAAGCACTCCACAGCCAACGCGTATTCTGCTGGAGGGTGTTAATAAGGACATTGTGACGAAGTTTGCGGCTGAGATTAGGGAATGGCGTAAGCCAGAGCCGTACAAGGGTAAGGGTATCTTCATCAACGGGGAGACAATCAAACTCAAGGCCAAGAAGATTCGGTAGATCCAGCGCCTTTGGTTTTGGGAAGAGGAACATTGTTTACGTTTTACTGTACATGTATATCCAAGCATATTTTGTTTGTCTGCGATTGGTATCCATTTATGTACTTCTAGACGCATCTAGCGTGTGCAATCCGACAAAATTCGTTACAAATTGTTTTGGTCATAACACAAGCTCATTCGGCTTTTCACAGCTTCAGGACAACCTTGACAGAATCAATCACCTGGCCCTGAAGGGCCTTGGGCGCGGCGACAACGCCCTTGTTGGCAGCTAAAGTCCGACCCTTAGTGAAATCCAATTGCTGACCGTAGATGTCCGTTACTTGGCCACCAGCTTCACGCACGATCAGATCGCCTGCGGCATGATCCCAGATTTTCTCTTGGTAGTCTTTCTTTACAGGGAGACGCAAATAGATGTCTCCAGCACCTCTGGCAATAGAGCAGTACTTCGCCTGAGAGTCCAGTCGCACGCTCGGGGAGGTAATGCCAAGACGCTGGGCAACAGCAGCATTGTCGCCCTGAGCCGAGTGGGCAGCCTCCACCCCTTCGCAGAAGATAGCCTGGGAGATGTCGGGTACGGGACGCATAGAGATAGACTTGCTCTCAGCAAGAGCACCGTTCTTCAGAGGCCGGCTAATGGAACCGGCGCCCTTGACAGCTGAGAAAAGGACACCATAGCCAGCACCGCTGTTCTGGCCAGCACCAATTGATGCAGACATCGTATCGGAGTCGTTAATAGGCAGGTTAGGGCAGCCAATTGCTCCAACCTTGACGTCGCCATCCTCAATCAAACCAAGACAGACGGCATATTGGCCACCACGAAGGAATCCCTTAGTGCCGTCAATGGGGTCCAAAGCCCAGATGCGACCCTTCGGACCCCCCGCACTCTTGCCTTGATCGATAATGTCCAGCATTTCTTCTTCACTCGGCAACTGGCCCCCAAGGAGCTTATCACTTTCACTGTCCTCCAGTTTGATATCCTTAACCAATCTCCAGATTTCTGCGCTCAGCGCCTTATCTTCACGGAGAGAGCTGGCCTCCTCTTCGGCGACGATCTCATCATTTGGGAAGTTCTTGCGTATCGCTTGAATAATTAAAGCCTGGGCACCAAAGTCACCGATTGTCACGGGCGACTTGTCATCTTTCGATACAGTGCCCTTGGCCTTTTCGTTAAAGACCTTTTGTGTAAGCAGAGTAGCTCGCTGGACTGCAAGCTCAGCGATGTGGCGTTCCTGTTGATAAGACATCGTTGTGACTTGGGAATAGGGGTGTGTAGAAGTAAGTAAGTGGGGGAAAAAGGAAGTGAGATGGTGGCGGCTTTTTAAGACTATGCTGATTCCCAGGAGGAGAGTGGAGCAGAGAACTAGACGGGAGAGCAACCGTCGCGGTTGGCGAATTGAGAGACGGTCTGCCGATTTCGCAGACCGGAGACCCATTGATTAGGGGGAAGAAGTACGTAAGATGCTGCCCAGCAGCAATTAAAGGCTATCCTTAAGTGATTCTGTGTGGGATGTATTGTGTGCACAGCGAAGGAGAGGTCGATTCGCCATTTACCCCAACTTGTCTCACATCGCGATCCTCGCCCCAGGCAACTAGGCATTCAAATCTTTCCCCGCCCTAGACCCTATTAGGCCATGGGCGAGGGGCAGTCACGAGATTGGTCCCTATCGCACGTCCCATGACGTCGGAGGCAGCAAAGAACAATCCTCCTCGGCTTGGTGTGTTTCTGCAGAGCCAAAAGGCTATAACTGGCCTCATCAACGGTTGCTCTGAGCCTGAACTGATCGTCAGGTAACCGTGCGTCGGGCTGAATAACTAGCGCCAAGACGAAGCGATAGCCTCCTTACTGGGTCTGCTACCACATCACTGTTCAGCTATTCTTTGGCTTTCCTCACGTATCACAAGGGGGACTTCCGCTTCGGGAATTGAGATCATCGAGGGCTATATACTTGTGGGATATTTTTCCAAGGCGAAAGGCGTTTTGCTTGACTAGACTGCACGTTGGTTTATAAAATCTGGATCTGCGGGTTCGGGCTGCCATCAGTCTGGGATATTTGTTTCTAAAGACATAGGGTGAATCGGGGAAACTCTTTACGACTCGAATATCATCATGTTTCATTCATCGGTAAGTTCAGTTTGTTCATATATCTACGTCTGAACCTCATGCGATGAGTCTCCATACAACCCGACCCTGTTCGGATACCCCATAATATGGAGTGAATGGACCATATGGATCCTGACGCTAACATTGTCGAACTAACGCTTCTCTATAGAAACCATATTCGGCCGTGTCTGTGCAGATTGAGGTCCTAACTAGTGAACAATATGATGTTGAAGACTCTAGTGGCATCGTTGATCTCATTGAAGCCGTAATGATACAGGGCAGTGGCCCGACCGAAGCAAGCCGCGCCCTGCGTAAGAAGCTGTCAGTTATATGTCCAATCAATCTCAAATAGGTTTCTGTTCCTAATTGGCCTCTAGTAAATATGGAAACCTGCACCGCCAATTAAGAGCTCTCACTATCCTCGACTTCCTGATCCAAAATTCTGGAGACCGCTTTTTACGGGAATTTGCTGATGAACCCCTACTGGAACGGTTGCGAATTGCTGCTACGGACCCTGTTTCTGATCCTCAGGTCAAAGAAAAATGCAAGCAACTCTTTGGACAATGGGCCGTGTCCTATAAGAACACGCCCGGCATGGAGCGGGTGACAGCTCTCTATAAGCAATTACCAAAACGCAAGCAGCCGGCCAACCAGGCCAAAGCCAAGGTTCTCCGGGACACTGGCACTTCCGACGAGCCTCCAATGGGTCATACTGTATCGATCTCTGCGGGCAATGGACCAGCCACAGTTCTTAGTGGCCCCAAGCACAAGCATACCTCCAGCAAATCACTCAAAAAGGAAAAGAAAGAGAAGAAAGTTCGAGATAAGAACTTCAGTCTTGAAAGGGAGAAACCAGAAATGTTGCAGACACTCGCATCTGCATCTGTCGCAAGCACAAATCTCCTAAATGCACTAAAGCTGGTCAATAGAGAAACTCAACGGGTAAGCGAGGATGCAGAGGTCCTCAATCGGTTCGAAAAGTGCAAGCAACTCAGGCGTCAGATTCTTCGTTATATCCAACATGTAGAAAGCGAGGAATTTCTTGGTAGTCTCATACACGCTAACGAGGAACTTGTCACCGCCCTCATGGCGTTCGAAGTCTTAGACAAGAGTGTGGATTACGACAGCGATAGCGATCAGGATGTGCTTGAGTCTGGCTGGAGTCCTGACCGCGATGATCTCCAGGAGTCATTTGCGGGGCTTGTTGTTAACCCTCCAAGGCCACCACGGCCCGTTCGGCCAATGTCTATATCTATCCCCTCATCTTCGAAGCAGCGGGTGTATCGCAGTGATAGTGAGTCAGCAACAGACGAAGACGATGATGAGGATAACCCATTTGGCGATCGCAATGCCATTCGTACGCCCAATATTGAAATGTCCCAACCCATCTGGTATGTTACTTTGTTCCCCCAAGCTTTTGACTTGTTTCTTCACTAATGTCTTACAGGAAAGAAGTTTAGATTGGGCGCAGCATGTCTTACTTTCTACCCTTCTTTCAATTTATAACCGTGGAGCTTTGCATTACCCATTAACGGAGTTACGTGCCCGATGATAATGCTATTAAAGATTGATCACGACGTTGCTTGCTTGGAGTACGACCTATGACTGAAATGGCGGTGTTTTTTTCTCTCTTTTTCTTTTTTTCTCTTTCTTAGTATGCTTCGGATGTATGACTAAATATGAGGAATACTACTATACCAATAAACTGCCGTTTTTTCCATAGCAGAATCCTTCGGATGTCCACTAGAATAACCAACTGCCATAAGGAGGCAATATATCCGAACCGAGAACACAACCCGCATCCTATATCGGACTTCAACATACCACTAAGCACTATGACTAAATCATCCCAACCCCCTTATTGAGCATGCTACCGACTCAAGGGGTCTTTTGATCGTTATCAACGCTCATGTGAAAATTGATCACTGACACACCCTAACGGAGCTGTAGGATGTCTCCCACTCAGCCTGCGTCAAGTCCCGCAATCCGGTCTGGGAATCCTCGGGGAGAATCAGCGACGGAACAAACACCGCTCCTCGAAGAACAATACCCCAATGCGACTACTGATTCTCAGGAACACCAAGCCCTTCTAGAACAGGAACCCACGACAAAAGAAGTGATCGTAATATTAGGAAGTGTGTGGGTGGGTGTCTTCTTGGCCGCCTTAGGTATGCTATGACAACCGTATATGTTTGAGGAACCTCGGAGGGAAGCTGACTCTTATAGATACGACTATCGTTGCCACGCTAACCGGACCTATCTCGTCGTCGTTCCACTCATTCTCGCTACTTTCCTGGTTGGCGACCGGGTATCTCATTGCCAATGCCGCCTTCCAACCGCTGAGCGGACGGCTGACTGACATCTTCGGTCGACGTGCTGGCCTGATATTCTCCAATGTCTTCTTCGCGGCTGGCAACTTGATATGCGGTGTGGCCAAAAGTGAGGGCACCATGGTTCTAGGCCGTGTTATTGCAGGGATTGGGGGAGGTGGCCTCAACACCATTGCAACGTTTGTCGCTTCCGACTTGGTGCCTCTCAGGAAGCGTGGAGTGTGGCAAGGTATCGGTAATATCTGCTACGGAGCCGGAGGTGGACTGGGCGGCGTGTTCGGGGGGTGGATTAATGACACGCTGGGATGGCGGTGGGCTTTCCTCATCCAGGTCCCGTTTATCGTAGTTTCAGGCATTCTAGTTGCCGTCAAGCTGAACTTGCCTACAAAGCAATCCGGGACGGCTAAATTGAAACGAGTTGACTTCCTCGGGGTGATCACGTTGGTCATCACGCTCGTTCTCTTCCTTCTTGGGCTTAATACGGGTGGGAACCAGCTTCCTTGGACACATCCTTTGGTTATCACGACCCTGCCTCTCTCCGCTGTGAGCTTGATGATTTTCGTTTATATCGAAGCGAACATCGCGCCTGAGCCCATCATTCCTGTTCGATTACTGCTTGACCGGACCGTCTTTTCTGCTTGCCTTACGAACTGGTTAGTCGTCATGGCAGTGTATGGCTTTATTTTCTACTTGCCGCTGTTGTTTCAGGTCCAGGGCTCGTCCGCAACGGCTGCAGGCGTAAAGTTGATTCCCCAGGCAATTGGAACATCGTTGGGTTCATTGGGGTCAGGGATACTGATGCGCGCCAGTGGCAAGTACAAGTTGTACAACTTTGTATCCGTGTCCCTCCTCACCATCTCGAATGCTCTTACCTGTACCCTAACCCTCACCTCCCCTGCTTGGTTGCCTTTCATTTACTTCTTTCTCATGGGGATTGCCTATGGCGCGATTCTCACTGTCACTCTCATTGCACTTGTGTCCGCCGTTGACCATGAGCATCATGCCGTGGTCACGTCGGCATCGTACGCATTCCGCAGTACAGGAAGCACGATTGGCATCACCATTGCTTCTGCGGTGTTCCAGAATACCTTGAAATCCGGACTCTGGGCCCGGTTTGGTGATCGGGATGATGCCAAGAAGTTAATCCCCCGAATCAGGGACAGTCTTGATGAACTTCGGACGCTGCCTCCCGACTGGAAACCGGGAGTTTTGGCGACGTATATGGAGTCTTTACGGGCTGTGTTCCTTACATTACTAGGACTCAGTATCTTAGGAGCGTTGGTCAGTTTGGCTATGCGTGAACACAAATTGCATACGAATCTGGCGCGAGCAGAGTCGCAGGACGCCGATAGAGACGTCGAATAATAAGGTATTATGTATGAGTAGGTAGTTTTGAAGATAGATGAGAGTCTTTGTTCTTTCTTTCGAGTTATCATTTGGGAGCTAAAACTTAATATAATAAAGTATAACCAGCCCTCCTACCTAATATGGACTACGATGATGTGGTTCTCGGAGTCAGACAGACATCATCCCATCCAATCTAAATCCCCCAAGGCAGCCAATCACCGCCCACAGGCCCATACGCAACCTCAGGCAGACCCGCCAATCAGCACTAATGCCTTGCAAACGAGGCCGCCGCCAGTAGCCGTTTAAGATTGTCAAATGATATCCATGACCTCCTTCTCTCTGAACACTTCCCGGTTTCAACCAACTTTTCTTTCCCTCTCCCCCGACTGAAGGAAGAAAGGAAGGAGATTACTGTCGCAGAAAAAGTACCCACGGACTCTATTAATTTCCCCCACTGTGATTGGCCCTACTTCTAGTAGTACGGCCGAGCGGAAGCCAATAACTGGTGGCGTTAAGAGATCCATCCGTGAAGAAAGACGTGGCGGCGCCCACTCAAAGAAGCGGACAAACTCAACTTTCAAGATTCACGCTTAAGCTCCATCTTCATGCCTTGAACAGCCATCCACCCACACCGTTTCTCCACTGATCAGACCACCAATCCTCTAACACGTATTGGACCGAAATAGGATACTTGCATGGACCTCACTCCCCTGTCCGCCGTTGGAGGAGTGGTTGGGCGCAAGTGAGGTGATCCATTCTCATAACACACGGCGGGTCAGGGCAACCCTATTGTTCCTTTTCCCTCCCTTTTTTTTCCCTTATCGACGATTTAATTCCGGTTTTCGCCAATAAATACTATAGAGTATCTCAGTCTACTCTTAGCTCTCGACGACACGCACCTCCCCTAATCGAAAAACGTCAATACCGTTTCTTCTGGACCCTAATCCGCTTACAGTTCTTTTTTCTGCTATGGCAGTTGACTTACAAGCAGATTACCCATTCTGTGCTGTCACAAAGGCTCCCTTGCCAACTGAAATGGAGGTTGATGGAGGAGAGGGAGGCAAAGTGATCGTAAACAAAGAACATTCCTCAATATCGTCACACGAACTACCGAATAATGATGTTGCCTCGCCGGAACGCCGCCGGAAACGCTTACTGCTATCCACGGAAAGCGCGTTCGTCGACAATGTGCTCTCATCCCTCGTTCAACATCCTGACATCGAGTTGCGGCTAATTACGGACGAACCATCCGCGCTTCTCTCCGGTGCGAACAAGGTTCCCCACTATATGGACACGGTAGATACTCAGACTTTTGAGAAGAAGACGGGTGCTCGGAGATGGCTGAAGGCTAAGGCTGCGGAGCTTTGCGAATGGGCGGATATGCTACTAGTTGCTCCCATAGATGCTGGAACGCTGGGATCGATGCTGTATGGCCTGACCAATACATTAACCCTTGCACTTCTTCGTGGTTGGATATCTACCAAGCCTGTCGTCCTTATACCGGGTATGACTGTTTCAGAATGGCATCACCCGTTGAACACTAGACAGCTCAGGGAAGTAGACCAATATTGGCCTTGGGTGAGCGTGGTTACGCCTGTTCTGATGAAGTCCAATAACCCTGAGGAGCTCGTGCAGCTTCCTTGGGGTGGTTTGAAAGAACTTCATGATACAATCGAAAAGACCTTAGGCTTGTCTTTTTCTCATCATCTAACTGAACCCAATCAGCCATCCGAAATTTCGAAAATTGCTTCTTTAGGAGAGAAAGCATCTACAAGTGTGGGTGCTACGGCTTCACGACATACTGTGTATCGGTCAGATAAAGGCGCACGGTCTCTACCAATGGAATTGTGGCTAAATGTCTTCGAGGACCACCTACGAGACTGGGAAATCGCAAAGGCGGTTGGTATTCCGACAAATCTCCCGGTTCCTAAGGAATGGCAGAGCCATCTCCTCAAGATGTCGGCTCCTGCCTCCTTGGAGTATACAATTCTCCGGGGTTCCTCTGCTGCGATCAAGAAACGCATCGACAGTTTGCCACGGTGGAAGCCACTTTCTGATCTCGCTTGCCACCTAATCTTCAAATTCTCACGAACCGACATTCTTTCCTACCTTACAGAGCACCACCTTGACCTTCTGTGGACAACATCTCGTCTTACTAATTTACCATACCGTGCATCTGCAATCTACGGAAATCCTAACATCCTAACTTGGTGGCGCGATGCTCCCGCTCTTCCTACTAAGGAGCATAAAGCCGACGCAATGGACGGTGCGTCTCGTGCTGGATTTATCAGCGTTCTCGAATGGTGGCGCACCTCTGGCCTCGAACTTCGATACACTGAACGTGCGCTCGAATCGGCCAGCGCGGAAGGCCGCATAGGCGTTTTAGACTGGTGGAAGAACGCTTCAGTAAATGCATCCCCATCGAACCCCATCCCTCTCAAAGTTGGCAAATCCGTTCTCCTAGCCGCCCAATCCGGTCGTACTGCTTCCCTCGCCTGGTGGGACGCCTCTGGCATACCATACAGCCATGCCGAATCAGTCGCCCGCATTGCCAGTACACATGGCCATGTTCACGTGCTCGATTTCTGGTACCGACTCAAAGGTGCTAAGATGATCTTCGATTCGCAGGTCCTTGTCGGACCCACAAAGAACGGACACGACAATGTCCTTGAATGGTGGCGACGGAGCGGTCTCCGCGTCGAGTTCAAGACATGTGATATTGAAGAGGCCCTCGAAGACGCGGATCCCTCGTCTGGCGCCGAAGAAAGAGTCCGGCGGTGGTGGGCTCGCAATGGGCTCAATCTGGGCGTGGGGACAAGCGAATGGATGAAAACAAAAGTGTTGTGATTGTACTTGTTAGGGATCTTTCCCCCTCTTCTTTCCGCTTTGTATATTTGGTTTGATTCAAATTTCTGTTGTTAAAAATACCCCCCATCTGGCTTTGCGGATTACGGAGCATAACTGGTTACGCATATTATATAGACATAGTTCACATTACCGAATGAGTTTGCCCGGAATATTCTGGTCTTATTAACTTCGTAATAGTATCAGATTAAATGGAATAAAGATAGGTGTATGCGCTAAGCACTTGTGATAGTCGTGCTTAGGCGTATAAGGATATATGTAGGTATGTTCTCTAGGAAAGCATTTTCTATGATTCATGCTCTCCACGTTGGACGCTTTGGCCAAAGCTTGGTACGTAAAACCCACACAGATAATAGTTGCTGTACATAACTATTGCATAGACCCATACCTACAATCTTGATTGATATATATGTAAGATTGGACGGAAACGAAGAGGGGATATTTGCCCTGATCTGTTCATAAAAATAGTTCTATTAGAAAGATCTCGAGTGCAAGTCTCAGTTTGTGTTTTGCTGTGGATAATTTCAAGTCATCTTCCATATACGATAAATCTATTTAAGTGCTCATGATTATGGAAAGCAAATGCAAGTTAGATTGACAGACTTCCATCCTACCCCTATGAATCAAAACATTAACATATTGCAATGTAAGGTCCCATTTGTCTCCGTCGCTCACTACAGCAAGGACAGGTGTAGGACCTCTCCTTAGTAATAGGACGATCCATTTGTCACTCGAAGAAACAGTTAGGACAGAGTTATCTCGCAGCCCTTCGATTATGCGTTAAATACCAAAGAAGGTCTGCAGCAAAACCGTCCGTGTCTTCAAGTACGGTTTGAAAGTCTTCACTCTCCAGCAGCTTTAAAACATGCTCATGAGAGGCGCGCACGATAATATCACGGAGACTTCTGTCTTCCTTGTAAATACGCTTGTATGCCTCTGAAATGGCCGTGGGAAAGTCATCCGTTTGCCAGCATACCTTCACTATGTTCTCGAATTTCTCTTTCGCTCTCTTCTGTGGCAATGCAAATTTGTCCGCTATCTGATACACCCTGACATTATATAGCATTGGGGAAACTCGACCATGGTCGCTACCGCTGCTGTCATACTCGATTCCGTACATGAAGTGGATCATCCGCTTTCACGGCACGGGGGTCATCTTCTTTGAGTTGTATGGTATTCTCAACGGTTTCCTATCCCATGGATGAACGGCTCATTTGCCAAATGATACTTCTTGTACGGTGAAGCCTTTACCGTCCAGTCGCCCTTGAACAACCGGGAGAAATATTCAGACTGTCCGCATATCACCCGTCGGGGGAAAGGAAAGACCACGACTAACTTCTTGAGACCAGAAGTCAAATCCCCCCAATTTCATGACCAGGGCTCCCATCTTGAGAAAGGACCACTTCATTCTTTTCGCCGTCTATAGGCTTCGCGCTACTGTGAGAGTGATTCTAGGCTGATTCTGCTCTCAGCTGGGATTATTCTTTGCCACGAGGCCTGTGATACCTTGAGGAATGCTTCGGCTAAATAGTTGAGGTAGCAATTGCAGCGCTGCGCATGTTTATTCTGGCTTGTTCATAATATCTTCGTATAGAGGGCGATTCACTTCCGCTTCTACCCTCTCCATAATTACAGCTAACTATGTAATTATACTCTTAAATCTCAGGAAAACGGCGCTGGTACTAGGTGATACCATGTATACTGGAGTTTTGTCGTGCCTTGATTTTACCTATATAGGAGCCCTAACGCCGTTGAGGTAGGGCATAAATGGGGTTATACCCTTTCAGGTAGTAGAAAAAATACTGTAAACTTAAGAAGATAACAGCAGGAGTCCCAGTTCTCGCTGTTTTATAAGCTGCGAAATTGGTTTTGTATATATTCTTTAGTAACGTGGATAAAGTTGAAGTTTTGAAGTCTAAGGGTTAGATTTCACCTGCCTCTTTGCGCGTACAGGAAAGAGCCGCGGTTCACTTTATGGCCTACTGGACGGAGTGTGAAAGGACAGAGATAGAAACATTGTGATAATTCTGAAAGTAATCTAGCATTTGTAATAGAGTGAATAGTATTCTGATAGGCTCCACTTTGGGGGGTACTAGAACAATAGATCTCTCGGAGACTTTTCCTCTCTGATATTGTATGGTCTCCTGAGAGTCCGCGTACTATTCAAGCTAAAGGAGGGAGGTATCTGGTTATGTAGGGTAATAGGCTGATAGAGTGGAAAAGGAGTCGACTGTATCTTACTGCGGTGGAGCTTCTCTAGAATCCTCCATTACATTTTCAATATTGCGGTACACCCGCAAGTTAAAAGGGGTAGGGGGAATAAATTGGTGTTAATTTGGGTAAGAAGACAGGTATTGCTTTGTATATACATCTTCGATGATATTGAAGCAAAGTCGTACATGCGTATCTCATCCTAAAACAGGCTAGGGAAATGGTAGCACCGCAAGAACAAGGAACTGATGTTACTTGCAGAAATCGAACCGATCGTGATCAACCCCTGACAAATAATAGGATTTCCTCAGGGCGAAAGTAGATACCGATCCCCTTAACGGAACGAGCTAGGTCCTCTAGGACCCCACAGTCTTGTTCAGACTCGTCGGTAAGCGCCGAGACTAGTGTATCGATAAATCTCAACCAAGGGTGAAGAAGGGTGGGGAGGGGAGTCGCCAATAAATTGAATCTACGACATCTCATTTCATGGTCAATCGAGCAGGTGACACAAGGATTCCAGGAACCCTATTGTATGTGAAATTAGTCATTTGAAACAATCTGTCTTTGACGAACGTCTGACTCGTAATCTGGCCGGGTCTCTTTCGGGAGAACATTGTACTTGATTAGCTCCAGCACAGCCACTGGAAAATAGATGGGCCCCGTCGAGATCGACAGCAAGAGCTGGAACAAATGACGGGAAATGGACTGAGTGGGTCTGTCATGGTCCTCTATCGTGGAGGTGATAGAGTAAAATGAAGCATTGGAAAGGAGAATCATCCGAAGCGAGGTTCCCCCAGTTTGAATGAGAATATGAAAAAAAGGAGAGGGAGAAAATGAAAGGAAAGGAAAACAAGAAAAAGGAAACAAGAAAAAGGATGGTCAGATCACGGACTCCAGCGTCACGTGGAGGAAGACCATCACAGTTGCTTTATTAGTTTCTTAATTGACGCCTATTGTCCCATCTCTCTTTCCTCCCCGTTGTTTCCTCTCCCTCTTCTTGTTCTTCTTCTTCTCCTCATCAGATAACCCTACATCATCTTCTCACTCATCCTGACTATCTCGCCGGTATCGTCCGTTATCCGTCTCTTTCTATATAGCTTTACTATTACTCTTAACGTTTTGGATCGTCACAATGGGTGGTGTCCGTAAGTTACAACGCGTATGGGTTCTTGGCAATGATATTGTTATTCTAACGGCCGCGAAGCACTGAACACCTTCAAACAGATTAAGGAAGGTCTCAAATCGATCTTCAAGAGGAAGAAGAAGGGTGATAAGACCAAGACCGGCACTGCGGAACAACCGCAGGATACATCTGCAGAGACCGCCGCTCCTGGTGCTGAGGGTACCACCGAGTCTAGCACTACCACCCAGGAGGCGCCAGCTCCGGCCCCAGAATCCCATGGTATATCCCAGCCAGCTCCCACGGCAGCGGCTGCGCCAGGTTCAGAGGCCTCTGGCATCTCCCCAGGCACCTCAATACCAGAGCAAGGGACACACCATCATGAAGCACCTGCCCCGGTACCCTTGCCGCAAATCCCACCTATAGAGACAACGACGGAATCTACTCCCGCTGCTCCCTCCGAGTCAGTCGCCGGCCCCGCTGAGCCCGCGAAACGTGAGTTTGCACGATGCAACGCTAGCCTGACCACGCTAACCATCATACATAGCCGAGGCTAAATAAGCCATTATACTTCCCGGTTGCTATAATGTGCGACTGATATGTTTCCCTTCTTGCTGGAACTCCAGCCCTATATGCATTGTTCTTTATCACTTTTCCATTTCGCTTCGCATACCCCGGCATCGTCTGCTTTTCCATCCTGTGCTTGTGTCATTGTTCGTGTCGCTCGTATAATACCCCCTGTGTCTTCTTCAAATTGTGGTTTCATTGAAGACTTCTTTGTAATACAGGCCATGCGCCGGTCATCATTACCATTCTATGTTAGTCCTTGGGCCGAGTTGCGCCTTCATGGTATCATATTGTTAAGCGGAATAGAAAACTATTCATCATAGTCATCAGCGGACTCAAAAAAAGGGTATCATGAACTAGAGCAAAGGCTATCAGAAAGCACACCAATGGGAATACATCAGTCACTTCCCTCCTGCGAGAAAGCATCATCCCCCTCAACGGCAGGCGTATCTTGAACTTTCCCCAAGGCTGCGGCAGTGGCAGCTTTCATTTCCCTTGCCTTCTGTCTCCGCTTAATCTTCCGCTCTCTGTTCTTGCGGTTCCGTTTCTCAGCCTCCGTTTCCTTGGCCTGCTCCGCCGCGGCAAGGCGTTTGCGAAGCTGGAGCCGTCGCTTTTTGCCTGGCTTCTTCCAAGACTTGGGATCTCTGTCATGAGGCTCGGTAACGAAAATGGCAGTCGTAGGATCCTCTGAACGTCGAGGCAATTTCGTCTGATGCCTTTTCAAACGAGTCACCCGCCATGGTAGGTCACATCCAGGCTAATATATTACATTAGCCCAAACCTCAAACCCCCTTCGTATTAACAAGAGGAACAACATACCCAAGGAACCTTTGCCCACTCCCCCATCTGTTGTCCGCTAACAGCCACCTCCTCGAACTGTTTCCGCCGCAGCGCAACCTTCGGATCATCCTCCTTCGACCCAGAAAGCAGCCCCGGCGCAGAAAAGTAATAATCCCACCCCCGAAACGGATTCACGAATCGCCCATCATGTAGACCCCCCGCACCAGGCGTTGGAGACCGTAGCCGGATTCGCAACTTCTGAGTCCCTGTCGTAGCGCCCTCATCTTTTTTCTTCTCACCCGTAGCATCATCTTGCGCAGTAGCATTCCGAACCGGCGCGCTGAATAGTCGGAACTCAAACTCTTGCTCTTCTTCTTCTTCCTCCTTTATGTTCTCGGCATTGGGTCCTTGAGTATCTGTCTGTTCCGAAGGTTGTTCTGGTTGAAGCAGGGAATCCAAATCCAGCAATTCACCTAGTCGCTCATATCCACTGGTAAATGTTTCTTCGGGTTGAGGCGATGGAGATCGTGAGGAGGACGGAGAGAGAAGTTCATTGCGACGGACGCTAGTGTTTGATTGTAGTGTTAGCTGGTTTATTCGATTGGATAATTATGCATGGATGCACTCGGTTTCAAGGACAGGAGCCCGTACGCACCGTTTTGCGTTCGGAAGGTCGAACATATTAGTTAATTAATTGGTGGCAGTCATGGGATTGAGAAATTTGGTTGAGAGAAATTTGGTGGTTGGGTGGTGTGTGAGGATTTAGTGCGGATGAGAAAATTGGAAGATGGTGGAGGTGACAGACAGAGTGGGTTGTTTCCACGGATTTGGTGATGGTGCGGCCACGGCCCGGAGGTTCCACTTTTTTTTTACGACTTCATACTCCGTCGCTATATTAGAGCCACTTTGTAGGGAACTCGTATCTCCATGTACGGGACACTAGGTATGATGTTGAATTAGTGTTGGGATGTGGATAACTATGAGAAGTATTATGATGGCATGCAGCGGGGCCTTTGGTATGGATATTTACTACTTGGTTGGCTGGTTTTAACTACAGTCAATATATGAATATGAAGGATGTCTCTGATGGCCTTCATTCTTATACTTCATGAATTGTTGCATTCGTTAGAAAGGTGTTCTCGTGGCTTATACGCATACTAATCAGCCAATCCACTATAAACAGCGACTAGACACAGCGACCGCCGTCAACCTAGATACAACGATTAGTATTGTCGACAAGGGGAGACAACACGTAGTCGATTACACCTACCTCCAAGTCCACTCCAGTGATAAACTCCGCCTCATCACTTGCAAGGAAGCTGCAGGCATTGGCAACATCCACCGGAGTACTAGGACGTCCTAAGGGGACGGTGGACACAAACGCCGCCCGATTTTCTTCTGTGTCTGGCTTTCCAAGAAACAGATGCGTCCTGAATCGAGACTCACATGAGCACCAAGTTCCACAGATGCATGTAAGAAAAAAAGGTAAGAAAAAGAGAAGAGTTCTTACATTCCAGTACTACCAACGACAGGGCAAACGCAGTTGAACCGGATCTTCTTCGGGCCATACTCAACGGCCATTGTTTTGGTCGCAGTGCATACAGCCGCCTTGGACGCATTATACCAAGTCAGGCCGGGGCGCGGACGAAGAGCAGCAGTGGAAGAAACCTGCACAAAGCATCCGGGGTGGTTATTCTGCTCGAAATAAGGCACGATGACGTTCGCGGAGAGATAGATCGACTTCACGTTGACATTCATGCATAAGTCAAAGTCGGCATCGGTGACTTGGCCTGTGGGTTTATTGGAGTAGGTTGCTCCGGCATTGTTGACTACGATATCGAGCTTGCCGTATGTGTCCAGTGCGGTTTGAAGCAATGTCCGCCAGGATTCTCGGCTGGTCACGTCTGCGAAGACGAACTTGCTGCTTAGCTCTGTCGCTACCTTTTCGCCGTTCTCCTTGGATAACTCGGCGATGATTACTTTGGCGCCCTCTTCAACAAACTTCTTTGCGATACCGTGACCGAAGCCTGAGCCTGCTCCTGTCACGATGGCTACTTTACCTTCTAGACGTCCAGGCATGGTTGCGATAGAGAAAGAAGAGGCTGTAAAGTGGGAACTAGGGATATAGAGGCGAAAGAAGGGAGATAGACAACTTGTTTTGGAGTAAAGTTCCGAGAGATGGAGAGGAGCTTTAACGTTTCCATGCTGCGGGGTTGGTAGCAGTCATAGGTATTAAATCCCGTATTTTGTTGATTGGAGATCATTTCTGTCAACAGATGCTCCACACGGCTGAGGAATGGACCAATGTTAATTCTAAACCAGGTACTGTGTTTCTGCGGGACTCGTGTCTAGTGGACTATGTTGAGTACTAGTACTAGTACTACTTACTGTATGCTAAATGTTTGGATTGACGGAATGGGATTGAATTGAATGGCGTCGGAGTAAAACGCACGGACCAATTAATTGCTGGTGTCCACCCGAAGGGAACTCCCAATTTAATTCCATCCAAAAAGCCCCATGCGCAACTTCGCCAAACAAAGATACAAAATATTCAAGAGAATTCTCCGATAGACCACTTCAGCATCACCGGTTGATGCCTGTCGCTGTACTTCCGATATCAGCATCCCACTCGTTTACTTTCCCTGTCCTTCCTGTTCGCACTTCTCCCGCCAGTTCCAATTGAAACGCATCGTCCTCCGTAACCCCCCCGTCTTGTCCCTTCGTTTCCCAACTGAACTTCACACCCTGTTGACATTGGTATAAATGGGTGTCTGTGCATCGTGCCTGGGACTTGGTCGCCGGGATAGTCAGGACGTAAGTCTCTGCTGCAGAGATGGATAGATCATGCGACCCGGGTGGCTGGGCTGGTCGCAAATGTCTCCCATCGCTAACTGGCGGCGCAAACAGTCCGAGTCTTCTCAGCGTTTACTTGACGATGATATCTACCAATCTGGTTATGGATATGGCGCGCTAAACAACGCCAATCAAGCCAATCACCCCGATACCGGATACTTGAGGCGTGAACGAGAAGCGCTCGAAGCGATCTGTCAACGAACGTCAGAGTAAGTGGGCGTTCTCTTGGTGGATGTGCCAGGTGGAATTGTGTGGGCAGTCATGCTAAATTTACAAAACCAATCCAGCTCGGTCATCGATATCTGGTCCCTCCAGACCCAATCCCATCTACAACCTCGAGCCACCCTCCGCGGCCCTGTGTCACCAGCTTCCTCTCGAGCCGGCCCCAAAGACGATGTCCCCGTACGAGTAACCACCACTCCCCCAGCGTCAGAAGCTGGTACCTCCGCCCAGAAGCCAGGCTCACCGAACCCCGGTACTGTTCCAAAACATTGGGGTGAAGTGGTTATCAACCCGCGCAAGGGCAAGTCGCCGCAGCCCGATGATAATGCCCGCGATGTTTTCGGCGTTCTGAAGGTTACCTAGGCCTGGGTGGACAAGGGACGATGTGACGATCGATACTTGGGGTGATTCCATTATTCTCTTCTTCTTCTTCTCTCTCTCTCTCGCATAGGTCGCCGGTCGACGGTCGATGTCTTTCTCTCTTTTCTAATCTCTCCTTGTCACACTCTGTCTTTGTTTTCTTCATTTTCTTTTCTTTCCCCTTCCCCGCCCCCCCCTTTTTCTCCCCCTAGAGTTACCGTTCTAATACCCTGGCTACTTTTCTTTTTCTTTTCCTTTTTCTTCATACGTCTCAGTCCTTTAATCTCTGCGTTGCGGTCCTTTTGTATGGCATGTTGGTTTGGGTTACATGTTACTTCTCTTTTGCTCCTTACGTTTCGTTGAAATACAACAAAATACGCAGGATGTCTCATTTGTGTCAAAATGGTGGTTCGTGCTTTTTTTGGTTCATGCGTTGGCTATGGAGACCTCCCATGTCCTATTACATCAAAGGGCATGACCAAGCTCCTCCTAGGATAGATTCATGTTGTATTTGTATTATTGCTATAAACCCGAAGGGGTGAACATATGAACAGCATAAACAGGCATGTCTGCCCTGGTATGCATAACCCGGGCGCGCGAACCTCTGAAAGAAACAACCAAAATAGCATGACGTTGTATCCGAGTAGAGAGGAAAGAGAAGGGGGGACTTCCGGACGGGAGATGGTTCGACAGCTCCCCAGCTCAGCGATGCGTTGTTCGTGGGTCCGATCCTTGACTCTGTCTTCGCAGTCGCCGTAGTCAGTTGCGCCATGAACGTCAGAACCCCACCCTAAAACGCCACGTCCCTAAACCCAATGAAACGATGAAAAGGAAATGACCCTGCCGATGCGAGGTAGTCGTGCTCATAATGCCCAATACCGAGATCTGGAACGATCATCGAAAGAGATAAAAGGTGGAAAGAAGACGAAGAAGGGAAACAAAATGATACATTTAGACGTCGTCCATTGTACCAACCGGTTCTTCCCCGCCCGATTCGTAGCTGCCTGCGGAACTTAATTCATCTTCGGACTCTGTGTCTTCTCCGGCATCGTCCACCGCCTCTTTACTAGCGTACTTTGCCACATATTCTGAGACTATGAGTACATGATGAATTCCAAATGGTATAAGTGGATGACCTACCCTTCACCTTTGCGTCGTAACTCTTAGGTTCCCTCATCAGCATCGCGGCTGCTTCGCCGTTTAATGGGTCCGAGGGGTTCGGATAGCGCAGGAGTTGTGGAAGGAAGACCTCGAAGATGTTGAGCATGTCGTACATCGGCGACCATGTTTGGTTGATGACGTCCAGGCAAACGGACCCCGAACTAAATTACCCATGTATCAGAGAAAATCATGGTAGACGAACGACGGGTAGTTGCCTTACAGCTCATCGATGTTGGGGTGAAAGATCCGATTTACGAAACCAATGCTTGGGCTCTTGTAGGGATACTGATCAGGTAGCTCGACGTGAATCTTCCAGTGACCACCGGCAAAAGGTGCTGGGTTGCTGTGAGTAAATCGATGTAGGCCGCCAAGTATAGAGTGTACATACTTTCCTCAGGGCCCTTGAAGCGGACATAGAATTCTTGCCTGTCAACAACCTCATGGTAAGCATCTATGCCTTAGCTTGTCCATTCCGGGGAGGAAAGTGGCACATACACTATTAACAGTAGTTAGCCTAGGGAGTCCGGTGGCAAAGATAAGCGACACTTACTATTGTCGTTGACCAGAGTTACCTCATAGTCACTCATCAACCTAAAACTCCGTCAACATCCCTCATTTTATAACACCATCTCCGTGTATTCTTTGTGATTTGCATATTTATCCGTGATATCCGTTCGAAGGGAGGGTGATGGAGACTAGGAATGGGAGGAGCGCGTACATCCTGCTCAGAGTCAGCTATAGATCAACGAGTGAAGTATCCAAGTCGGAATATCATACTTCATAACCTATACATAGGAGAAAAAGTCCGTCAGTTAGCCTTCATTTTTCTTTTGACAGTGATGCCTTTATGCCCTAATTTACTCACATCTGTCTCGATTCTCCGCTTTGGACTACTCATTTTGAAAGTATTACTAGACGATTTGACACGATCTGAACGTTGACCGTCCGATAAGCGTGCGGTAAGCGTTCAAATATCGAATTTCTCGGGATTGTCGTGCTCGAAATAGTCCGCAGGATTGAAGCGGGGAAGTAAATGAACGAGCGGGGCGGATGGACTGAGGGATGTAGAATAGGGTGGATAAGTAAGGTTGAAGATAGAGGGTTATGTTACGTGAGGGTGCGAGGGTGGTAATTGAAAAGAAAACCGAGTACGCTATGGAAGGAAGCGAAGAGAGAGGGCGTATTTAAGGGAAGACAGGCGGGGAGATTGAAAGAGTAGAGTGGCAGCCAGTACTATTAAGTAGTATGAGTGGACGATCGATGATGGCACCACGAATGCCTGGACCCGCAGGCCGAAAATTGGTCAGTCACTCGCCGCCGGTCATGTGCCAGACGGCCACTCATGACCATGACTCAGCGTGTTCCTTGGGATTGTATGCATTCCGTACCTAAGGCACTAAGCAACAGGCTGCATTATGTCGCCTGCAGATGCGATCAGGTAGCAAGGTCATCTGGTGAGTGGATCGGGTAGACCTGTACTCTACATGTAACCCAAAATACGCACCATACAATTGTAGAAACCATACCTGTATCCGAATGGAAGCCCGATTACTTAGGCATTCTCTCATGATACAGACCTGTTTGAACCGAACACAGTATTGGTTGAGAAGTCAAACCATTCCAAGCTTATCCATGGTAGAGTTGATAGCGTATTTCGTCCAAACACTAGTGGTACGGCGTTATTGAACGGAGGTCCAGCTAATGATCTGCGGACTGCGAAACGGATCTCTTTTAGGGTTGGACTCCGCAGGACATCGCCCCTGTCGTGTCTTGATTGGTTCGACCTGGGCGATGACTGCCTGAGGCGTCCCGACGTCGTTTGGGTCTCCATTTGACTTAATCAACATCAACATCAACACTTCTCCCCGTCACCGCTATTATTATTGCAATCCTATCTTCACCTTCATAATCCTATTCGCTTCAACAACAAGGGGCTCCACTAACTAAACCATCCAACTTAGGAGCCCTTCCTCATCGTTTTTCTTTAATCATAATGGACCCCTCTTCTTCTCAGAACCCCGCCACCCAGAATTCCCCGAAACAGACACAGAATCCGTCCGGAGGCTCACGGATGAATATTAGCCATCGACCAGCCAGTCGGAAGCTAAGTCCAGACTCTTCGTCCAATAATAGGAATGCCCCTATTCCTGACGATGAGCACGGGGCAGATTTGCCCCTGACTATGTCCGCTTCGATGGTGCTAACTAGTCTCCCGCGCGATGCTCACCAAGCCCTGGCGGATGCGGAGGCCGTGGATACGGGGAAAGGTAAGCGCGATCTGTAGACCACTTAATTGTAACACCATTTCGGGTTTAAAAGACGGTAGCCAATGTGTTCATGATATTTGGGCCTTCCGGTCCTTTGAATCCGGGCTACTATCTATACCAAGTCCTCGTAAATACAAAGCATTTCCACATCTAACTCCTTAGCAGTTACAGTCCGTTTCCAGCCTCTAGCTTCAGCGCCCATACTGAAAAACAAAGTTTTCAAAATCAGTGCCTCGCAGAAATTTGAGACGGTCGTCAAATTTCTCAGAAAGAAGTTAGAATGCAAGGAGACGGACTCTGTCTTCTGCTATGTGAATAGTGTCTTCGCTCCTGGGCTAGATGAGGGCGTCGGAGGCTTATGGAGAGTAAGTTTATGACTTTTACTCCTTACACTTCTACTCTCTTCGATACTTTTAGGAATGATTTCAACTGTTGAATTAACATGTATCGTGTAGTGCTTTAAAGTTGACGAGCAATTAATTGTATCATACTCTATGACGCCTGCGTTCGGATGACGAGTTTGTAATGACCCTTGCCAACACACTGGGTTATGGTTATAACTTATGTCTAACGCGACGATCCCGAAAGTCATTTCAATGGAAAAGCTGATTGGGATTGAAATTTTTCAAAAATGAGCGGGAACATAGAGAACAGCCAGCTGGAATCTCCAACAACTAAACAGTCATGACAACATTGATGAGGTATCACAAAAAAACCATGCAGGCCATGAGAAATGCAAGCTATAATGTTCCAACGTCAGGAACAACAGATGCAACAGAAACCCCCCAGTACTTATAGATGGAAAGAGAATGTGGTCATCTATCAATTATCTAGTTTGTCAACTGTTTTCTCAAACTCCGCCAGCTCCTCCTTGGGGATGGGATAGGTGTACTCTTCCGAGGGATACGCCCGGGTCTTTACTTCATCGTGATATTGTTGGATGCCTTTGATGGCTTCACCCCAGACATCGGCGTACTTTTTAACGAACTTCGGGAGGAATCGACCGGGAGGGAAATTTCCAGTCATGTCAATCTGAACAAGAACTTGTCCGGAACACCCATTACCCGCCCCGATGCCGATTGTCGGGACGCGAAGTTTATTCGTGATAATTGAGGCGATTTCGGCAGGCACTGCTTCAAGAACCATCATAAAAGCTCCGGCTTCCTGCACAGCTAGAGCATCTTTCAAAAGCTTGAGAGCCCCGGCGGTAGATTTGCCTTGGACCCTGAAGCCTCCCAGGGCATTCTGGCGCTGAGGAGTGAGACCAATGTGACCGACGACAGGGATTCCAGCCTGCGTAATACGTTTGATTGTCGGCGCCATCTCCTCACCCCCTTCAAGCTTAATACCTTGCATACGGCCCTCCTTGATAATGCGAATAGCCGACTGCAAACCCTGTTCCGGAGACACCTCGTACGAACCCATCGGAAGATCCGCAATCTAGATATTCTCATAATCGTTAGTCAACAAGCAAGCCTAGTGGGGACTCTAATCCACGAACCGTGAAAGAACTCTTAGCAGCCCGCGCCACACTCCTGCAGTGCAGCAGCATCTCTTCCATGACCACCTCACTAGTATCCTCCATACCCAGAGCAACCATAGCCAAACTATCCCCGACTAAGATCATCTCCATCCCAGCAGCCTCCGCAACATGACCGCTGGGGAAATCATGGGCAGTAAGCATAGTAATCGGCTCGCCCTTCTTGTGTAGATTCCGTAATGTCTGTAGCGTCACCTTCTTCCTGGGGTTCACTGGCGCAGCCCCCAAGGGCGAATGGGAACTCTGTCGAATTGACTGTGCACATGGCGTCGGGGCACGGCTTACAACGGCCAAAAAAGGCGCAATCATCGAAGAATTCCCAGATCGAGCGACCATATTCCTTGTAACAGACCGCAGTGGCAGCATCAATTGAGCTGCAGTTCTAGAAGATGCCATGTTTGCAATGTGTAGAAGTACAAACGCAACTGATACAGAGTAATCGGGGACAATGATAAAAGGACAGGAGAGTGGTCCAGGTCCAGTGTAAACCAGAAAGAGGCAAAAAAAAAACACGGAACCAAAAGCGCCAATTCAATGTCTGGAATATTCAACCACGTATGGCGTCACTGCCCGTCAGAGAAGGGTTTCTATAAAAAGAGAAAGAAAATAAAGGGCAAAAAACAAAGAGATTTGCCTGCCCCCTCTATGTCCGGAGTGTTTATGTATGTACTACTCAGTAGGTCGGAAAAGTAGTAGACCAATCTGAGCCAAGAAAAAAGTGTCAATACTAGTATGGTTGTTCCTCGCCATTTTCACCGAGGCCCGTCGTTTATATAAAAGAGGACGTGCTGGTTTATGCGGCGTAGTCCGCAGAATCCCCAGACTTTGTTCCATTCTGCCGGATTTAGGGCTTGAGTTTTGTCAACTTTTGGTGGCGTACCCTCTGTACCGATTGGTTGGCGGAATGCAGGCTCCATATGTTCTTCCGCCGGATATTCAACTTCTTCCGGACCGAGTTTCACGGGAGGACCGAGGCTGTTTGGATGAGGTTTATTATTTTGTGATTTCCTACAGCAGAAAGCGTACGCAGGTCCCCCAAAAACATGAACTATGAAGGCAATACATTTCATTTATTGACCCGAGGACCACATAAGTCTAACATTAATGTTCGGGTCTAGCTTGGTCAAGCACTAGATAAAAAGTAGTAGGCTATGCCAGCTACCTAATGATACTCACGAGAAAGGAAAACTCCACCTCCACCTCAGGGCGTTCAACCCTTTCCGCCATGCAACCCCGTGAACGCATCCTCCCATTTGGCGCGACAAAAGAAAAGAGAACAAAGGAAAATGGTGTATAAAGAAGAAGAGGGTCAATAATTAATGAATCAGATGAATACCAATGCAATATTTCCTTCCGAGACAGCATGAAGTCTCTCGATGCGATGCATGTACTGAATGGTGAATGCTGTAGGGTAAATTAAGAAACAAAAAACTCCATGTCACCTACCTCCACGCCATTCACTCCTATCCATTTTTTTTCTTTTCTTCTTTTGCTTTCCCTTTGTTATCATGGTTTCCAAAGGTGGTCGCTGACAAGGCCGTTAGCTGTCGTTCGTCATCAAGTCCACAAGACAACAGTGATAATGCAGGTGACAATCCAAGGACGCCGGCCGAGTGAAAATGCAATCGACTATAAGATACAACAGACAGAAATCGCAAAAAAAAAAAAGAAGAAAGAAGAAATATGACAGTGAAAAAAAAGAAGCTCATTGAGGTTATAATGATGGAGAATGAGTGACGTGAAGCCAATATCAATCAATGCCAGTCGCTGCTCGGAGGGCAAATGATAGGAGGGCAAATTGCTTGTATGCAACTGTTACTAATATCGGACCTTTCAACTGCAAGAAACGGATTCAGCGTGGCCGAGGAAGCAATAGAGTTGCTTTGTACATGTACTTCGTTTTGGTTTGTTGAAGCCTAAGCACAGTAAGATACGCTAAGCATATTCATATTCATCCTTCAGTGGCCGCTGTAACTGAAAAAGTAACGAGTCTAATTCTGCCCAGTTTGCGGTGTTCATTGCAAACTTGCGGTGTTTCCTAGTCATGATATGCTGCAACACAAGTTAATACTTTGCTACCTATTCACTCCTGATAGCGACTTACCTCGTCAAAGTCGTCAAATTTATCCCTGCAATTCTCGCAGTAGCCTGGTTTCGGATCCCTCCTCCTCTCCTTTTTCTTTTGACAGGTAACTTTTCGCAAACTGTTTCGCTGTTTGCCAGCATCATTGCTCTCCGACTGGGTGGTTTCCTCCTCAATCACGTTTCCAAGTTTCTCAGGGGGATCTAACTTGCACTGTCGGTTGCCGTGGCTCTTCGTCATCTTAAGCGCTGTCGACATGTCCGCAGCGCGGTATGATAAAGGCCCCGTGCCAGTTGAGAGCCCTCCATTGCTTTTCTCCAGGACTTTTCGCTTTAATTCATGGACCTCTTTGCTGATACCAGCCTTTGCGCCAGGCGCCGCGGCAGTAGACGACACCATCTGGGAACGGATAGCAGAGGTGATATTTGATGGCTGCATACCAGACGCTGCAGGTTCACGACCACCAGTATAGAAACGTCCACCACAGTTGAGTGGAGGAGGAACAAAGCTTTCGGAGCTCTTTCTTGGTGATATCGGTCGAGTTGGCTGTATCTCCTGCATTTCTGGTTGCTTGGAATGAGACACAGCCTCTTCATGAATACTTGGAGGACTGTGCTCTTTTTTCGGTGCACGATCAGCTACCTTCTCAATGACATATTCGGGGGCGTTTGGTCTGGGGGCCTGTGTCTCTTGGGCTGGCTTGGAAGCAACTGTTTTCTGTTTCTCTTGACGGGGCCGTTGCCGTTCCAGATCTTTCTTCGTGAGAGGTTCGTCGATGAATGGGCATTTCCCCAGTGGAGCACTTCTGAATTGCGGCCAGATACCGTCTTGCCGTCTTACGACTTTTGGGTACTCTCGAACCATAACAGGCCTCGTCTTTTCGTCCATGTCGTGAACATAGATGAATGGACCTTTGAACATGACCAGATCCTTTAATACGGATAGAGGGTTACGATCGGAGGAGCCATTGAGCTCGTTTTGAAGAACTTGGGAAAGGTCTGCCTCGCCTCTGCCCCGAGAGTGTCCACCACCGGCATGATTATTGCGGGTTGAATGGCCACCGTGACCACCAATATCTCCATCATTGATCGTGGCAATCATTCGCTGGAGTTTCTCAATGGCCCATATTTTCATTCCCATCTGACGAGCTCTATGCAAGACATCCATATTGCTCTGCTCACGTCGTGCTTCATTCTTCAGTGACATATGGAGGTGTGCATCGGGATTCTTCTCGAGTAATGAAGGGTTCACGGTCTGTGGGGCGCCATCTGCAGTAGTCTGGTCTACTGATACCGCATTAGCCTCCGCTGGGCTTGTCACGTCAGTTTCCGGCGGTATAGGGCGCGACGTAACAACGTGCGTCACTAAACGCGAAAAGAATTTTTCCTCACGCTATGAATTATTGTTAGTATTGTGATAGACAGCTACGCATGAAGTGATGGGCCTAGTGACCACACCAGCTAGAACATTCCCTCCCTTCTCTTGTGGCCGCAGCGCAAGGTGGAGTCACGATGAGCAGAGAACAAGGTAGGTCCACTTACGGCTCCCAATGCAAGAACTTGTCGCGAACACTTGCTGCGCAGCTCCTCCGGAATACTGTCAAAATAAAAGACAAATTGGGGGAAGGCCTTCCGATAATGTCTTTGCCATTGCCTTATGGAATCGATGGTTTCCGCGGATGGTCTCTCATGTCTCGATGCTCTAAGCTGAGGCTGTCTTTCTTTATCCCTTACAGCGACCAGCTTTCTCTCGAAAGCACTTGGTTGAGTATTATTCGGACGACGTGCGAACAACTTGGAATCCGGATTTTGAAAAGAAGGTCTGGTACGGGTTGGTGACCGAGCATCCCCTTCAACCCCATCAACTACCTGCTTCTTGGGCGGTGGTTGGCCATAAGAAATATCTAGTGGTGCATGTGTCGTTCGAGGGCGTTTGGCAGGCACGAGGCCCGCCCTATGGGGGGAGTTAGTAGCATTCGGCACGTTTGCGAGTGGTCGGCGAGTCGACATGTTCAGAGAGGTCTGCGGCGAAGGTGGTATGAATACTGCTGCCATATGGTAACAATACACGAAGCAGAGTAAGAGTTTATTAGCTGTTGGTCAAGATGCCCGTAAAAGAGGGGTACTCCAGGCCCAGCACGCGATGAACTACACGTCTCGAAGACTGAATTACAAAGACGCCATTGTTCACACGAGATAAGACACCAATGGGGTAGGGAGCGTGGCGGTTGAAGGTTAAGACAAGACGAAGACCTGTTTCCTCTGAGAGGAGATGATTGACAGGTACCGTCAAGTCAAAAGGACATGGGAGGGTGGAGTGGAGGTTCGAGGTGAAAAGAGGCTGTAAAGTGATGGGAGTGGAAGAGGATTAAGCGTGTCAGGGAAGGTTAGTGGAGCCCGTACGGTACGGGCAGTTTGTTTTGGCTTGCTCGGGATGTGCGCCGGACAACCAACAGGGCGTCGCGCGAGGTATGAAAACCTCGCTGAAGTATTCCATAAATTCATATCATTCAAATTTCTCTTTCCCCACCGTGCTTTTTCTTTTCTTTTCTTTTTTTTTTTTTAAAGCCCCTTCCAGCATTGGCATGAACCTCGTAGAATTTGAATGAGTTGTCTCCAACTCTTCTCCGGCTTGCTTTTGTGTTTAGTTTTCTCTAGTTAGTGGTGTATCAGATCGTAATTTAATCTTTCGGAGGGGTTTCTTTACAAGCATTTACCCCAAAAATGGGCCAAAGGTAAGAGCAGCTATTTTCATACTCTACAACTCCCCTTTATGCTAGGTCACTCCTATGGTACATACATTCATATACAGTGGGTATCTATCCAGTACAGTTTCCTACTCACTTTATCCCCGAAGGGCTTCGATATCGTCAACCTACAAATATGGAATGTTAGCATAGGACTTGTGTTAACTCAGCCATGCGACCAACAAGAAGGCACAATAACAAAGAAATCCAGAGAGGTCAAAGTGTAGATCTTACTTCCTTCACTGCCTCGGTGGTAAGCACAATAGGATTCTCGTCCCCAACACAGACGCTGTCCTCGATACGGATTCCGATGCCCCGGAACTTCTCAGGAAATCTGTCACTGTCGGGAACGTAAATACCGCTTGAAGCAATTAGCAGGGGGAGGAAAAGTGGCAGGAGTCAAGCACATACGGCTCGATAGTAATACATTGGCTGGCCTTCAAGTTATAACCACGAGAATAACCGGGACAGTCATGGACGTCCAGCCCTACGTAGTGGCCCAAATGGTGAGGGAACAGAATCCCCATTGTCTATATACGTCAATATCAATTTGAGCAATACAAAAACCAGGGAACCTTACACTTCCTGAAACATCAAACCCGAGCTGTTGCAGCTCATCTCGAAGACCGTTCTCTGCGATTGTGTGCAGTTTGTCCAGAGAAACGTTTGCGTTCTCCCTGCAAAGGGACACACAAGTACGCTGCACGTTTAAAACTGCATTATACAAGTCGCGCTGAGGATCGGAGAACTTGCCGTTAACGGGCCAGGTTCTCGTAATGTCAGAGATGTAAGTTCCCATTTCCTATTGAGCGGTAAGCATGAGTTACAGTCCACAGATTCAAGATATACGTACTCCACCCCCATCGACCAGTACCATGTCTCCATCCCTAAGTAGTCATATGTCAGCCAATTTCGAACGAAATGGAAGGCATTTGATGTATTACCTCAAGACGTCATCATTTCTCGTGTAATGGATGCTTAAAGCATTCTAGAGGGTATTAGTCTCGCTCTACTAAGTCACCAAACGGCACATACAGAACCGCCAGCAACAACAGGCACAAAGGCACTTGTGTCGCAGCCCTTTACTTTGAGATTGTACTCCAAAAATGATGTTAGGTCCTTCTCTCGGGTAAACGTTTGCCTCATGGATTCCGTGAAAGCTCTTCCAGAAGCCTGGCCGACTCGACGCAACTGCACAACTTCGTCCTCGCTCTTGAACACTCTCATTTCATTCAAGATGTGTCGTAACGGCTTGACCTTACTGTGGTCAACGATCTTTTTCAGCTGCTCAGATGTACCGGAGGGTCCGTATAGGTATCGATGCAAGGAGGATCTACCCGGATTAAATGCCGGGATGTCCGTAAAGATCTCCGTAGCACCAGAAAGAATAGGGGGGAGTATATCCCCAATGCGTTCTATATCACCTGTCTAGAATTGGAACATCAGCTATGCCCTAAAGAATAGTAGGAAGTGTAGTTATTTTACTTCATCAGCATTAAAGACATCAATTGCAGCGCGCGTGCCTGATCGAGCTCCATCCCAAAGCTCAGCTTTCGCATCTTTCTCCCGCACATAGAGGTGAAAAAGGTGATTATCTCCGGAGCCATCATTTCCTACAATCATATGAGTCTTACTATTATAGCCTCATTTAGGAATGTAGCACTTACCAATTATAGCCAGCGCATTGGGTTCATCAAAACCTATTCAATGGAAGAACAGTAAGTCTTTATTCCTCATCCAAACACGATCATCACCAACCTGTGAGGTAAAAGAAGTTGGAGTCTTGTCGGTATTCGTTAAAGATACCCGACGCGCGATATGTGACCTCCGCAGCGCTCAACACCGCAATTGCATGTTTTGGTAGTCGGTTTGCGAGTCGCGAACGACGATGAGCATACTCGAGCGCAGTGATCCCAGGTGTTACTTATTCAAGAGTCAATACTTCTGGCCAGTGCTCCTAATATTTGTCATATACACACGTTCTCCAGGATTGAGTATATGAGGATGTGTCTCGTGTAATGGTTGGCCGAATTTAAGATCTGCGGCGGAGATAGAGGCGTATGCGCGACGAAGGGTTGGGCGTGACTGGAGCGCCGGACGGTTAACGCTTTTAAGGGAGATGCGCGACGTGGAACAGCGTAGGCGACGAGGCCATTGGCGGGTGAATAATGTGCATGTCGACATGCTTGCTGGATTGTCTTTGAGAGCAGCTGATTCCAAACAGCCTGAAATTCAGGTTTATCTGGTTCAGGTAAAGTCATCGCCCAGCACACTCGGTCAGAAGCTCCGACGCCCTTTCAGTGGGTCCATGATGCCTTAGGCCTCCACAGCACTATATCTCGGTGCGTTTAGCCAATCATTCTCCAGTAATTTAACATCTCTCCTCTACATGTCCTCCCCAGTCCAGAGATAGATTGCGATGCTCAATAAGAATTCGCCGACAGCTTATCTCGGATCAGTGTATCCTATTGCGCTGGGAACATGGCTCGTATCGGTATAAAAGCACGTCATCTCTCGGCGATAGTTCAAGTTCTCCCCCATGCGCTAGGCGGAGAGACTTTAAATATATCTAACTCCCGTGGTGTATAAACGAAGACCTTCAACCCCAGAAGCCTTTATTACAAATATCCTGCAAAATGGGACGAACACTGACATACCCCAAGCGGTCCTCCAACACTGTCAATCGCTATAAACACCGAGGTAAGGTTCAGGAAATATATATTACGGCGTTCTTATACTAAGATTCCTCTAGCTACTTATGATCTAAAAGCAATCCATTCCATCATCAATTCAAGCCAGGTTCTCCATGTATCTTTTTCACCTGGACCCTCCGATCCTTTCCCGGCAATCTTGCCCATGATCGGGCAGATGGGATCGTTCGACTACCCATCGGCGAGCATTGACGAACCCCTAGACTGCTATCTCCATGGCTACGTCAGCTCACGGATTATGAATTTAGCCCGGGATTGTGAGGGAGACGGACTACCCATTTGCGTCGCTGCTAGTAGAGTAGATGGGTTAATCCTTTCCTTAACTCCGAATTCTCATAGTTATAACTATCGGTCCGCCGTTTTGCACGGATATGCCAAATTGGTCACTGACGAAGCTGAAAAGCTCTGGGCAATGGAATTGATTACGAATTCAGTGCTATCCGACCGTTGGAGCCATTCGCGGGTGCCTCCAGACAGTGCAGAGATGTCATCAACTGTGATATTGAAGGTCAAAGTTGTCGATGGGAGCGGCAAGATCCGAGACGGCGGTGTGTCAGATGAAAAGAAAGACAAGACGAATGATGAAGTTACCGGCCGCGTTTGGACTGGCGTTGTGCCCGTTTGGAAGACATTCGGAGAGCCCATTCCAAGTCCTGATAACAGGGTAACGGAAGTGCCTGATCATATCACCAGGTTTATTGCCGCTAGAAATGATCAAAATCGGAGATATGCACAGGAGGCAGTCAAAGTTACACTTCCTGTTGAGGAGCAGCATTAGACTACGCTCTTGATTCTTCTTTTGCTTTTTTTTTCACCGTATTATCTTATGGTTCAACGATAGTTACAGATAGTAACCAATATATCTCTGAAGCTTATGACCATTCAGGACGCCTCAAAACTTCTTCAGAGCACTCAAAACCCTTTAACAAGGTCTAGCATAATCTCTGGAGTCCACCCCCTTACTGCATGGCTATCTTGTATATGTATTAGCATTTGGTCTAGAAGGTCTTAGTTTTAGAACCACAGCTTATGACTCAAATGCCACGCACCTCCGACATCGAAAACGTCATATTTAAACCCATACCATCAACAAATGTAAGCTGACTAGTACTCAACTTTCTTCCTCCTCCACTGAGCTTAAGGGGCCGTCCTATGAAAACTACTGATATCTATGTAATTACTCATTATTTATATTTAATAGACTGATATTTCGCATGGTACAGCGCAACGTTCTTCAACAGTTATTGCCAGCACCCCACCATGGCTGCATCCACCATCCCGGCAGCTGATCTCAGAACATTTTCAGAATATTTAAAAGGATGCAAGCGCATACTCGCACTTCTAGGAGCTGGTATCTCCGCCTCATCGGGACTTCCTACCTTTCGGGGAGCTGGAGGTCTATGGCGATCCTACGATGCGACTGACCTGGCAACGCCCGAAGCGTTCGAAGCCAATCCAGACCTGGTGTGGCAGTTCTATAGTTATCGGAGGCATATGGCACTAAAAGCACAACCGAATCGCGCACACCGTGCGCTGGCAGAGCTCGCTAAGAGGAATAAAAACTTCGTTACCTTGTCGCAAAATGTCGATGGTAAGTCTGACCTTCACAACGTCGCCAATCACTATTTCGCATAATTACATAATCACGGGTTAATGAACTCAACGATAGGCCTCTCGCAGCGAGCAGACCATCCGTTATCTCAGCTTCACCTCCTCCATGGTTCCCTTTTCACTGTCAAATGCACGTCCTTCTACTGCAGTTATTCCCGTGAGAACGACTTCACTGATCCAATCGTTCCTGCTCTCGCGATACCGAAGAATGCTCGAGGGCCCGAGCAATCAGCGGGTGATAAGACAGGCGAGGAAGCTTCGAAGACCTTAAGCGGCGCATTAAGGGCATGGGAAGGTGAAGAAGTTGACATTTCTGATGACCGGGTTCCTCTTACCCCGCTGAGCCCTGACGTCCTTCCACATTGTCCAGAGTGCAAAGATGGACTCCTTCGGCCCGGGGTGGTATGGTTCGGAGAGAGCCTGCCATTACATACTCTTGACAGGGTGGATAGCTGGATGAAATCTGGTCCTGTTGACCTGATATTAGTGATTGGTACAAGCTCAAGAGTGTACCCTGCTGCAGGCTATGTTGATAAGGCTCGGGCGAGGGGCGCTAGAGTTGCGGTAGTTAATATGGATCGGAACGATGTAGGGTCTTCAGGATTGAAACCAGGCGATTGGTTCTTCCAAGGTGATGCTGGTGCCATCGTTCCAGAGCTTTTGAAGGAAGTCATTGGGGAGATCTGATCGACATTATGGGGCCTGATTGTTCACTAAACTAAAAATAGACAGATAGGATTCGGCGATAGCTAAATATATACATGCCTGAAGACCAGGAAATGCTTAATCTAATAGTAGACTTTGAAAAGTGGCTCGAGCTCTCAAACAGTTTTGACTCTTTCGTTGGTCATTGACTGCCCTGTCATTGCCAGGGCGGGCTGGTTGCCGGGGCAAAGCTTTGCCCAAACAAAATTAGCGGGATTAGCGCTATCGATAAATGTGGCATGGCGGCACTAAACAATATTTGTAGCCTCAAACACCATCTTCTCTGGCAAATCCACCCCACTCAGTCAACTTTAAGAGATCCTTAATGGCATGAGCGACTTTCTGAGCTCTAATCGCGGTATGCGAATGAAAAGTACTCGAATGGAGGATTCCTCCGGACGGTTGGAGAGTCATGCTAATCATTTGCTATTCATATGGCCAGGTCTAGAAATGCTTAAAAGAACTGCGCATAAGTGAAACAATATATCTATCTTCACTCGCACCTTACGGGTTCCAACATAATATTATCCAAGCCTATATCAACAGATTACCTATCTAGAACCCTTGGAGGAAGCCCCTCCAACGACTATCCAAAATGGCCAAAGAAAGTGAAAATCCGTTAAATCAAACCACCCCGCGCAAGCCGAACGAACAACCCCACCGTCATATTTCCCAGCAGCCAGAATTTGGGAAACCCTCACCATTAGGCGCGGGGCATCCTCAAAACCGCCAATCCAATCACCCTTTCAACATCCCTAAGCAGAACAGGCCTCGGCCGGAGCACCATAGACCTCACCCACAGCAGCGACCAGGTGCACCTTTCCATGGCCACCGGCCTCCTGCGACGCCGGGGGGTGCAATATCAACCCCCAAACGCGGCGAGCCCTTTGACCCTTTCAAACCTGTTCGACCGTCGGCCTACAACGACTCCCGGTTTTCTCGCCCTGTTAACGATGATGTTGTTGAGATCAAGCGCCCTGAAAATTTCACTTTCAACACACCTCGGGCTCCTAAGACCTTTTTCGCGTCGAAGCCATCTGCGATCAAAATGACGAACGCGTCCAAGAACCTGCGGAACTTCGTCGATCTGACTGGGGAGGGCAGCTTCACGCCCGGTTCCCGACCTCGCAATGTTGGCTTCGGCTCGATGGATGTAAATGGTTATGTTGACACAGCTAAGGCAAATGAAAATATCAAGGCTCTTTTAGAGGGAGCATTTGAGGACGAAGATGAAAAGCAGCACCCAAAAACAAAGAACAAGAAGAACAAGAGCAAGAAGAACAAGGGTAAAAACAAGAAGGCCGAGAATCAAAAGGAAGAAAAGAAGGACAGTTCCGACATAGATGATCTAGCCGCGCAACTACAGGAGGTTACTGTTAACGAGTCCAGCGCTGATGGTAGTGATGCGGATAATGTGGAGATAAAAGTCGTCCAATCCAGCGAGAAGAGTACCCATACAACAGCGACTGGTGAACATAGTGAACATGATGTTACTGGAGACATTGGATCGGAAAACGATGATGATGACGAAGAAGAGGAAGACGAAGATGACGGTACAGTAGAAGGCTTGAAGGTCAAATTGCTGCCTCATCAACGAGAGGGAGTAAATTGGATGCGGGACAAAGAGATTGGTAATAGCAAGAATAAGGGTGTACTTCCGAAAGGCGGGATTCTTGCAGACGACATGGGTCTTGGAAAGACTGTCCAAGCTATCACCCTGATGCTAACAAACCGGAAACCGAAAGATGGACGCCGACGAATTGTTGACGAAGATGAGTGTATCAATACCCCTGAAGCCGAACGAGACAATGATGACTTGAGACTACCCCCTGGTTTGAGCAAGTCTACTTTGGTTGTTGCTCCCTTGGCACTAATCAAACAGTGGGAGTCCGAAATCCTTGATAAGGTTGAAACATCCCACAAACTTCGTGTATGCGTTTACCACGGGAACACTCGAACAAAGGCTGGAGACAATCTTGGCGATTATGATGTTGTGATCACCACGTATGGCACTTTAACGTCCGAACATGGAGCCATCGACAAGAGCAATAAGAAATCGGGCATCTTCTCCGTCTACTGGTACCGGATCATCTTGGATGAAGCCCACACTATTAAGAATCGAAACGCAAAGGCAACTCAATCTGCCTGCGCTTTAGATGCTGAGTATAGATGGTGCTTGACTGGAACTCCTATGCAGAACAATCTCGATGAGTTGCAAAGCTTGATCAAATTTCTCCGAATTAAACCCTATAACGATCTTGCGGCCTGGAAGGAACAGATCACTAAACCTCTAGCCAATGGCCGCGGGGCCCTCGCAATCGAACGTTTGCAGGTCGTTCTGAAGGCTTTCATGAAGCGACGCACTAAGGATGTCCTGAAGCTCAACAACAACCTCAAACCCAAAGACGTAGCTTCGGGTGGAGAACAGAAAAAGTCACCAGGCTTCCATATTGTCAAACGAGAGGTGATCAAGGTCTCTGCAGAGTTCACGCCGGGTGAACTGAACTTTTACAAACGCCTCGAGCAGCGAACTGATAATAGCCTCGAAAAGATGATGGGTGGTTCCAAACTCGACTACGCTGGAGCATTGGTGCTACTATTGCGTCTCCGACAGTCCTGTAACCATCCAGACTTAGTGAAAAGTGATCTTGCTAAAGATAAAGACATCCTTCTGCAAAACGGCACCTCGGGAAGCCAGCCCGCAGCTGGGAAACAGGATGATTTGGACAGTATGGCAGATCTTTTCGGCGCTCTCAGTGTTGTCTCAAAGAAATGTGACATCTGCCAAGCTGAGTTGAGCCAGAAGGAGGCGAAAGGTGGTGCTAGCAGGTGCGATGAGTGTGAGACTGATCTGAATATTAATTTTGCTGGCAGCCAAAGTAGAAAGGAGTACTCTTCAAAAGAAGATGTGGTGGACCTTACACGGTCGCCCTCTAACCGGCGCTCCGAGGTTCAACATGCACGATCACGAAAGAATAGAAAGATAGTCATGGATAGCGACGACGACGAAGATGATGGCGAGTGGATTGTTCCCGAAGATCAGCGTACAGTGCCAGATCTTGGAAAGGCTGGGGGCTCTGATGATGAAGATGCAGAAGGCGGTGGTCGATGGCTCGGTTCAGACGATTCTGAGACTGACTCTGACGATGAAGCTGTCCCCGAATCACCAACTCGCAATCGTATAGGTGGCAGAAAGCAGAATAGTGAATCGGATGAGGACGATATATATTTGAATCCTAGTGATGGAGATAATCAGCTGCTACCTTCAACAAAGGTCCGACATCTCATGAGAATCCTTAGGAGGGAATCCGCAGACCACAAATTCATCGTCTTCTCGGTCTTTACGTCAATGTTGGACAAGATTGAACCGTTCCTCCAGCGCACTGGAATTGGATTTGCACGTTATGATGGTGGCATGCGAAACGATCTCCGAGAGGCTAGCCTCAACAGATTAAGGAACAATAGTGCGACGAGGGTTTTACTTTGTAGTTTGCGGGCTGGTGCACTGGGTCTTAACCTGACTGCGGCCAGTCGGGTGGTCATCTTGGAGCCGTTCTGGAATCCTGTGAGTTCTTTTGCACGGCGCAACAATTTCAAGTCTACAGCTCTAACTAACTTTGATTTTTTCTTGTACGTAGTTCGTCGAAGAACAGGCAATTGATCGTGTCCATCGCCTAAACCAAACAGTCGATGTCAAAATCTATAAGCTCATTGTTAAGGATACAGTTGAAGAGCGAATTATTGATCTTCAGGAGCGCAAGCGAGAGCTTGCCAATGTCACTATCGAGGGCAAGACCGCTGCAGCCAAACTTACCATGAACGACATGATGGCCCTCTTTGGTCGGGATGCGGAATCACGCTTCACGGGCGAACGTGGCAACATCGACCTCGTACAATCAACGAGATTATTAAGCTCTGCCGATGAAAACAACTGCTCAGGCTCTCAGTCCTTTGAGAGACCGACGGCACAGACATCACACTCCCGCTCACGCGATCGAAACCGACAGCCAGAGAAACGTGCAGTCCCCAGAGCTGAAGATTCGGTCTTCGGACGACGTTGGTAACTGGACGGACAGTATTTTTTGTGGCTTACAGATGTACGACGAGGAGCACAGGATATACGAGGCAATTGCATACGGGGACAAATTGGATTTACAGCGTTCACATAAATACCTTCAAGTCAGAGAAATTTCGGGATCTTACTGGAGCTTTTCGTGGCGTATAAATGATCTAGACACGTATATTACTTCATGAACATTCCATTACTCTCCGCGGCCGGTTCGAAGACTTTTATCAGGTTAGAGCTGTATCGCCAAACTGGACATACACTTTTCGAGTTGCATTGTAGGTATCACCGGGCCCATTCATGCGCAGCATTTGTTGTGAAAAGTACTACAAAGAGAGCAGGGTGCATAGCAACAAATTTCAAGCATCAGACCTCAGTGGACAATGTAGATGAGCGTGACGGATACTTACATGGATATCCTGTCCAGATAACTCGAGAAGGAATCCAAGTTTCCCAAGTCTCCGATTAGCCCCCAGATCAATGTATTGACTTTGTCGTATCTAGTCACACGGACAGGTAGCTCCATGCAAACTATATTTGAGGTGTACAGGGTGCACATTGGTTAAATAAAAACCATGTCAGCCTCAGTCTTTCGACCGCCACTTCATCCCAACTATTACTCTGTCGTGGAATGGTTCATGCATCATGCGCGTCACTCCTCAACTTTTTGCTCAAATCGCCACACTGTGCCTGATAGGCATAGTACCAGCTGATACCTAGTCCAGTTCTGAACTTGTCCCCTCCGTGTCCGACCAGCCTGAGATTCTCGATCGTGATGTGGCCTTATAGGAGGCGGACCCTCAGGCACATATGCCGCTATCCGCCTGCGACAGATGAAAAGGTGAGTTGCTATCGTTGACAAACAAGAGGGACATGGGGGTCATTCGAATACTTACTTTGGCCCTGCAACTGGGATCCCAGTAGGATACGGTGTGGTGTCCTATCACAACAAAAGCGTGGTGACTGACTACTTCGCTCACTTCAAAGGTTTATCAGGTAATAGAGATCTTCCCTATCAACCAATCCGAGAATGTGGACTTTACAACTGGGGAACTGATTGTTACAACACGAATCACCATTCCGAGCGAGGACCCTGAGATTAGGACTGCAACGGAGAACTACATGGCGCAGTTAGCGAAGTACCCGTTCCTGAAAATGAATACTATCATCACCCTGTACCCGAAGATCTCCTCTTCCCTTTTTAGGACTTTGTGACCAAGTACAATATAGGCGCCATTGTTCCTCTTATTGGAGGGTATACCTACGGTTTTGGGGACCCCTTCCTGGGACAACGCTATATACGCTGAAGACGTTCTCTCTCGAAGTCATTCATGGATTCCAAAACGGCTTCTCACCCATGCATCGCATAGAAGTAGCGAATTGTATAAAGCTGCAGTGAAAAAACTGGGCAGTGATGTGCTTTACCGGAGTGCTGTCATCAGCGCCAAGCGAGGACACAACGGGAAATCAGATTCAAATTATATCCTAGCCCAAACCCCACCAGGACAGAAGCTCATTCGTGCAAAGAAAATCCTCATCATGATTCTACAGACAATAAAAAGCCTCGCACCCTTCAAACTTTTGGCAAAACCGAAGAGGCAATCTTCGCGCAGTTCACCGTCAACTTTTACTAGACAAGCGTGATAAGGGATATCTACCATAATGTATCTGGCATCAACAATCGCGCATACAACACACCCCACAGTCCTCCCATCCTACCCAGAGTCTATTCCTTGATCAATACTCGAGTGCCTGACTTGAACTGGGTAGTATACGGCAGCGCCACATTCATGCGCGACGAGGAAGTGAAAAGGGCTATCATAGATAGTCTCTTCCGGATTCAAGACGCCGGCGTCACTGTGACAGAGCCTGAGATTGTTGCATTCGCTTCGCATTCCTCCTATGAGCTTACTGTGCCTGTGGAGGCGGTCAGGGCCGGGTTCTATAGGCACTTAGATGCGCTTCAGGGACATCGCGGGACGTACTATACTGGTCCGCCTTGACGGCACACGAGAGTCATCTCATTTGGGGATTTACAGAGGAATTGCTGATCCATCATTTTATTTGACCGGGGTATCCTTCTTGGTCTGCTAATTCTTGTGATGCCTCGATAGTTAGTGGGCGAACATTGTTTTGTTGTGGTTGCCTTAGTTTCAGTTCATTGGGATATTGAAAATTATTTCCATTATCTTACGCCGAGAAACCACGGCCTTCAGCTACTTGCAGAAGCTCCTTCATCCAAGACATATCGATTTGCCTGGGCCAAAGTGTAGTCGGCCTAAGCCTGGATTTACAATCCCCATTGGTGGATGGATGGACTGGTTACCTATACTAACGGTCTCACTGAAGATCGGATGAGCATGCGGAGACCAAGTTTAAGGCTAGGTGGGTTTTAATTCGATTAACGTGCAGGTTAACTATTGTTTGTGATGATGTGATTCCACCTGGTCTCTGATAGATCTTCTTTTCTTCTTCTAGTACTTATGGGGGATCTAATATTAGTGGTACTATATACAGGGTATCCTGCTACTTTCTACCTCGGAGGCAGGGGAGGGATAATAAACATATTAAAGAAAAAGGATTTGGATCAGGGATATGCTTTGTAATTGAGTTGATAGGAGAAACATTTATAATCTAGGTTATTCAGATGTCTGGGCTCTTCAGGCCGCCTAACTTGTAGATATACCCCTTACAGGGTTAGAGTAGGCGAGCTGCATAGAACTCGGCTTTAGAAAGCCGAAAGAAACAACCCAGGGCGGGAAACAATTTAACAGCGATTAAGACAATTGTAGTCCATCAGTCACCGCTTTTTGTTTTCTTCTTTACATTTATTCCCGTCCAGCGGCTGACATCTCAGGAGACTTATGAGACGTCAGAAAATGTTACACGGATCGGGTGAATCTGGGTATGCATATCGTCCATGCGTAAAGTTAGTGGTCTAGCAAGACGATAAATATAGACTCCCACGGACGGAGTACTCCGGAGAAAAAAGTTCCCAAAAGAAGGGGGAACAGGGACGGATTTTAAATTGCGATTCACTGGATGATACCAGAATGATCAACATCAAATTTCAAACCCTCTCGCTTTCTCAAACCCGTCGATAATCTGGACTGGAGAATCCGGAGAGCCAAGACGCTTCGTGTCGGAGATGCAGCCTTACTTGTCTGGTCCCCTGCATCTGTGGGTTAAATTATAGCTTCATGGAGGTAATTAGTCTCGTCCAAGCTCGGAGTGCCAAATTAGATAAAATAGGATCTGCACCGTTGGCAAGACGAAACTGGACGAGAGAAATGGCGGATCCACTGCCTTCGATGGACTAAGAAGTTAATGCGCTTTGGTGGTGGGGATGGTCGGGTCCCGCCAATCCTAGAGCGGATCCTGAAGCTACTCCTTTGTATTCCGACTCTTCCTTCTATTATTATTTTTCAGTGGTTTCTTCTCCCTCCCATGGAGAGAGGATGGTTTTCTGTTTACGGTTTCGGGACATGGGGTCTGGAATGGTTGACGGTGAAAGGGAAGAATTAAGGCACGGTCATGGTATTATGTCTATCCCATGGTAACCAAAATTTCTTGTCATCTATATGTGACCATGTTCTAGATTAAATATCCTCATGATACGAGAAATAACTATCATTATTTCCCCTTAACGTTCCTATGCTCTTATATCATCTAGGGAACTGCTGACCGATCACGCAGTCACGGGAAGAAATGAACTAGGATCATACCGGGTATTCCATGATCTGCAAGACACAGTATATATCTATATGAATTATTAGGGCAGCAGGGATATTCCTCCAGTTCAGCTGGCGCCATCCCAGCCATGTCCAATGGGGAATCCGCCGTAGTATTCGATAGTACGCTGGCCTACTCTAGTAAGCCAACTGAAGAAAGACAAAGAGATTGGTTTCGACTAGACTCCTTCCAGACGCCCAGTTCTCGAAGGGGCACAGTATTCCTTTATGCAGTTCCAACAAAAGGATAAAATCAAATCAAATCAAATCAAATAGAAAAGAAACGTGGCGGCCACGAGACAAAGCCACACTTCCGGGGGACGGAAATAGATTATTCCTATAGAAATTATGACTGGTCCAAAACGTGCTTTCGACCATGCCGGGACGTAAAAGAAAGTTATGCCAAATGACAGGTCAGTCCTGGCGTGTGGGGTTGATGGACGAGGGGGATCTGTTTAATGATCTCTTGGGGAAGATGTATATAACACTCTGCATATTGGCATTCAGCGGGTGATCAAGATGAGGAATCTTCCATTTATTGTAAGGATATGAAAAGAAAAACTGGGTATCTATGACGATATATAACGTACGTACATAGCAAATACAATAAATATCAGTTGATATTGCATGTTCTATGACTGGTAAGCTATTCCGCATTAGAAGTGTCAAGAGAAGAGGTAGCTCCTTCACACAAGGCCGTACTGTTACCTTTCCATACTTCTTTTGTATGACCGAGTACCTTGGTTGTAATTTAAGGACTTCTGTAGACGGAGAGAAATTTATATATCTTAGTAACAACCATGGAGAGTGTGTCCTGGTGGTACGTCGCTGCATACATATATGGTGATTATGTATGTACATAAATTTGCCATTGAGAAGCACCGTCCTTAACCTATATCGGAGTCCCCTCAAATCTAATTTCTATCTAGTATTTGTAGTTCGTCGTCTTTTCAACTACTCTTCCCCTTCACCATCATTGTCTCGACTGGACATATCTATTCCTCTCCTTACTGAAGATTCGCCGCCCACTTTCTCCTGCGACGGCGTGTTTCCCTCGTGGGCCCATGCGGCACTTCTCCTGGAAGTCTGGCTGGTCCTCAAGACGCCACTAAGGCAGTAGTTCGGTGTTAAGTATCGCCTTCCCTTTCCTAATTCACCTTAACCATCCTTCATTGGCCCTTGATTCCCGTTCTATCTTTCACTCCCACTGAAGAAGTTCTGATATGGAGGGCAGTATTACGACTCTTTTTTTATTTTTCAGATCGTCTTCTCTCCCACTGTAATTTTTGATTTGATTTTATTCTTTTTGTTCTTATCCCATTGGACATTTTCTCTCCTTCCTTTAGGCAGGCTAGGCCATACGCCGAAGCATAGCTTAATCCTGGTCCTTGGGCCCATTGTTCGTATTTCCCGTTCATTGCGTTAGTCACTTCATAAACGAAAGGTGGAAAAGAGGAAAGAAATAGAGAGAAAACCAAATAAAGGAAAAATAAAAAAGAACCGAAGAATAAACCTCGGGGATTTAGATATATAAATACCTATTTTTTTTGGTCTCTTCCGACAAAACGAATCAATTATATATTTTTAGTAGTATTTCCCCCCTCAATTATTCCAATTTTCGTGAATAGAGGAGAGAGGAAAGAGAAAGAGGATCTAAAATAATAATTATTATCACCATCATTATCATCGTATCCAAATACTGGTAGTGACTATAATACGACTGATTTTTTTTTTTTTAGAAAAAACATGCGGCCTGTTCGCTTTTTTTTCTCTGACGGAAGGCTTTAAGGTTACTAACTATCAAACTACTCCGTTTTAGGGGCTGCCGCTCTCTCTCTCACGTCGTCTTGCTTCAAACCACCAAAATCATCTCTCTTCTCTCCTCCCTCCTCCTCGCTCACCGTCTTTGTTCCGCTTCCGATATTTGGAAGCAATACATTTCCGGAGAATAACTCTATTCTCCAAAGCCATTGCTTATTATAAGGGGTAAGTTTCCCCTGCCAATATTATTATTACCTGGCAAATCTGGAAATTGAGCCCCTCCGCCCACGTTTCCCCGTATCATTTGGGCGCGGCAGCTTCTTTCCAGAACCCAGCGATGTTTTGCTCGCGGGCTAATACGCATGTCTCGGGATCCATAGGTCTCAGTATACTAGATTCCCTCCTTTCCTTACTTAATACAATCCCTTCGCCTCGCCTCGTTATTTCGGCCGGTCCGTCTTTTCATTGCCTTCCTTCACTTTCGTCTCTGGCGATTTATTTCCGATTCTGCAGCCCGTCGAACACATCAAGCCGAAGCTGTACTTCCTTGACGCAAATAATACTAGCCTCGAGTGGGATGTGGTCTGAAGTTACTCCGACGAAGATTTTCTAGGCTTTGTTTGTCACATAGCTTTCTCAATGGGAAATTCACAAGGGAAGCCGGTGTGCTCCACCGATGAAGGTATGTCTATGTTGCCGGAATATATCCACTACACCTGATATCAATTGTTTGGGACTCAGTTGGGGGATCGCGCTGACGGTTAGGGGGGAAATAGTAAACCTCAATCAATTCCGATTACTTCGCGTGGTCGGGAAAGGTGCTTTCGGGAAGGTTCGTATCGTGGAGAAAAAGGAAACTGGATTGACATTTGCGCTCAAATACATTCGGAAAGAAGAAGGTATGCGCCTTGGGGTCTACGACTGCCTCGGTTCTTTTTGCTTTAACTCATGTGTTTTTCTTTAGTGGTTCGATCGGAAAGCGTACGGAATATCATTCGCGAACGGAGAATGCTCGAACACCTAAACCACCCTTTCCTGTGCAACTTGAGATACAGCTTCCAAGATATAGAATACATGTGCGTCTTTCAGCAGTCCTTTCACACAACTTTTCTCTCATCTCGCCCTTTGCCATGTTGCTGATACTTCAGAAGTTACATTGTGGTGGATTTGATGAATGGTGGTGATCTACGGTTCCACATCTCAAGGAAATGCTTTACAGAAGAAGCAGTACGATTCTGGGCGGCAGAACTCGGATGTGCTCTAAAATATATCCACTCGCAAGGTATCATTCATCGAGACGTGAAGCCGGATAATGTGCTACTGGACTCTGAGGGACATGTTCACTTGGCTGATTTTGTATGTTGTCCACTTCGAATGAGCCTGAATTGTTACATTCTTGTATCACCCACAACTAATCTATCGTTTCTCCCGCAGAATGTGGCCTCGGATTTCCGCCCTGGAAAGCCTCTCACCAGTAAATCGGGGACCTTGGCATATCTTGCGCCCGAAGTATATGAGGGTGGCGGATACTATTGTGAAGTTGACTGGTGGTCGTTGGGAGTGACATTCTACGAGTGCATCTATAACAAGGTTTGTAGGAACCTGCCCACTTAACACAGAGCGAAGCTAACGCAAATCAAAGCGACCCTTCGAAGGTCGCAGCCAGGATGTATTAAGCGAGAACATCAAAAAGGCTCAGCCGAAGTATTATGTCACTAACCCAGCGGTTTCGGTGCCCTGTTTGCGAGCTATGGGTGCACTCATGGAGAAGGACCGGAGTAAACGTATCGGCGCTTCCAGTTGGGAGAGTTTCATCTCCCACCCATTCTTCGCTGAGATTGATTTTGTCGCGCTAGAACACAAAGAAGTCCCGCCAGTGTTCAGACCTTCTAGCGACAAGACGAACTTTGATGCCACATATGATTTGGAAGAATTGCTCCTTGAGGAGGCACCGCTGGAGGCTAGAGCTCGCAGACAAAAGCCAAGAGCAGAATTGAGGGAAGACGCTACTGCGAAGGAGATTCGGGAAGATGAGCTCCATCGCCTGATTGAAACCATGTTCGAGCCGTTTGATTATACGACCGTGACTTATCGAGGGTATGTTGTCTATCGCATGGTGTATACCATAGGCATATTGTGCTGACCAGTTACAGAAATGCCGCGGATGCTATCGCAGCGTCGACGTGAGTGAAAGAAAAAGCATGAGAGAACGGAATCGCCTCATTTGCTAACAATTGTTTAGGAATCCCGAAGACTGCCTTCCCACCACCGGCTCGACGCACTCACGGCAATATTCGCAGACCGATTCTTCCAGAAACTCCCCCCCCTTGCGTAACAATGATGGTTCAGTGAGTCGGTTGACTCAACCTGACGCTCCTTCACCTTTCGGTGAGACAATGGAGCCCCACGATCCTACTCTAAACAAGACCCCTGCATCTCCAACTTCATACCCACAGCCGCCGCCTTCACCGGCTCCTCAATTCCATCGTCCGTTTCAACCTCCGTCTAATCCTGCGTCCAATCCTCTTTCCCCGGCCAACCCCGCCAACCCCGCGTCTAGTCGTCCGCGAGGAGCAACACGTAAAACAAGCAAGGGTGGTGGTGTACAGATGGTGCTCGAGGAAGCCGGCAGCTGGAGTGAACTCGCTGATCAAAGTTCCACACTCCCCGCCGAAGGTTACGATGTCGGTTCAAGCAAAGGAAAATCCTCGAACAGTGGCATGCTGGCATTCCTCAGTCGGAAGAAGGGCCGTGATAGGAGTCCCAAGCCCCAGGAACCAGGCGTTTTGGGTAAGGAGGGAGCGAGGCAAATTATTAGCTGAAGAGGACATGGGTCAGCTGAAGTGGCGGATGCGACAGAACGTTCCTTCCGTTACTTCGGCTCCTACTCTTGAGCCAGCCGAACAAAAAACATCGGCCTATTGAAATGGAATTCTCCCTTTACAGCATTCAAGAGATCGCTGACATGTTGCACCATTGGCTGGCCCATCGAAGACTGGTCGCATCATGGCGTCTAATACAATGTTTCTTGTGAACCTTCGCTTGGCAGCTTCAGCAGTCGCGTTTCAAGGTTCGGAGATCAAGTGAACTTGAACAATATTGAAAACTTTGGCGAAACAAAAAAAAAAAAAAAGAACTTGGAGTAGCAAGACTGACAAATCACTGTTTCTCTGACCCGCTCTTCTAGTCTTTGACATTGGACAATACCAGGGAATGCATCAATACCCCCACGAAAAGGGATCGTGAACTGGTGATGGCGCAGCCAGTGCCCTCCATGTGTTCACATTTTCTCGATTGCAACCCAAGAGTTGTGAGTCTTGGACCCCAGAAGAAACTATTACTTCTTTAATTTCCTCGAATCCCTTATGTTCATGACTCAGCGAAGAGCAAATCTATTCTCTTTCATTTTGAATTTTTATCTTGATTCCCTTTCGTCCCTTTATGTGTTGGTCTGGATGCGGAGTTGTACAGATGGAAGTGCATATATGACCAGTTTACTATCATAATCATAAGGTTGACCAGCGAGACTCTGCTCCTATTCTGCATGCCGAAGCTTACTGTGGATGTATATCTCGTTTACTGTCTTATTTGCTTTTGATTGTTTAGATGGCGTTTACATACCCCTCCTGATGGTCATGGATTGGAAGTGGTTATACTGAGCATTGTGGTCGAGAGACGGGAAAGGGGTTTTGCATAGATTCTCTTTCCCTTTATCTTTTGTTTCCCCCTCAATCGGATTGGATGATTACAGTTCATTTGTAATTAATGATTTTGTCGATATGTTACCATACTATTTCTCTCTGAATGTGAATATACTTGAGAAATGTCTGATCCGGAAAGGTACTACTGCTATTTATGTAGTATTTGATAGAAGGGCTCGTGAGCAACTGCCTCAGTTGGGTTTTTCAAGGTTCTGCCACATCTCTCCACTACCATAAATATGAAACCAGGCAACCCATTCCTGTCTTGTTTATGTGAAGCTGAAATTCAACTCACCGCTTTTGTTGCTCTGCAACTTAGTCAGTCTTTCTCCACTAGTTAGCGCCAAGGGTCAGGCTGTTGGTTCCATAAATAAATCATCCTTCGCGATCGGATATTCTTCCGAATACAACATGGGTATTTACTAATATGCAGCTTTGAGTCTGAAACGGCAGTGCTGAAATGCAAAAGGGACCTTGCATAGCTTTGCATATTACGCGGCCACTCGAGAGGTACTCTGTTGTTTTGCTTCGATAGTAGCCACGCGCCCGCCAAGTTTGTTTACTGTAAGAAGAGCAGAGTAGAACTGGGTCATTAGCGCGGGCAGTTCTCTAACTAAAGTCTGGGCTATAGAGTCTCGCTTCCCACGTTGCATATGTATCATTGGCAAATTTTGCCCGATCCTCCTCCCGTCTGTGCGATTTATCAACGATGATTTTAATTCCTCCCGTTCCCTGATACACCATCGAAGTCCCATTCTCTTGCGACGCGAATTTCGATGACATTCTGGGCTCTCGTTTTATGTTGAACGAGTGGGGCGGCATTCCAATTGTCGCAATCAAGGATTTGAGGATCGGGGAATTGACGCATTCCGGATAACTTTAGATTGCATGCCGAGTCACTCACGCAGTCGGGACCGCTATCGCGGAAGGGACGGCGAGCGGGATCCAGACTATACTCGCAGGAAATACCGCGAGGTTTACGACGACGATGACGACGACGATGATGATTTTGATTACCACCCCCGCGAGCGGCGGCGATATAGGCGCGACGACTACCACTATGATGCACGAAGACACGAGCCCCGAGACTATGATGATGATTTGAATGAATATGATGTGGCTGCGGAGGATCCTGCGGTGCCGCTTAGATCGCATGATGCGGAAGGGATTCGGAGAGAAAGGTCTAGAGCACCAGGATCGCCAGCTCCATCACCGAGCAAGAGGGATAGGCGCCGCGACAGGGAGGAATATAAAAGGCATAGAACCTACGGCGACTTTGGTAGTCCTATACGAAAACCTCGGGACGGTAAGCGTCGCAGTCGGGACGGCCAACGGGAGCGGCCAAGCGAGTTGGACAGGGAGGCGCGAAGGCAGAGGCGAAGGGAAAGGGCACGTGGGGCAGCAGCAATGAAGCATAAGAGCAGCGATTCTACAAACAGCGGATCTCACATCTTGAGCGCTGATGCTTTGGCCAAACTCAGCTCTCATTACCAGGAAGAAGATCGATTGGAAACATCCCAGGCAGAGAACCAAGCTCGGATGGAGAGCAAACGTCAGCGCAAGCGTCCCATCATTGGTGATGAACCGCAGACTCTTGCCCCATTTCCTGAAGAGACACCCCGAGGGCAGTCGAAAGGCAGGATTGTGTCCGGTGCGTATCTAGAAGAGGGTAGACACCCGGAAATGGAGGTTCGGCATCGCGGAGGTGGCGGTCCATCAATGGAGGCCAGATGGCGAAAGGAGAGAAATTGGGGTGGAAGTATGGAAGGCTCTGATGTACAACCGCCATTTTGGAAGCGAAAGAAATGGTGGATTGTGATAGGCGTGTTGGTCGTCGTTCTCGCCATCATTATTCCAGTTGCCGTCGTTATGACCAAGAAACACGGCCATGATGATAATCCATCAAGGTCCTCAGACGATAATGGCGATTCGCCTTATACCTCGAGCTTGGATGGGCTAAGCCACGACAGTATTCCAGTATACTTTTCCATGCTAATCTGTGGTTCGTTGCGCTAACTGTTGTTTCTAGGAATATGCCAAAGGATCAGTATTGGATCCTTGGACATGGTACGACACAAGGGATTTTAATCTCACGTTTACCAACGAGACGGTTGGTGGCCTTCCTATCATGGGGCTAAATGCAACATGGGACGACTCGGCTAGGCCTAATGACAACGTGCCTCCGTTGAACGAATCATTCCCATACGGATCGCAACCAATCCGTGGCGTTAACCTGGGGGGTTGGTTATCGCTAGAGCCTTTTATTGTTCCTTCATTTTTCGAAAAATATACCAGCAAGGACGGAGTCATTGACGAGTATACGTTGTGCAAAAAACTCGGATCGTCCGCTGCCTCGAAGATCGAAAAGCATTATGCTTCCTTCATCTCGGAGCAAGATTTCGCAGACATGAGAGATGCAGGACTGGACCATGTTCGAATTCAGTTCTCATACTGGGCCGTGACGACATACGACGATGATCCATACGTGGCAAAGATTTCATGGAGATACCTCTTGCGAGCTATTGAATACTGCCGAAAGTACGGACTCCGTGTTAAGCTGGACCCGCACGGGATCCCTGGTAGCCAAAATGGCTGGAATCACAGCGGCCGTCAGGGAGTCATTGGCTGGTTGAATGGTACAGACGGCCAACTGAACAGGCAGCGCTCTCTTGACTTTCACGACCGAGTCTCGCAGTTCTTCGCCCAACCCCGCTACAAGAATGTTGTTGCGATCTATGGCCTTGTCAACGAACCACTAATGCTCGCGCTGCCGGTGGAGGACGTTCTCAACTGGACGACTGATGCCACCAAGTTGGTGCAGAAGAATGGCATCTCAGCCTTCGTCGCCGTCCATGACGGTTTCTTGAACCTAAGCAAGTGGAAGAAAATGCTAAAGAACCGGCCGGACCGGATGTTACTGGACACCCACCAGTACACCATCTTCAATACCGGACAGATTGTCCTCAACCATACAGATCGGGTAAAACTAATTTGCAATGATTGGTACCACATGATTCAAGAAATCAATACCACAAGCGCAGGGTATGTCCAACTAAAGTTCGCTTATGATTCCCTTCGTTACTAACTTTCCAGAAATAGCTGGGGCCCAACTATATGCGGTGAATGGTCCCAAGCCGACACCGACTGTGCCAAATATCTTAATAACGTAGGCCGCGGCGTTCGTTGGGAAGGCACTTTCGCTACAGGCGACTCAACCGCCTACTGTCCCACCGCCGATACAGGTCCAACCTGCAGCTGTGCCTCCGCCAACGCTCCCCCCTCCGACTACTCCGACGGCTACAAGAAATTCCTTCAAACCTACGCTGAAGCCCAAATGTCTGCCTTTGAAACAGCCCAGGGCTGGTTCTATTGGACCTGGCATACCGAATCCGCTGCCCAGTGGAGCTATAAAACAGCTTGGAAGAATGGCTATATGCCAAAAAAAGCCTATGCGCCGGACTTCAAGTGCGGTGATGACATTCCGAGTTTCGGGAATTTACCGGAATTTTATTAGTTTGGTTTTTTGGGACATCGTATGTTTCTAGATTTCCCCCCTTTTCTTGTTTTGTTTCTGCATATACTTGCGTGGTGGGCTCGTTTGCATGTTTTAGTCCGTTCATTATCTGAGAAACGCAAGGCCGACCTCGAGTTACCTACTGTAAATACGTATTGATATGCTATTTATATTATGAAGGATTAGATAGCTTGACCGAATATTCAGTATATATCATAATTATTTGGTACTTATGTGCAGGATATCGTGTGTTCAGACAGGAGGTATATGTACAGGAGAATCATCGTAACGGCATGAAAATAAGCCCAGGAGCCCACCAACTCTCCGGGAACAACCAAACAATAGCGTCAAAGTCCTCAACCAGTGGATCAGCCTTCGAACCAGCCACCTTCATCCCATTTCCCCGGTCTATATATATAGTTGCTGCGACGCTCGTTTTCGTAGACTCCGTCCAAAAGATCAGGGATCCGGTGAAAACCAACTGGCTTCATAACCCATCCATCAAAGCCCGTATCGATATATACTTGTCGATCTTTCTCGGTCGACGACGAAGAAACAACTAATATCGGTACCCGCTTCTTAAGCGCCTCCCCCTTGGCGGAGGATTGTTCACTTTCCCGGATCATCTTCGTTGCCGTCAAGCCGTCAACGACGGGCATCTATGTCCTCGCCTGTTAGCTCACTTGATGCCACTTAATGGTTAACGGTTAAAGGGCAGGGTGTGTCCTACTTGTAGATCCATTAATACTGCATCGAAGCAATTCGCCTTCTCCCGGTATAGGGCTGCGCATTCTTTCCCATTCCTCGTCAGATATACTGTGTGCCCGGACATCTCTAGCCTTTTGCGCAGAATTGTGCTGTTTGTGGGATCATCCTCAGCTACGAGGATGTGTAGATTGCTTTTTGTTCGTTTGTCGGTTGGATAGCTCATAGAGCGGGTAGTTCTTAATGCGTCGGGTCGGGTCGACATTTGATATTAGTCTTTGGCTGTACTCGGGGTCGAGATGTTATGGGAGGGTGGAGACTTAAGAGGCCAGCTCTTTCATGCAAATCTCGTGTTATAATCGTAAAACTTGAAGTTATTCAAAGTGCACCGGTAAGGACGCGGTAGCAATGTATATAACCATTGCTCAGTTAAATTGAGTTTAAAACGGAGATTGCAGGGGGTTTCGATACCCGGCGAATCTGAGGCGAGAGCTGTAGCAGCGCTGGATGGGATGCCGTGTTTCGACGGGATATATCCGAAACATGGGTTCCATGGTTCGGGATCGTCTGGGTCTAGAATCCGTTTTCTTTCAACCAGTTTTATTTTCTTTGGTTCCATTATTAAGGCCTCGTGTCAGTTTTCTTGGGTTCCGAAATTTAGGCTTATTGTAAGGTGAGTTTCGAGAAGGATTGTTGGGTCCATTCGGGTTTGAGATATTCTGGTTCAGGTACTGGTTTTGGGTATGTTTGGGAGCACTAGCTCTTTGTGCTCCCCACTGAGCATTGACAATGATTATGCGAGTCATCTTATGTAGGACCCCGATCTGAGGGGATCTATTTTCCGTGGTTTCTCTGACATGCGAGGCCTCGTGGGATACTTTCCGTTCGGGTTCGGGTTCGGGTTCGTATGCTAGATTGCCACCTCTCTTTGACTCAGGTCCATGTGAGATATTCGATATTGGTACACACGGTTTCTCTGACTCAGCAATGCACAATCCGAGTTGCATGATTTGGTCGTGACAGCGGCAGAGCATATTAACGACCCAAAGACCTAAATTTGCGGCCACTTGACACAATCAGCGTGCATCTCCAGCCCGGGATAGCTCCACTCTATGGATCTCGACAGATTACTCTTTTTTTTCCTTCCCGAAATTTTATTTTTCTTCCACTGAAGGAATGAATGGCCCAGCCGCTTCTTGGGTCGTCTCGGGAGATTGGGAAGCTGATCCTTTATAGTGTACTTGCCGTGCTTAGGTGGGCCTTTCTTTTTGTTGGCTTGTCTTAAAATCCAAAAAAAGTCCGAGTAGTTGTACGGAGTATCGTGAGGCTTCTAGGGTGGATGGGTATCGTATCTGCTTTGACTCCGACTTTGGGCGAGTCGTATGGTGTATAAAGCACTCCACTTCTGTAAAGGTTGACTGTCATTTTCTCCCATATTTCAAACGGGGAGACTTGGCAAAGCTGCAGATGGTGTGGATCGAGTTGGTAATTAGGCGAGCACGTATAACTGTCCCCGTTGTATATTGCTTCGGCTGAATGTTACATTATTGTGGTTAGGAAGTGGATGCTGTGGGTATGATAATAAACTCGACTGGCGGAAAGCTTTCGCGAGAATAGGCTGGGGTTCCAGAACCGGGAAAAGTAGTATGGAAGGTGGATGTAGGGAAGCAGTTGACTCGCATCCTGCTCTTCTTATGGCAAGCGCTTGCGATCTTCACAATTCTTAGATCCGTAGCTGTCAGGGATTGATCGTATTTGGTCTTTGCGGATTGAGGGTGTATGGACCGTCCACATGCTAAAGTATTTTATGTAGTTAGGGCTGATTTTCTCGACTCGTATTGCCATATTTGGATATATGAATGGTGATCAGTTGTCGAAGCGAGGTGAGGTAGTTAAACTCATGATCAACTCGGTACCACGTCGGGCTTCATCGTTCTCTAAGGGCGTTTCTTTAGTCCGATAAAGGTATCGTTGCATTTAATATCAAGTTCTTGACACGTAGAAGGAGAACAAGGCTCTGAAAGATAGACTATAAAGCAAAACGAATCCACAATGCTATGTCTCAAACATGCCCCAATGTCAAGTCATAGATCCAAGCCAGCGCTATTAACCAACCAACATACTCCAGCTCACTACGAACATACAAGCAAAAAAGTGGACTGAAAGTCATTTATGAGCGACCAAAGGAGAAAAGTGAACCCCAGGTCCGCGACTTTACCCCATTTCTAGCTCGTTCGTTTTCCGTAATCAGAGAGTTCTTTTCTATATCATTGTGCTTGGGATTGGCCTTCTGTCTGTGGCTTCTTCCTTCAACACGACGGGTAGAATTATCGCCCGAGCTCATTCCACCTTGCGGGAGCTGAGACCTCGGAAACCTGGCAGACAATGGTGTTTTGATGGCTTGTGTGGCTCGTCGAGCAGATCGAGTTATTGCCTCGCGCATTGCCCATTGACGTCGTTTCGCGATGATGAACAGAACAGTCGACGTGACTGAAGAATGGCTGATGTTAGTATCCTTTACCAAGCGGGCGAAGAGGACTCGGGCTTGGAGAACAGACTTCCAATTAAAACCACTACCCCGACTATCGTGCACAGGACAATCATCCCTGCTGATAATGATTTGGGGGATGACGACCTCGTTGTACCGGTTCCATCCGGGCCTTCGACATCGGTTATCAGCCCCTGTGCGTTCGATTGTGCTGCCAGAGCGACGATGATAACACAAGAGCAGTAGTAGCCTATTGCCCCGGACATGTCGAGTATGTCTATGTCCTCACGCTGAGAGATAAAATAAGTTGATCAGGTCTTTAAGTTTCTGTATTGTATCTAGAAGTATGAGAATGCCTTCCCTTTGTTGTGAAGCGACAAGGAGATAATAAACGAAACAACCAGGAGGGGGACCAAGAGAGTAGCTCTATCAATACTCTACAGCACCTTTAGGCAAGATATTATGGGCGCTACCTGAGTACGAAGGAAGAGACTGTATGACAGGTACAACCTCGTGATAGGGTGACAATAACGGACCCAAGCCCTGAAGGATGAGAAGGCGTATTCTACTCTATCAACTGGGCTATACCGACGTGCTGAAGAACCTAAATTTGGATACACGCAGCGAATCATGTTCGCAAGAGACGACCGGGAATGTGATATCATGCGTCAATCCTTGTGATAACCGTCCTTGGTATCGAGGCCGCAACCAATGAGAGACACGGAAGAAGCGCCAGAGGGGCAGGAAACACCAAGTTTATCGGAGTTTTAAATAGAGCGGAAAAGTGAATCAGGACTCCTTTTTATTCTGCTAGGCTGACTTCAATATCCTCGTAGATTCTCAGTTTGGGGTAGCAGTTCACCGACGAAGTCCCTGTTACTGTAGAAACGACTTATATCTTGGTATGGCGAGCCCTGCAAGAAATTGCGGCAATGAAGGTTAAAAGGAGCTGTAGATCTAATGGTCGTGAGTAACTCAGCGACAAGAGAGAAAAAAGAAGAGAATAAAAAGCAACATAGACTTCTATATGTAAGCATTGGCCGTGGATCTAGGGTCGTGGAACAATTACAGCCCTCACCTAGAGGGTTACACTAATTATTTGACTCCTGAACGAGGAAGAAACACGTTCACGTAAAGCATTGAGAGCAGGTATGTGTTGATAATGTTGATGGATTATCATATCAGTAGTTGGCGTAATAACCAAGCACTTAATAATCATCATGATTATGTTTTCGTCAGTATAACTTGATGGTAGTAAAGAGTACTACTATTAGTAGTAAATAATATTTAATGGTCGGTGACTTATATCTAGTAGAGCTTCTATCACCCGTGGAAGCCGTAATCCTCAGGCTTCTATGTGCTCCTTCCTATTGAGACATGACCATCATGGCCATCATGGGAACTGTCTTCGGGGACACCTCTTAACCAATTCTCTTTCTTCTCCATGACTCCATCATTTTCCAAAACCACGAGTAGTCCAATCGAGTCCCCTCATCCATCTCATCAGCCGACTATGCTTTAGGCAGATGCACAATACTTACCATACTTTCCGAGGCCTGGTCCCGACCCACATACTCCATTGACATTCGGGGTTCTATCAGCCCAGGACATACTATACCGACTAGGTCAACATGGAGAATGAAGGTCACGCCCCATACATGAAGGATTCTTTAGTCACTTCAGATAGAGAAAGAGACAGTGATCTGGATGAGATTGGAGATGATGAGGAGATGCTGCTGCTACAAATGGTGGGATCTAACACTGAACCTGTGTCACCTAATCTTAAAGCCGTTCTGGAAAAGGATTCAGAGCCAAACTGGACAACCAAACAAATACATCCGGCTCCCCTTGTGAAACGCCCTCGGAGCTCTAGTATTGACCTGACAGCTTTCTCTTTTGCCAGACCTGCCCCTCATGGAAGGTCATTTACTTTTCAACCGACACCCAAGCGAGGGTCCACTATCCCGGTACCTCACAATAATACACAAGTGAATCAGGAGAGACATAGAGCCTTTAGAGTTCCAACGCGGAATAATCAATCAAAGTAAGGTGCCTTGCTTGTGGCTATTACGTTTCATGCTAAAAGATATATGTATATAGACACATCACTTCTCAATTGGACAATACAGAAAGCAGTACAAGTCGCCAAAATACCACGGTTTCTCCTGCACCTTCAGACGTCCCGACCCACGTGTCTGAGGTCGTGAATGACCAAGTAAGGCCACGTATTAGCACGGAGTATACTCCTGCCTCCAATGTTCATTCCTCGGGGAAGAATCGAGAACCCTTTGTAGGAGCTGTTCATATGCTGTCTATTATCAATGGGCAACTTCTATCTCCGGAAAATGAGCTACAAGGTATGTGAGCTAGTCAAGTTCGGTAGACTGCGCTGAGACAATATCAGCGACGAACCAAATATCTGTTCCCAGAAACAAGGTAGGTGATTATCTTCCATATGCAGAAGAATCATGTGGTGTTTACAAAACAAGATCAAAGAACAATTGCCACAGCCCTTGAAGCAATGCACTGCAAAGTGGCAGTCATGTGTCACTGAGCGCCCAGCACAGGAGGGTGGGAGAAATGTTTCATTGTCTCCTACGAATAACAAGTCTAGAGTCGTGAAGCACCGTCGCATGACTGGGGAAAGAGTAATTTCAAGGCAGTCGGCTTTTGCTCTTGCCGATAGCGGTAGTACGGAATTATCGGAGGAGGATCTATTCCAGCTTCTGATCGCAAAAATGAAGGTCAGAGAAGAGAAGGACGTTGCTGCTTCCAGTGTAAGACAACAGATGGAGGCTAATATATCAGAACTGACGGAGGAAAACAACGCCTTGAGAAGCCAGCTCGAGGTTGTCAGTGGCGAGATCCAAAGCAAGATCTTGGAATCCAGAGAGTATAAGTCTCATTTGGAGGCTTGGAAGAAGAAGCTAGCGAAGTTCAAATACATCCTCAACGAGCTGGGGTCTGGTTATGAAGCCCTTCGCGGTGAAGCGACTCAGCTAAAACTAACAAGGGTATCTCTAAACAAAGAAAGAAATGATATTAAAGATGAGATTACGGAAGCAAGAGAGAGACTACTTCAATCCTCTAGTGTCGTTGAAAAGAGTCAAAGCCACCTCCTTGAATCACGGGCTATGGTCAACTCAATGAAACAGGCTTTGGTGAACGCAGAGGAAAAGACAAATTCTGCTCAGGAGCGGCTATCTGATGAAAAGAAAAGGTCTAGGTTGTTAGAAACGTACATACAGGACAACTCACGTCTCCAAGCGAAAAAGATAAACCTTATCAGGGCTGACCAGCTTGGAATGCTAAAGAAGCTTGATTCTGAGTTTGAGACTGTAGGAAAGCAAGTTGAGATATCCCAAGCAACCGTCCAATCAATCTTGAGACAAATCCTCGAAGAGTATCATATGTCATTCAAGCACATGAGTGCGAACTCCATACGGGAGAAGCTAGACGTACAGCAGTGTAAAGCGACTGTTCAAGATTGTCTATTTCAGTGAGTCATGGACTGTCTGATATGCTCTTTGGGAAAGGATATGGCTGATAGCACACCGCCAGAATTAAATCTCTTGCGAATGCGTTGATGACAACTTCACAAAGGAGCTCTGAAGTCAATGAAGATAGGACACAGCGTTTGACAGAGCAGCTCCAATTTGTTTGCGAAACTGTGGGAAGTGGCTCTAATTTATACAAACAGCTTTCAACAAATGAAGCCAGATGTATCAGTCTACACGAAAGGCTTGAAGATTGCGTCTCGAGTATTGACAAGCTCTGTGCTTTTCTAGATGTTATCCAGAATAGAGAGAACGGCCTCGCTCAGCAAATAGAACATCTTGAATCCCGACTCTTTGAAGTGCAAATCCCAGAAAAATCCGAGCCTACGGCCGCGGAGACTCAAGAAAGGGTAGAGCTTGAACTAAAGATTCAGCAACTATCAGCAGAGCTGAGTAGAAGCGAAGAAAAGCTCCTGAGCAGAACTGCCGAGAATGAAGGAATTAGACTTTCATTACTGGAAGCTGTTACGAAGGGTCAGGAAGCAGAAGCACGCGCAAGTAACCTTGAATCAGAAACTACTACACTACGAGCTGAAGTGGAGGCCATAGAGACCAAGGTTCGCGAAGAACTTAATAGGGCCAGCGTTATTGCCCGAGATCAACATAGAGCCAAATACGAACAGCAGATACATGAACTGCTACGGGAGAAGGTTGAACTCAACAAAGGTATTCAGAAGGTCAAACATGAGTTGTTGAAAGTGCAAAAGGCGTTAGTGCGTTTCGATATTCCTAAGTAATAGAGCATTTGCTGACGATATACAGGCTGAAAAAGAAACTGCATATACGAAGAAGCAGAATGAAGTAGAATGCTTGGTGGGTGCAAGACAGCGCCCAACAAAGAGCTCTTACTGATTTCCGAAGTTTGTAGAAAAGGAGAATCAGATTCAAGCCCTCGGGAGAGATTGTATCGAGAAAGACGCCTTACTTGCGGAGAAAGATGCCGACATCAGCCGACTTCGAGAAATGGAAACGTTGACTGCAGCGCTGAAGTCATCCGTGCAGGGACAGCTCAACGATGCCAATGCAAAGATCGCTAGTCTCGAAAAGGAGTTGACTATCGTCAAGGAAGAAACATGTATATCATCTCAGATGTCACAAGACAAACTTGACACATTTCAGAAAGACCTCCTGGCGAAGGAAGAAGAGTGTACAAGGATCAAAAAGGAGCTCTCAACGGAGATATCAGCTAGATTAAACCTCGAGAGTGGGAAGTCGAAGGCAAAGTCTGAAATACACACATTGCTTCGACGAGTTCAAGATTCAGAACACTGGGTGAAAAAAATAAAAGATTTGCTTGGCCAGATGGATGCCATATCACCAAAGGAACTCTCTCCAGAAACGTGGAAGAGATTGATGACCCTTCTACAACCAGCAGAATTGGAGACATTAGACTTTACCACATGGCATGAGCCTACGGACCGAGGTCTAAGCCAGTGTGGTAATGAAAATGATGACAAATGTGCTCCCATTGTTTCAACTCCCCAGCCAAGCTGTGGTGTCTCTGAAAATGACGTTGTCCAAACAACAGAATTGATCTACCGGACGCAGAGCTTCCAGAGAGGTGTATATTCCTCCCCAATCAAGGACGATTTGAAAGCTGGAAAGTTCGAAGTGGCTGATAGGAAGTCTCCATGTGTCCCGGAAACACAGCAGTCCAACAGCATCGTACCATTTTCAAGCATCCGACAGCTATCACCGGCTTCGTGTTCGATTTCTGAACAAGATCATGGCGATATTGCGGCCATGCTAGTTCCGACACCGGACAAAGAGTTCGCCACAGAGAAACTTGGCACTCTAAGTGATTCAAATGGAGGTAGTGATGTGGCAGCCGGCACTTCTAAGAAACATGCTACGGTGAAAACGGAGGACATTAAAACGCAAGCGGGGGAACTCGGGCCACTGGAGAGAAAGAATCATCATCTTGAGGCCGACCAGCCAATTGGTCAGGATACTCAAACCACCGAAGAGAAGAAAAACGTTGTAGTAACGCCAAAGGCAGTTACATTTGAAACCCAGAATCCATCAACAAGTGGAGAGAAACGTAAGGCTCCGGACTCTGAAAACGGTCACGACCAGGGAAGCACATTGCAGATGCCGTTTCTTGGAAGACCCGTCCGAATGAGCCGACGAACTTATAGCAGGAGCCGGCAGATATCTCAAGTGCGCAGCCAGGAGCAGTTCGCAAATCAGGATTCTTTTTATCCTTCGAGCAGTAATACACTGGATCGCCATAGTGCTGGGGGTATGGACTCCGTCGATAACAAAAGAGCAAGGGTTTCGACCTCACCCCAGCGCAGACAACAGACGAGGACTAATTCTAGGTTTGTCGAGCGCAAGGCGAGTCCTACGAGTCTCGCCTCTGGTAGCAGCCGCTATTCTTCCTTGAATGGGAGCAGCCGCCCTAATAACCAAAGATGGTCAGCTCGTGGAGGAAGGAGGACCAGAGGTAAGAACCTACCCGCTTAGACATGGTTGGTGAATGTGTGCTAAGCTTTGTAGGTGATCGTTACAGCGCTCGCTTTAACAGACTAATCTGAGAGATATTTGCTTGAATTTCAGGTATCACTCTCATCATGTATCTATATGGGTTATACGTGGCGTCATTGCCAGGTTGTTTGAAGTAATCTTCGAGGGATCTCGACAGAAATATGGTTGCAAAGATGAATGGATCCTGAAACAGGTATATGAACACATTTATTGACCCAGATTGTACTGCTTTAAACGCCAGAATGCCAACCGAAGAAAATACACAGCGCAGTAATAGCTCGGGGTAGAACGAACCTTCCAAGTATTACCCGCACTGATGTTGCCTAATGTACATGGTTTATCGTTCGATACTACGGACTCAGTGGCAACCACACAGCTTGTCCTTTACCGAGATGTTGTTTTGTCAACTGTGCAGTCCGACACCGCCTCAACACCGAATCCGCCATCGTGTGTGCGTGATTTGTCGTGGGAAGGAGTAGAGAGATTGTAGTTTATTTCGCCCTTCCGCCCTTTGTCGCTTCAAGGAACAACACCTTCTTCTTCACGACCGGATCATATTTGAGCATGCTCAGGGGGCGATGCGTACGAGGCCTGATCATCGTCCGGTAAAAGCCGGTCATGGCCATAGAGATGAGACGAACTGCGACGGTACGAGACTTGGCTGTTGGCATCAATGTCAGCGAGATTGTCCTCCACACAATATCGTATGTCGCCAGAAGGGTATCAAGTCCGCCAAACAAAGAGATGAGTATATATGTACTTACCTTTCTTGGCCATTTTGGCGGCTCTGGTAAAAGGGAAAGAATGGGAGCGTTGGCACCTGATTTCAAAGATTCATTCAAGATCTTCGGAGATGCGGCGGCGAACTTTGGGCTCGCGATAATGACACGTGACCATGTGTTGTGAAAATGGAATAGTTCGCGATGTGGGTCTGACTTGTCTCAATTGTTCCTCAAGCATCACTACATACTACCCCTCGGAACTTCATTGGGTGATTATTTATCTTTTCTCTTCATGGGACTCACTACTTTAGTACCTTTTTTTTTTTTTTTAACAAGGCCAGCGTCTGATTCCTTAATGTGACTTTCCAGTCTTACAGTTGGCTCAGGCTCATTTCAAAATGCCCATGTCCCCCGAGTTCCAGGCTATAGGACACCCTTTGCGACAATTATAATCTTCTTTGTCTTGTTTTCCGAGGCTATACAGCCTGTAGAAAAGCAGTATCTGTACGGAAATCTCATTTTCTTGCTGGATATGCCAACAAAGGATGGAACCATAATTACAGATGGCTAGTATAGTACTTTTGCTGGAGACCCTGTATCACTAGCTCTAAGAATAGCCTGCACAAACTAACTTTATCTTAAACAGAATGTGAAAATTTCTCCGGCCACCTGATCTATTAATCACTGCTAGTTCTATGGGGCTGCCATACTTGCTTAATCTACTAGGCTGATCGTCGATGTAGGGCTACCCAATTGAAGATCTAGTATATTCATACATCTTACGGAAACTTCGTTTGTTCTATACGACTGATCCATCTCTTATATTATTTGCTCTACCGGTTTTTCCTTCGTTTCTTTACTACGCACTTCCTCATCCCTAGGACGTTGATCGCAACCTGCGTGTTCAGGCCCCTAAAGTTTAGGACAGGAGAACAGCGTCTTTGAACATGAGTCAGAACCCCATATGGTCCAGACATTTTTTTTTAAAAAAAAAATGCATACATATATATCTGGTGACCACAACATAGTGTGTACTCGAAAGGGCATGGCCTCGCCGCATGATCAGTTTAGGACAACTACACAAGTTGTGGACCGTGCTAGCGGATACTTCGAGCTGCTTTAGTGCCGGCTTAATCCGCGGCGGGAACTACTCTCGTGCATGCTAAGTGTCCGTGTGGGATCCTTGTCCTCCGAGAATAGTGTGTTTATGCACCTTTCTGCCCATCGCTGGGTTTTCCTTCGATGTCTACAGCTTAGTAGGCCGTGTCATGTGGTCACATGGAGCTGTTAGTCTGAACGGGAGGGTTGAACCTGGTCGATCTACGGGACTGTCGACCCCAGGAGCTAAATAGCGCTCTTGTTTCGATAAACCTTGTCTCACACCGTTTCGACCATTTTATTTACCTTCCTTTAACTGCGGGGTTTTGTCGTTGTCGGTGTTTTCGCTGCGTCTTTTTTGTTACGACTGTTGGATTGTCAGGCGACCTCTTTACATATCATCGGAGTGTTAGGAATGCACAGCCGCAGCTTGCGGACATCTAGAGGCACCGATTCTTTTTCTCTGAATTATGGTTAACTTTCTGCGAGGGAGCCAATTCGGGGACTGGTCGACGAGTTTAGGGCAAAGGTTCTTTTATCGATTGCGCCCCGGGGTGATTGACTTTAAGGGACTGGACGGCTTGCGACGTACATGAAGTGGGAGAAATAGTGTATCGTCGCATGATGATGAGGTGATGGTGTGGATTCTTGTCGGTGGAGTCGGATTCTCATCATCCTTGCGCAGACCAGGAGAGATCCTTTCTCCATAGATAAACTAATCCAGCGTGCCGCCATTAAGTAAGGAAAATAACAATTAAGGTCTTAGAAGACTTTCGCGACTCTACTTTGTCAAGATATATCAAACTTTTCACCCCTTAAGCTATGTGCGACCACCGATATGAAGAGATTCTGCAGTACACAATCCCACCCATCGCCAAATGCCCAGCACTACATGTAACAAAAGGTGGCTCGCTATTTTCAGAAGCAAGTAAAAAGGTCATAGGGCGTCCAACACCGACCAACACATTAATGTACAACCTTATCGCCTAAGTTAGCAACACAATCATGGATCTCCAGAGAAAGAGACCGCACCCACCCCCGGATAATGTAGATTGGCGTTACTCCGATTTGGCAAGCAGAGCAGCAATACGAGCGCTGCGACGTCTCTTGAAGACAAAGCCGTCAGGAGAGCCCGGCGAGGTCTTACGCTCACGTTTAAACAGAACGGGCTTCTCTCCATCTGACAGGTCGTCGTTGAAATTGCTCGACGAGTCGTCAAGTGCGCCTTCAGCAGGTGACTTGTTGATTTGGATCTCTCCCGTTGGCTGAATACTGCTACTCATTAGAAGACACGCCCACTGCACCAGAAAACTAGCCTTGGACTTACCCTGTGCCGTTTTCAGATCCGCTGTATGAGGTTGCCTTCTCGGTGGGCAACTCTGGTGCCTCAGTGTTGTTGAGACACATTTCGTGGTCCGCAATGGGAGCAGGCTCGGAATTATGTTTGTTAGTCGTCGAGACGGGACGGTTCAGGCCAACGCCGCCTTGCCATTTGGATACCTGCTCTTTCTTTTCGATAGCGCCTATCTCCTGGACCATAGACTCTTTGAGAGAGGCCTCTTCCTCGCTGCTGTACTGCATGGCGGATTCTTTAGTGTGGCTGTCTTCCTCTGGGGCGGCGGTGGGGAGATGGGCTTTGAGAATGTAAGAAGTTGTAGATATGGGGGAGGAATGATCCAGTGTCTCTGTAGTGACCGGGCGATGGATGGTGGGGGAAAAGGGCGAATAGGATTCCCGAAAGCGTCTGTCCAGATCTCTTTCGATGTCGGTGTAGTTGACGAGAACGTCGAGCTCGCTGTGGAGCTTGTCTGCTTCGAATCTCTCCGCCATCTTGTGAGCCTGATACGGAGTGTTAGGAGAGGAAGCTAGAAGTGAAAGTCGTCAGTGTGTGTATGGTTTTTGACAGAGTCGATACGGATTCGAGATGGAGACAAGACTGCTTTCGGGGCAAAGGCTTGGACTCTGGGAATGCGCTCCCGTTCACTGTGGGATAAAACACCACAAGGACGTGATATCAGCGAGTCGACAGACGCGACAGAGGTAACAGGGAGATAGTTTCGATTAGCTGGGAAAAAGGGAATAGTACGAGACTCTGGGGAATGAGCCCGAATGAGGTCTCCCATCAATAGGAAACAAATCAGGTCAAGGCCATGGCAGTAATATTTTCACAGTCTTAACTACGGTTTGGGGAATCAGTGAATGAGAATATCGAATATCTTTATATTGAACTCTCTTATAAGTTGAGGAGACTTCAAAGGTGATTATATAGTGCTTGGGTAATCTGCATAGGCATTCGCCTAGGAATCTCATCCAGAAATATTATATGTCCGCTTTGCGAGAATCTTCTTTTTTCTTTCTTGTACGGAGTAAGCACTACTTCAGTTGTACAACTCGGTCGAACAAAGAAAAGAAGGCCCCTTTTATCCTTCTTCGACCGTGGTTCGCCTTTCGCATTACCTACTACATCAATGCTCTTTTCCCTGACTCTTCTAAAGTCAGCCCTACCTTTTGCTTCTTCTGTAGTACAGGTAGTCTTTCACATATAGCCTTTCTTTCTTCCATTATTGTTATTCATATCAGTTATAAACTCATTGTTTGTTGTCCCGGATGTTGTCTTTCTTGAGTAATATATGAATAACCTGCAAATGCCCATCTATGGAAATATCATTCACATTTATTCTTTCAATGCATGATTGAATATACCACACCTGCACCGCCATGATTTCCAGATGGTATCGATGGTACCAGTACCAGTACCAGTACATGGTACTGACTACTAACTTAATTCCAACATGCATTAGAATTTAGTATCCATACATAATTATGAGTAATACTAAAAGCTACTATTAAGGGTCGGGTGAGATGCATATTGTGACTCACTAGTAATCTATCTATAGTCCTTAAAAGAATGTATCCATGGTTAATTCAGTATAACTTTCTTGTATTCGACTAGAGTTATCTCGCTCAATAGGATCCCATTTTATTTTTTTTTAAAAAAGATTTTTAAAATTTTTTCCCTTTCTTCCTCTTTTCTCCATTATCCTCGACCTTTATAAATACATCAAATCATAAAGCTATACTAGTCACTAACGACAAAGGAAAAGATGGTGTGCGGAGAAGTAAATTCTACGCAATCTGGTAGGCTGAGATAGCTGCATCTTGTGAAACCAAAAACTCATGACTCACTCCTCGCATGCATATCGTCTTCCAATCATATCAACTGAAAAAGCCAACACAATACTAAAACTTGCAAGCTGTCGTGAAACCCTTTTTTTTTCTTCAATTTTCCTTGGAAGGTTGCTCATTTGTTTTGGTTATTGGACTCGTATCATTTCTGACGGGGATAGAGACAATGTTCCTCAACTGAAAAAATGGCTAAATCACATAGGAAATCTTTCCGTCCATGGGAAAAGCGCTGAAGAAGCCGATCGGCGCGAGCAACCGTACCCGGCCAAAGCTGGGAGTCGGATGGGCACGTTTCGCGTGGGATGGACTCGCACATGAGCTGGGCCCTGCCCGGCTGAATCATGCATGCACAAAGACGACAGAGGTCGAATAGCACTGCCTGCAGCACGGCAATGGTGTGGTCCGTATATAATGTATCGAGAAAAAATGAACTAAGAGATCTCACGCATGAAAGTGCTCAGCGGTGGTATTCGGTCGGTCTGTAAATGCGCGACGATTCCCTGTAGCGTCTGCGCTCTGCTGCATCAGACTCGTACAGCGAGCCCCGGCTAGGAGAACTACGAGGAGAGGAGTAGACAATGACCCGGCGGCGTTTCATGTCGCGGGGCTCGCGCTCGATGATCTCATTGTATAAGGCGGGCTGCTCTGGTGGTGTTGCTGACCGGCGAGGAGGAACAGGGTATGTCCGGTCATAGGTGATAATAGGAGAGCGAGGGGCCTTGACGGCTCCTCGTCCTTTGCGGTTCAGGCGCAGACCATCTTCAATGGCAAGTAGCAGTGCGCGCACAGCTAGACAGGTGCGGGGGATCTTGACGAGAGTTGGCTGATTGAGCTCACGGTCGAGCGCCGAGTATGACTTTCCGTTCTTGCTGTAAAGGTAATCGGCGACGTCGATGGCGTATTGGTGCCCACGTTCACACAGAGAGCGGTTCTCTTCGTGCGCCTTCAGAGGGTCAGCGCATTGAGGACAGTGGCTTGCGTGACGCTCAAAAGCGTCCATCACGTATACCTCGTCGGCCTCGAGATTGCGCACGGGCACGACGGGTTCGACAATGTCGATCGGGGCGGGCATGGTGGAAGAACGTCGCAATGATTGTCTTCTAGCTGGGGCTCGTTGATGGATGACTGTATCTCGTATAGGAAAGAGTCGAGGCAGCGTGATAAACCGAGACGAAAATCTTTGAGGAGACACCGTGACGGTATAGTTGTAAACTTGGATCGGTAGTGATGGTGGTATGCGCGAACGCAGAAGATCAAGATGTATTGGGACCAGAAGAGTTTATAATGTGTTGGATATTAGGCAGCAGGGATTATATTGGAAGGATGTGTAATTTGAGGAGTGGGTAGGAGGATCTTCAACTTGGGGGGGTGTTGAGGAAGGTTATATAGTAACTACCTGAGGGAGGAGGCATCTATGTCTAGAAGCATACAAATACAGAAGTCGGGAAGTGCACTATGACCGCATTGGTCACAAGAGAACTAGTGTCGAAGAAAATAAAATGATATTAAAAATAAATAGAATAGAATAAAATAAAGTAAAATACAATACAGTACAAAAACATAGTCTTCGTCCTATAGTGGATGGTAGCCTGGCAGATGATATGCGGAAAAGTGTTCTACGGTAATTTAGGGTGCGATGGGCGGGTGACTCAGGAAGCTAGCCTTCAAGGATGGCACGAGAGTGGTTACTAAGGCTCAAACGAGGCCCCGTTACTGGCGGGGGAACTGTGGCTGGTGCGCGCAGGCAGTGCTCCATTTATCCATGACCATACCGGTTGATCGCAAGGATGGTAGAGGATCTAGGCCATCTGATTGGTCTTACTGACAGAAGAAGTCGGTCAATCCCCCTTCCCACCTGCATCCTGTATCCACATCACTACTACAACTGGGGTTAGATGTTTGTCCAGATCCCCTCCCAACAACCTGTCGCTTACCCGATGGGGGAAGTCGGGGACACTTCGAGTCAGAATGCTTTCTTTTTCTCACTAGAAGTACAGAGTATGATGACGATATTCTCAACTCCTTTCTGTGGCTTGAGTGGCTTGACCTTCTCGTGTTCCCTCTGTCTGCGCCGCACTCACGACATCAATTTCCCCTTCAACAACCACCACCTTCACTTTCCTCCGTATTACTCTTCTGTAATACCGGAGAAGACTGCTGCGTTACCACCCCTGAAAAGAATGCAGCCCTGAGCCATTGCATACATACTTCATGCATCTGCATCCATTAACTTTATCATAATCGTTGGTTGATGCTGCTTTTCTACGCCTGTAAGGTTAGCATCAGCAGCCGCCGAACTGTTCTCGACTCTTATTTGCTTTGCAGCCGCTGGCTCATAGTCGCGGATCTTTCTGAGACCTAGGATTGTTTAGAACCATTCTGTCGGTAACCTACAACATCCTGGAGCTCTCATCTCGTTTATTTTGGTCTCGTTTCGCTTCTGTTCTAAGAATAAGTCCTAACACGAACGATGGAGGTGATCGTCGGGTCATTTTGATAAGGGGTCGCTAGGCCGATTCGGGGGTCATACCGTCTCAGCCTCAGCCTTCCAAACCGATACCTGGGAAATTGAATACGGCTCAGCCTCAGCCACAGACACCACTGGCCATCGTTGCTTCTTTTGATCTCCCACCATCACGGTCAAGCGCCGTACTCAGTTCCCGGCATCAAATGCTCGGACACTTACATAGGTAATCTTCAGCATTTAAATGCGCTTGTTCATCAGTACTAATCAGCGAATAGCCCAGGCTACTAGTGGATTGGCGCGTGCAATGACGTTTGGCCTGCTGAGTTCATCCCACCCTATCAATCTGGTGTTGCACATGTCCTGCTGGTAATTCACCATTCTATGATATTCCCGGTGTTCCGTGTGGCACTCGAAATAGCGTGTATTGCAATATGCAATCAATATATTCAATTCTGCCTTGGCTAGAATCTGGCCAGCTATGGGAGCCTCATGACGAAGGTGACTAGCGGCACGAGCGCGTAACTCGTGCTTTCCCTTAGTAGGAGGGGTCACATTAGTGAGGATGAACGGTGCTGCCTGTGGCAATCTGGCCACTGATTTGACAAGGTAGTGCTGACGTTCGCACCAATGGCATTTTTCTCTGAAGACGTTATGTTGGAACGCCGAGTCTAGCTCTTGGGAAGCCTCCCAACTTTCTATCTTTATCCGTTTGCCACTCCCTGAGCGAGCCACCGGAGCAGGCATCAATCCAAAGGGTGGGGAGACAATCGGGGGTACTGGTATTGCCTAGGCAAACAGTACTGGAACGAGGAAACCCAAGACCTCTTGTCCCGATATCATTCCGACCTTTTCCTTGATACATCAACAGAAGCCGGGCTAGCTCAATCGGTAGAGCGTGAGACTCTTAGTCATCACGGTATCTCAAGGTTGCGGGTTCGACCCCCGCGTTCGGCTGACCTTTTTCGCTCTTGTAAAGGTGTGCGCTTGAAAGTTTTTTTTGGTTCAGTATCGGAAGGATGGCCCTCGTCACCGGGGCTCCACTTCGGATCCACATGCGGCTACAAAGTCTAGATAGGCATACATAAGGCCTTCCGGATCGAAGAAGCCTGGGTTAAAGGCAAAGCGGGCTTTTACAGTGTTTCTGCCTAGCTAGTATATCTGAAATGTCAATGGGGCTCCTATCAGAAGGAAGGGTCATTTCTTGACGCGACTGACATCTAATGAGACACGAGGACTAAAAATATATTTATGGCAACGCCCATGTCATTACATATCATCAATTGTCTTCTCGTGCATGCTTACGGTAAGACCGAGGGTATTCCACTCAAGTACTAATAAGTACCTAAAAGCCCGTCGGAATGATAGTCTATTCAAATCATTATCCCAACGAATCATATTATCCTACCCATACGAGGAGAGATTCAAACCCGCTGAATTAACCACTCAGACTCAAGTAAAGTTAATACAAATGATCACTCCAAGCGACCAATGCTATCAAGACCGGCTCCAAGTAAATCCAAGTGAAAGCCACATTCTCCAACCAGAAAGCATAATCCGGTCCTATCTGAAGGATCCAGTTTATCATCTCCAACAGAAGGATCAACACCTTGCAAAACGCTGACTCGAAGGCAGTCTATAGCATATCGTCAGTGTCATGGATGCTCCCTGATATCCAGCGTAGGGTAAGCGGACCATTTAGGTTTTAGCAAAGGAGTCTGAGACTAGTCTTCAGTAACGGGTCGAGTTTTTTTCTGCTCGTCTGTCAGTGTTCTAGTATTTGTATCGTTGAATCAAGGTAGACGTACACCGTGGAGCACATATATTGTGCATGTCACAAGGGCAACTCTCTGGGCAGTCGTTGTGTCCGGTACAGATATTGTGGCATTTGTTGAGGACTCTAAACTCCTTAGGAGTAGTGGGACTGGTGGCCGGGGCGATAGCTGCTGCGTTTGCCATGCCAAGAAGGGCAGAGAGGATCAGGAGATTGCAGAGGTTCATTGTGCTAAGGTATTTAATTGTGTTTTTGAGGTTTTCTCCAAAGGTAGAATGTGTTAATAGGATGACTATGCAGAAAGAAGAGGGAGGAGAGAAGATAGGACGGGGTCGTCACCTATTTATGTACCGAGACACCCCAGCCAGGGAAGTCAATAATTGATTTGGATGGTATATTTCTTTACTTGATTTTGTACTTTTACATCTCTTGTCCATTTTGAGGGGATGTGTAGGTTAATCAGTCCATACAGGGCGTGCAGACCCAATTCTTTTCTTTTCCCCTGTGAATAGTGTGATATCCTGATGCATGGATCTACAGTTGGTATTACTAGCGCTGTAAGTAATCTGTTGGTGGAATAAACGAGCTAACGGATAAATCTCGGTAAATACGATAACTTAATTACAGTTGGGCAGTCATGTCACAGCCTGGAGTGAGTGATTATGGAGCAGGTGTATACGATTGGTATTTTAGGTAATCTATAGAAGTCATTCCATGATGCAGTGCGTTAGCCTACCTTCACAGTCCGAGTGTATGAGAATTGGAGATGTCTGCTGCAAGTACATGGGTCAAATAAAATGACAAGAAGGATCCATTAGACCATGGATATACCCTGCTAAGTACTAGTCACGAGGCAAGGATCCCTAACTTAGACTTAATAGTTTTCTTTGTAGGTGATAGTAATAAGATTCAGGTCTATTCGAATATAGTTTCTTAGATCCCCGCTATGTATGTACCACTTATCTTTTCTTTGTTATGCTGTCTCCAGTAGCACCAACTATAAATCTGAGCTTCTAATCGATGGATATACGGGGATATCACCGTTCATGACGGCTCCCTCCGGTTTTCCTATCATTGACGTGATACATATATAAGAAGTATCCGGAATTCGACCTTGCGCATTATCCCGCAACGTAACACCCAATTACTTGAGGCCTTGTCAGACGCTGTCTCGACCGTACTAACCATGCAGACCAGAGGTGGTGGACACTACAACTACACCATACCCGTTTGTATCGAACGTGCATTGATATTGAATACCAATAGATTCGCCAGGAGATGATAGCCTACGGGCAATCATCAATAGATACCGACCGAAGTTGGAGCCATTCGAAGATCTGTATCGCTATTTTCACAGCTCACCCGAGTTATCCTCTCAAGAAGAAGAGACATCGGCTATCGCTGTAGACGATCTTAGAAAGCTAGAATACGAGGTCCATACACATATTGGTGGATATGGCGTTGCCGGCATCCTTCGCAATGGCGATGGGCTAGCCGTTCTTCTTCGAGCAGATATGGACGCTCTGCCTTTAGAGGAAAAGACCGGACTACCCTACGCTAGCCGCAAAGTCGTTAATGGCAAAGATGGAGTAGAAAAGCCAGTGATACATGCCTGTGGTCACGATACACATGTGACAAGCCTCATGGCTGGTGCTGAACTTTTGCATGCCGCCCGAGATCACTGGTCCGATACTGTAATCTGTATCTTCCAGCCAGCGGAGGAGGCATTGTCGGGCACCAAAGCGATGATCGAAGATGATGAAAGATGGTTTATATGAGAAGATTCCTAAACCAGACGTTGTCCTGTCGCAGCACGTTATGAGGATGAAAACAGGCACCGTTAGTATTCATTCCGGTCGGCTGCTCACGTCGGCTGATGCATTCGACGTGTGCATATACGGACGCGGTGGACACGGCTCGGCTCTTCAGACATGTATCGATCCCATCGGCATCGGCGCAACAATTATCACGCGCCTGCAAACTATCGTGAGTCGTGAAGTGATCCTGGGAGAAATGGCAGTCGTCAGCTGTGGAAGTATCCAAGCCGGCCATGCAGCAAACATTATCCCCGACCAGTTGGATCTCAAGTTTTGTGTTCAGGCGTACGATCCCAAAGTCCGTGAACGTGTTCTATCCACCTTTGAGAGAATTATAGAGGCAGAATGTCAAGCTGCGGGCGTTGTTGAGAAGCCCCTTAATAAGAGTACACTCTCTGCTCCGGCTACTATCAACGATAAAGCCACCGTCGAGGGCTCTCCCAAATACCTTTGGACCATACTTTAAGGAAGAACTAGTTGACTGGGAGCTTGTGTCTGCTAGTGAAGTCTTCCTCCGTCCTTGCGACGTCGGTAGAAGCACCCGTGTTGAATGTGGACGTATGGCAGAATCGACACAAAGACATAGGAAGTTGCTGTTGACCAGTTGTCTTATAACCACCATTTATTTACTCCAGTGATTAGACCAACTATCTGCACTACGATTGATGCAATCGCTCTTGGTGCGCTGACTTTCTTAAAGCAGGACTAGAAACAGGACAGCTCCGTCTCGGAAGCAAATCAAGGCATACACTAGCATGTGTATGTACCTAGGTCGTTCAATTTCTTCTTCTCCTATACATACTCAGTCGACCGCAATTTCCCTTATCGCCTGGCAATCTGTCATTGCATAAGAGTAAGAGAACTAGCAAGGATGCATGATTAATGACAGACTATGAGACCGAATTCTTCCCGAATATCCCAATTAGCTCCAAGGCTTCTCCGAGACATGGATAACAATCTTGCCCCTCGACCTTCCTGTTCGGAGCTTCTCAAATGCCTTAACGGCGTCGTCAAATTCATACGTGCTATCAAGAACAACACGGACTTTCCCTTGCTGAATCCACTCACCCATCTGGGTCAGATCCCCCTTGCTCACTTGAGTTATTATAGGGATGTATCTCCTCTGCCCACCACCCAAGAAACTCGGTCGAACCAAACGAGTCGCAAAGGTCAGCATCGACCCGGCACCGACCTGAATAAATGCCTTCCCCGGGAGCAGAAATGAATGGCACTCATTGTACAAGTTATCGGGAGTGCCAACATGATCCACGACGTGACTATATACTTGACCTTTACTCTTGAGAACGGTCAATATATCCTCGGAAGTATAATCGATGACTTCATCCGCGCCTAGGTCTTTACAGAATTCCACATTGCGAGTCGAACAGGTCGTCGTAACATAGCACCCTAGCGCCTTCGCAACCTGGATCGCGAAGATCCCGCAGCCCCCCGATCCACCATTGATGAACACCTTATCGCCGGCCGACACATACGGCGCGATGGCTTGGTATGCGGTCTGGCCCGCCACACCCACCGTTGCTGCATGGTCGGGATCAACGCCTTCCGGGAGAGACACGATGTTGCTCTCCTTGCAGACGAGGTACTCGGCCAGAGGGCCAAACTGGGCTGGTTTCCCGAGCGATCCATAGACCAGTTGGTCGGGTTTGAACTCCTTGACGGCGGGCCCGGTGATCACGACTCGCCCGGCGAAGTCGATACCGGGGCTTGCGGGTGTTGTGACGATGGCTTTGGACAGAAGGCCCATCTCAGGCACCTTGTAGTCGGCGGGATTTATAGAGGCAGAAATCACCTGGATTAGGACCTCATTTTGTTGGAGAGTTCCCGGGGTGCGCGCTGCGGTTTCGAGCTTCAGATTTTTTTCTAGGCCTCCCGAGGCGCTGCTGTAGAGCCACGCCTTCATGGTTGAAGGCATGGTGTTGGCGGAGTCAGTCATTTGTGTGGATTGTTGATTCTATTTGTTGAAGTCAGGTTCACTTTGTGAATAATATTCGCTCTGTGGCTTCAAATCTGTTCCTAAGAGAGAAAGGTAGAGCTTAGAAGAACGAACAATAAAATAGGATGGAAGGAAAGACAAAGGGCCTAGTCCTTTAACAAACGTCATTTATATCCCCACTCAAAACCTTAAAAGTTTCAGTGAGAAATAACTTAAAATGATTACTGATCAAGAATCCATATGTTGAGATTAGAATCATAATACTCTTGATCTCTATTGAATGAACTTTTTATCTATGGAAATATGTCCTCCTGGTTAGTTAATTGAATTCATTGTTAAGCATGATTCAATCTTGAATCCAGTTAGGAGTCTTGCGTAAATAAATAGGCTATGGATTTAGAGTTTCTAAATGGGACCAATAGATTCCTCTTTTCTTCTTCAACCGTTCCCCGCCGGACAATAACGAGCTCTTTCTTCATGCAATGTGATTGCTATCCTGGCAAATGGATGATGCGTGGCACCTTCTGACAGAGCCTGAGGCAGGCCAGATGGGGTGGAACCCTTTTTATCCCTAAATTGCAATCTAATGAGATTGAGTGCGAAGTATCGAAGATGAGGTGCGCACACCGCTCTCCTGGTCTCATGTGGCCGCTTTAATATTCTACGCCTGTTGAAGGTGCCGGCTCATTAAGAGCTCAATAAGTCGCTGGCAGGCTTGGAAGCTATTAATAAAGGACATGAAGTTTTACCGACTGTTATCCAGGATATGCCGAAGACAATATAATATTAATATTGGATACAACGCAGCGGCCGAAAAGGGGATAGCGGGTGCCATGACATCATTGGGCCCAAGGGCATTTTCATGGTTTATGATTTGTTTTCCCCTGCAGTCCAACTTCAACCCTTTTTATTGCCAATGCCCAATTAATTGGCCCTCCTTGGGCTTATCCTTCGACCGCTCTAGGTCTAACTCGTGGCTAACCGAACTGTTAAATCTTGTATCACATCGTTCAATCCCAAACCTTCCCCCCTTACCTACTACATACCCGCCATCTATGGGTCGTTACTATTTATCATTACCCTGTCGCTAACTCAATTTCACTTTTTGCTCTTCTGGACTATGCTTTGCTTGTCCTTGCCACTCTGCTATCCTCTAGAAAATCCACCAGCATTGCAGGATGACTCTGAATACGGTCGCACTGAGTGTGGCCCTCACTCCTGCTGTGATCTCGACATTCTTCTCTCATGTGGGTCACCCTCTACGTCTGAACTTGAGCTTTGTTTGGCCAGTTACAATCTCTAGCTAGGGGTCGCTCGCTGCACGCAAACTAGCTAACCGCAACTCTTCCTTTATTCAGTACTTACATCGCAAATCACTCCGTCATAAGCCAAATGTGCATATCAGTTACGATGAAGGTGTTCGAATCTTCCGCGAATTTCTCGCCTACGCTGCCAAACACTCCGTCGAGGACCTTCAATCCTTTACGAGTCAGAGAGTCCCCAGTCCTCACTGGGTAAGGACGGAAACGGTGACCATTCCCACCCAATATTTGTCATCTGCCGCGACGGCCCTGATTGATCAATTGGGACCAAAGGGGCTATCGCAGGTGGGTGGGGAGAGGTGGTGGCAATGGCGCGGACCAGTAGATGAGCTGAACGGCGAATGGGTGGAAATGCGAAATGATTACATTGAGAGGAAGCGAGCAAAAGGCGATCATCCCAGTCAAAAGCGTATCATGTTCTATATACACGGTGGCGCGTATTACTTTGGGAGCCTGGAGACGCACCGGTACCAAATGCAGCGTCATGCCAGAAAGCTCAAGGGACGGGTGTTTGCACGGTAGGTTTCTGTCGTCCTCATTGTTACGTTTATGGTCGTGCTAATTCAGTCTAGTGAGTAAATTGTCCATTTTTCGGGACATCATGTTTTGAAAGCGCGCTAAAGCCTTGGATTGTAGCGATATATCGCCTAGCTCCGCAGTTTCCATTCCCCTGTAGTCTGCATGACTGCTTGGCTGCCTATCTCTTCCTTTTAGCCGAGCATAAACCTGAAGAGATCATTTTCGCGGGAGACTCTGCCGGAGGAGGAATGGTGCTATCGTAAGTCAGGTGCACATCGGGGAAACACGCACAGCTGATGTTGGAGAAGCCTCCTAGTGGTTCTGCGTGACCAGGACCTTCCTTTGCCCGCGGGCGCAATCTTAATTTCACCTTGGGTTGACCTGACTCACTCCTTTCCGAGTATAGTGAAAGACAACCCGGGCGACTATATACCGCCTTACGGTTTCAGACACAAACCTTCCGCCGCCTGGCCACCACCAAATACGGACGAAATGGATGCCATCAAGAAAGGTCTCGGGAAACGGCCTGCTGCAGAAAACGGTAGCCAAGAGGCCATCCCGCCCAGCGGCAGTCAAGCCCAGGAAACTGCTGTGAAGGGATACTCAGTTTATGACAACCCGTCTGTCGAGGAACCTGTGAATGCAGCAAACGAACACGATAATCTTAAGATTCCTATTGATGGTAAGACTGTTGAGATCAAGGATCAGATTCAGATGTATACGACCAATCGGCTCTTATCTCATCCACTTGTTTCTCCTGTTTTGCAGCCATCGCTAGGAGGCCTACCTCCTCTACAGATTTTAAGCGGTGGTGGGGAGAGGCTACGAGACGAGCAGTTCTATGTTGCTCACAAAGCAGCGAATCCGACTGCTTACCCGCCCAACGATGCTATACTAGACCAGTACGACCCGAACCGTAGAACTCTTCACAAATACCCCGGGACACATGTCCAGCTTCAACTTTGGGATGACCTTTGTCATGTTGCGACTACTCTGAGCTTCACTCATCCAGCGAAGTACATGTTCCGTTCAATTGCGCAATTTGGAGCCTGGGCTCTCGCATGTGCTCAGGATACAGAAATAGATATTGTGGATGACACAGACATTACGCCTACGTCGTCCAATAGCTCGGACAGCCCCGACACAACTGCAGATGTAACCCAACAAGGGGCTGTTGCCACTGTCGGCAAGGCTGGCGATCCGTTACCTCCATTCAAAGAGCATATGATTCGTCAAAGGGTCGACAAAAGAGGCAATATTTATCATCTGGAACCCCAATCTTCGTATTCTGTCCTTCAAATTCCAACTTCAGAGGTTGGTGCCATCAACCCTGAACTGGTCAAGAAATGGCTCGCAGGGAAACAGGAATGGGACGTTAAGTATGCTAAGGACAAGATTCATGTCCAGCGGCAGCGAGTCAAAGAACTAGCCCATTGTTTTCAACAAGATTTTGTTGGCGAGGCGCCTCCTCCCAGCTCCCTGGCGGCGAGAAGGTCAGCCCCTGGAGTTTTACCATCGCGAAGTGCCCGGAAGAGCTATCCCATGACGATGTGGAGCAATTGGGCCAGCAGGCATGATGAGAGGAGCATCCAGAGGGAGCACCGGAAGGAGAAAGGCGGGCAGCCCAGGAGGACCAGCGTGGAAGCTGGACGAGCCGGAGCTTGCATGAAGGCAGCAGAAACCGGTAACGAACAGGTTAGTCCCAGCAGCAAGATCTATCACTACTGAAGCTAAGAGAACGAATCAGGATACATGCGATGAGACGAAGAGCAAGACCTCGTCCGATACTCGGACCGAGGGGGATACCTCTAGCAGGCCCAACAATAAGCATTTTAGTCCTATGATTGTCTTACCAGCATACGACGAGAAGAAGTTCACGCATGAGAACGCGAGTACACAAGCACTTTTCCACGCACGAGGAACTATCCCATCGGCCTCCGACCTATCCATGTACCGGACTAAGCAGCGGCCTGTGTCCCAAGCCGGGTCGGGGACAATACGAAGCGGCATCAATTCTGATGTTGCTGATGACACTAGTACTCTCGGTGACAGGTCTCTCGCCATAACCAACACCGGAATCGATGCTGCCAGTACTCGAGCTGTACGAAATTCTGTTGGAGTCGTGGGCCTCATAAATGATGGGGACTCGGCTTATCGCTCTATTGACTTTCAGTCTAGGCCTCGTGATTCAGGTGATCTCGAGACCACTTCTCTTGGTGGCTTAACGGACGGAGACATGCCCCGCACGGTTTCTCGTCCTGGGTTGGCTGACCGAGACCTTTATAAGACTGCACAGGAGTATCCTGCAGCCTGATAAACCTATGAACGACTGCACAGTGAAGCTTTGCAGCGACGATTTTAAACATACACGACTCGAACAAATAAGATTTTTTTGGTTATTATTGTTTTTAGTGTACAGCACACTTATCGTCAAGTTGATATACACGGTGATACCTCACACCCTTTTCTCATGCTTAGATCCTGGTACTTAAGTTTTACACTTTTGGGGGGGAATATCCTATCCGTCCAATACCCCCGGTTTTTGAGTCACTCTATCTCTCACATTTGGTCTTGTACATTGTAAAAGATGACTGTAATCTAAATAGATAAACATATTAATCATTCACACCTTCCTCAAGGTTTAAGCCGGGTATATAAATGCTTAGTATAATACAAAGAGAAGCCTGAACATTACCGAGAATATACATCATTCCCCAGTCACCACTCAATCCCAACCTTCTTCGCCACCTTCTCTGCAACATCCAAAAAGGCCTTCCTCCTCACACTCCGGTCCTGACTCTCCTCCGCAACAACAGTCGGCATACCCCGATCCGCATCCTCACAAACCCTCGCATCCAGCGGAATATCCCCCAAAAACTCAACTCCCAACCTCTTACACTCAGCCACAACACCCCAATCCTCACCATGCCGGTGCGGATGCTCCCCCGCAGCAGTCTCCCCATGCGAAAAGATCTTCGTCTGATGCCCACACTGCGGACACGCGAAAAACGCCATATTCCGCACCATGCCTAGGACAGGGACATCCATCTTCTGGAACATGCCGTAGCCTCTTACCGCATCACGGAGGGCAATATCCTGCGGCGTCGACACGATCACCGCGCCGTCCACGATGATCTCCTGGTTGATGGTTAATTGGACGTCGCCTGTGCCCGGCGGTAGATCGAGGAAGAGAACGTCGAGGGGACCCCAGGAGACGGAGTGGAGGAGTTGGTGCATTGCTTTTGTGACCATTAGGCCGCGCCAGGAGATTGGGGTTGTGTCCATGGGTATTGTGGAGGGGTCTTCGGGGGAACGGGTCGGTTGTGGGAGGAGGTAGCCCATTGACATTGATTTTAGGCCATAGTTTGTTAGTGGGAGGAGGCAGTTATCTGTATGGTTTTGGGTGAGTGAGGTTGAATTGTTTGAGTTGGGGGGTGGGGGAGGTGCGCACTTTGGTCGAGTCGGGGCTCGCCGGAGAGGTTGAGTAGGGTTGGTATGGATGGGCCGAAGATATCGGTGTCTAGAATTCCTGTTCGGATTCCTCGGCGCGCGAATGATAGAGCGAGATTTACTGGGTGTTTGGGTCGGGGTTAGTATACAGGTCATATATAGTTGGCACTCGGAGTACATGGATATAAATCGGATGACACCCATTGAATTGAGTGTGTAGAAGACGTGGCCAATGCGACGAAGGAAATATGTTTAAGACATACCAGCAATCGTAGATTTCCCTACTCCCCCCTTCGCAGACGAAACGGCGATAACCTTCTTCACATCTCGGATCTTGCGCTTCTCCGGTAGTCCGCGGCGACGAGGGAACGACGGCGGCGTGCCGGAGCGAGGAAGACCCTACACAACAAAACATTAGAACGCCACTAACTTCGAAAAAGATCTAGAAAAGAGTAAAAACATACTAATGGATTATCATGCTGCAGAGCACGAATCGTCGAGAAAAACCTCTTTCGCAACATGGCGGAAATCAATAAAGGATAAAAATCAATACTCAAAACCCGGAACCACCGATGTCATTTCATATTGCCAGGAATAAATTCCCACCGCCGGATTAATATACCCTATAGGAGAGCTCCGTGAGCTCATCGAGAAGTTTAATCCGTCACCGCATACTGACTTTTCTACGGCAGAAAAATAGTCTCCAAAAAAAATTATCCCGCGACAATTGATTCCCACGCAGGCATATTCAGAATGGGGCCCAAATCTTTGGCGGAGCAACTTGCTGAATTGGAAGATCCGACTCCGAAAGGTAGGGAATTTTGGGAGATTGCGTGTCCGTTTTGGGATTTGGAAAGCTGATTGATATTTTTTTTTACGATTTAGATTTCGACCCTGAGGATTTGGAGCGCGGTGGTGGTTCTGATAGTGATGAGGAGGGTGAGCGTGTGACCGATTCGAATGCCGGAAGGGAGCATTATCAGGCTGTTGGGTGGGTTTTTAGGATATCCTCTTTTTCTCATATAATATCGTTACTAATAATATAAATAGGAAAGGGAAGCTTCGCAAGCAGGACCCTGTTAACCTAGGGAAACAATACGCCGGTGCAAAAGTCAGTCGAGATGCGCTCGATGCTGAAAGCGACGACGACCCGTTCAAGGCGCGATCTAGCGATGAGGAGAATGGTAGTGAGGATGAGGATGAGGATGAAGACGATCTTGAGTTAGGAAGCGACGAGGATGAGGAAATGTCGGAAGAAAGTGATGGGAAGCGACCGCAAAAATCCCGAGTAGCTCAGCAGAAGGGTCCTCAAGGAAGGATTGCTGACGATATGGGATCAGATGATTCTGAGGAACTTGAGAGCGATGAGGATTCGGAAGCTTTTGACGAGGATGACATGGATGACGAGATGCCCTCCGACGAAGACGAAGAGGATGAGGACGAAGAGGAAGACGATGAAGATGATGACGAGGAAGTCTCTTCTACTCGTCGTGTGAAGTTCGACAAACCCGCAAAGTCTGACGATCGGGAGGAACTGCGCAGACTCATGGCTTCCGATCAAAAATCCATCACAGCTACTATATCACAAGCCGCTAAAGCCGATGCAGCCAAAGGAAGGGCAGTTAAACAGCAGCGTGCGACTTTCGATGCCCTACTGAACACCCGTATCAAGCTGCAGAAGGGTCTGACCGCGATCAATCAACTGTCCGTCACAGCCAAGGAGGAGGAGGATCTCGATGGTGAAGCTATCAAGTCCGCTGAATCTGCCGCTTTAACCCTCTGGTCCACTCTTGAAGACCTGCGACTCGCTCTTGCAGACGCACAAACTCAGGATGAATCGAAGAAGCGGAAGAGACCTTCCGCAGTTACGCCAAGCACATCTTCAGCTTCATTGTGGAAGCGTATGGTGGATCTCGAATCCGACTCCGTTGCCCACCGCCGATCCATCCTCGACAAGTGGTCGCTCAAGGTGCGCGGGTCCAACGCTATGGTCCCTAACGCTCGTGGAAAGCTTTTGGGTTCGGCCTCCAGCGGACAGCAGAACATCACTGCCGTTCTAGATGCGCAGATTGCATCCGAATCTGGCGACCGTGCTGCTAAACGCGCGCGGAAAATTGCCGATGAAGACCAGGAGCCTATCTATGACGATACCATCTTCTACCAGTCTCTCCTCCGGGACCTCGTCGAGCAGCGCATGTCCTCCTCTGACGCTATTACAAACGGCATCGATACATTGCATATTCAGCTGCCTTCACGAGGAGGCCTTTCCATCCATCCTGTGACCGGTATGCGCAAGGACAAAGTCAAGAGGGATGTGGATACCCGTGCGTCAAAGGGACGGAAGATGCGGTTCGATGTCCATGAGAAGTTGCAGAACTTCATGGCACCGGAGGATCGAGGCACATGGACTACTCATGCTCGGGAAGAATTCTTTGCTTCTCTCCTTGGGAAAACTGCAAGCGGGATGCTCGGAGAGGGTGATGATGAGGATGCTAGCGCTGCTGAAGAGAGTGATGAGGATCGTGAGGAAGGTGGATTGAGGCTTTTCCGGAATTAGAAGAGAGCGAATATTGGACTGTGCGGAAGATATTTTGGATGTACACTTAGGCTAGTAAAAGAGGTTGCATATATACATACCAGGGTCTTTGCTCACATCATTCATATTTATCCTATATTTTGTTATCAAGTAGTTTACATAAGTTCCACAATATATAGTTCTGTTTGATATGTTTGTGAGATGAGTATGAACCTATGTCCACAAGCCTGAGGCAAAACTGTGACGAGTAAACGGTGTCATAACAACCGTAACACCATTCACCACGATAAGCCATAGTTATTTTCTCCCACATATAAAAAAGGAAGTTTCGCGCGCATCGGATCATTTCTGTCTTCGTGGTCATTTATCAGAGCCGTCTTCCTTTTCAGGAGGTGAGGAGGGAAAGCATATCGTGACAAGGGTCCATAATGCCTTGATGATGATGGTTACTGTATGATATATCCTGTTGAAATTTGCTCTATAGGCACAGGATCACCGAAAGGCATTCCCCAACATCATAAATTCCTGTACTAGATAGGAAATGAATCTGAGTGTTATGTCCCTATAACGGAGGGAGATCCGAGCAATGGGAAGGAGGGAGCTCTCTTTGTATCTCATGTGGGCTTAATACAGAGCTTGTGATCTAGTTGAATACTTCTACTATATTTCTTTCTCTCAGGCACCAGAGCCCTACTCACCTTTTAGTCTACGACTGGCACATATCTCCGCTCATTACCGAAAACCAAAGCCATCGATGGGCCAGATCCCTTTCCCTGTCTGGTAGGGTAAATATATCAGCGGCTTGCTCGGTCTGTTCTCTGTGTGGCAAGTGTATGACGCTCATCGAGTACAGAAAAGAGAGGCTACGGTCGCTCTAGGAATTCCGTGCTTTATAGTGACATATATTATGTTGGCAATCAATATAGCCAAATCAACCCGAAGTGGACTTCTGTACTGAATACTAAATTATTTCTCGATCCCGCTAGCATTTCCATCATCACTTTCGTAATTCATAAACCGGCGCTGAACGTCATTCTGGAGACCCTCAACTCGATTCTCACACTTCGCCGAGGTAGACAGAATTCGTAGAACGTAGGCTTCTGTACCTCCCAATGGGACGTTGCGTCTATGGTACTAGGGAGTGTCGAATAAAGACCTGCCGATTGCCATAGCACATATACCATGTTTTGCGTGCGTCTGGCTGATAGTCTCATTTGTTATAGGAAGCTCGTGATGACTGTGTGTCCTTTGTAGAAGAGTATCGTGGCAACGTAGTGCCATGACATGGCCGCGACCAAGCGAATTCTGTCTCTTTAGAAAGCCCCAACATTCTTTCTTGAACGGCACGCTCCAGTTTCGATTTTCTTTCCTGCTCCTCTTGAGGAGATAGAAAGTAGGGAAGCCCATTCCAATCCACTATAACCGCACCGCTCACGGCGTTGTAGCCGGGGAGCGAGCTATTATTCATGGATGTATTGCTGGGGCGCAACATGGGCCTCCACTTGGATGATCGGCTCGATAGTCGTCGATTAGTGTAGGATGTTCGGCGCTGAAACCGATGAACTTCTGCCGGCGGGTCAATGTTTTGCCAATAGTATGACGGCTCTTGGGACGAAGAGCTGAATACGGGCTCCAACTGTGTTGTGATTTCTTTTTTCGGTTGGGCGCCGTTGGGTATGTGTGGTCTACACGTCTCTGGACTGGAAGCCAATTCTCCGTCGGTAGGTTGAAAGGTACAATTATCCACAGGCCTGCTTTCAGTTGCAGGGGTGGACGATGAGGAGAATCGCGATCTCAAATGACGAAAAATAGGCATTTGGGGCTGTCGCACTAGCGGTACACAGTACTAAAACAGGATGCAACTGATGCGAAGCATTTGTTGAGCCCTATGGCAAAGATGGATTATGAACGTGGAGGAGCTTACTCTTTACAACTGCTATTTCAATCTGGTGGTGCGGCCCAATTGCCAATAATCTCGACCTCATGCAGGACACGCTTAATCCAGAATTCACCAGGAAGGGACGCTCGGCGAAGAATGTGAGAGAACAGATTCCAGAAGATAGGATTACCAGAATGCACTCTAAAGTGTAGAGCTTAATAGTATCGGCGATTACACATCGAATAGTTATCGGAGCGACAGACAAATCAATTTACAGCTTTATGCGCCTCACTGATGATAGGGAACCTCCGGCATTCCTAAATTAGAACTGAGATAGGTCAGAGCGGCAAGACAATGCAAGATTGGTTCGTGCCTCGTATATTATCCGGTCTCGAGTTCGGGCTCCATGGAGATAAAAGAGACTTTTGTAATAGGTCAGTTAAGCTCGTAGAGCTTCAGGGCTAATGCAATATATGGTGTCATTGTTTCTCACCATTTCAAGCCTCCATCCTTTCACCGCTCATGCCACAACCCAAGTGAATCATCTTATGCCCCGCAAGTAAACATTTTTGGGGAGAACTGTGGATTACTCCGTCGTCGCGCACTTGAACCAAGACTCCCCAGAAACATCCCAAATTATAGGCTACAGGGCCAGAAGGAAAACCCTCGCTAATAGATTTTGGAGCTGGTCGTGACACCAAACAATTGGCCGGTCGAACCCTTGTTTTCGCTTAAATGGTCAACTCCCTCCTGATTGGCGAAAACATATGCCCAGCTTTAGGGGCATCCGCGACACTGCGAATAATATTGCAAAGAAGGCAGCTTTGTGCTTGCCCGACATGGTGTTGGGCCCCTAAAGTCAATTGTCGGAGGATCCATCACACCATTGCTCTCTCAGCAACTGAATTGATTGGGACACGTCCCAGCCAGTTCTTGTCTCCACTGTCTTCAACAAGCTCTCCGCAGCTTCCTGATCTTGCCTGTGTCGAAGTATCCAGCCCCCTACGGATTGATGGCCAGGTTAGAAGGCAATTATATGGACGGGGGACAACATCCGCATGGGGGTAACGTAGTGACACTAATAGAGAAGAGGGTTGCTCAAGACTCACAGGCAACTAAGCTATGCCGTGCCGTGAAAAGTGTGTTTTCAGCCTTCGTATTTGACTGGGCAAGACCAAGGATAGTAAGAAGGTGGCTTCGGATAATTTTCTAAGTAAGGGCTTAGTGGCGATACGATTCTTCAACAGCACAACCTCAGATTTGGAAAGACCAACCTCTATATTTCGTGAATGCCTAAAACGCTCGTATGCAAGAGGAGGGCTCGGGCAACAGGCCAATGCAAGTATGATTTTAGCGATATGATAATACTGAACGCCTATCACTAGAACACACATATGTGAGCTGACGACACTAACCAAATCTCAAACTGAGGACAAACCGTGAACGGGCAGCAACATCCAAACCCCCGGGAATCGTCTATGCACCTCACTATTACGGGGAAGGTATTGGATCGGCTCGAATGTGCGTGGCTTACTGATGTTCCAGTCCTCGATTTCCTCACCAATGCCTTCTAGTAAAGCAGTGTTGACAGTGCGATTGTAATCGAAAGCGTATTTGAGGACCTTAGCTAGAAGGAAGACCATTCTACTCGCCCAAGCAAAATCGTCCTTCCGGCAGAAGACATCCGAATTGCTGAAGCGATGCAAATCCGTTCGCAACGGTTGTTGTGAAGTGAGTGATATGTATATATCCTCGCGCAGACATAACCAAGCTGCTGCCTCACCTAGGCCCCCTGTTGATTCGAATGACGATACCGTATTCAAAATGCGGGTCGTTCCAGTCAAATGGAATTGATTGTCCTCGCCTAGATCGAGTAAGTCTGGAGTAGATATATGTGGTATATTTAAACATACAGTCCATTTCCTCATGCTGCCGGAGAATTGCAACTGCGGCAAGGACGGTATCTGTGATGCTGTCTTTCGGGCCAGACAGGACAGGGATTAGAAGCTGGAGACAGCGATTATGATACTCTAGGGCCTCAGACATGTCTTTCGATCTCTGTCTGTCTATATGTCGAGAGGAGAATGCAAAAATTGCAAAGCGTAATACAGGATCCTCGAGTGCTCTCAGTGGGACTTCAATCTCGAAATGTCGTTGGGAATCAGTGATATCAGCCTTCGGACCCATCAGTATGTTCTCTTGCAGCTGCAACAAACTGCTCTTTATTTGTATATTGTGGTCCACTCACCCAAAGAGCCATATTGTCGACATAATTGCGCATAAGCGTGGCCTCTCTTTCACTGAAAGAGGAGCCCCGAGCGTCAATATCTATCTCCTCATGCCAATTCCCATTCGGCGATGAAGATAAGCTAGACCTATGATCGTGATTATGATTGACGGGTGTCTCTGAGTTGTGGGGAGCTGCCGCGTCACCGGACGAACAATTAGTCAGAGCATGTAGAAAAGAAGCTACCAAAAAAAATAATGCGAGGGATTGGAGAGTTTTACCAGAAGGCTGTGGCATAGAAGGGCCAATAGATGTTCTATTCACGGAGGCTGGCTCCGATACCGAGAGCCCAAGCTGATGAGGACTCGGGTATGGGTTAATTAGGGGACCATGACTGGAATTGCATAATAGCTCTGAGTCCCCATGCCGACGAATGGACGTATCTGGGCCTTGTTCACAATATAGTTCTCTGATGGCGACTGTTTCATCGTGATATTGAACTTTAAACAAAGTTAGTCTGGGTGGGTATGCAGCTCTAGAGACCGCTATCACTCACGCGGCCCTATTGGACGTGGCCAAATGCCTCGCTCTGGGAATACAATGTCGGGGTCATTGTCCAGATCTAAACCATTACGAAACCTCACATTAAAGCTTCTATCGCAATCGATGCCAGCCTGCTTACAGCGGTAGCAAGCAGGTAAATGAAGGTCACCTATAAATCGAGTGAGGAAAAGGCCAAGTAAATCATTAGTCGGTATAGTGTACGTACATTTGAGATGACGAACTAGGACAAAGCTCAGGTTAGCGCTGTTATCCAATATCGACTTTCGCCTTACCCCTGCATCTCCGGCTAGAACGTCAGTTAGCTTAGGATATTTGCAGATGGGTGGGCTGAAAAAGGCACGGTTATTGGGCAATTAGTACCACACACTGACTAGACGGCTCCTCTTTTCGCGAACTGGAGTCATGGTTCCAAATGAGAACGAGGAACGGAGAAAATTGCCAGGCATTGAACTGAGTTGAATTACCTTCCATAGATTTTCCCCCACAGGCACTTAAACCCCGCGTAGGCATTGGGGGAATTTGCGGGGGGGAAACCCCAATTTTGAGAAATTGACTGCCTGAGGCGTCAGTCCGTTCCGGTATGAATGGGAGGGAAAGTATTTCCATTCCGCAGGCGCAAAGGAAACTCTTTCCGTACATACAACTGTAAGGAAACTCTCAGACAGGAAAGCTTTTACATTCAAGTCTCCATTAGCCAACAATGCATAACAGACGGATATTCTTGCCTTATGACAAAGATGCACAGTTTCTCAGTCTGATTTCTCCTTGGACCTCAGGGTATATAAGGCACGCAAAGGTGCTCTCTAAATGGCAATAGTCAGCTTAGCAATTCGTCTCTGAACGAGTATCTCCTTTCTACTATCTCATATAATCTACTTGCTTTATTCAATTGACGGATCATCAATTGTCACTCCTATCTGGAATGTCGTCTATTAAGATGTCCGTCCACAAGCTCAAAGTTGGTATGGCTGGTCTGGGCCGCGTAGGCAAGATCCACGTCCTTAACTTTTTGCATCACACTCCTCGTGCTGAGCTCGTTGCGGCCTTTTCCCCCGATCCTGCCGAGATCGCTTGGGGTAGGCAGAATTTGGAGCCGTACGGCGTGACTCTGTACGATAACTACGACAAGATGCTCGAGCATCCCGGCTTAGCGGCGGTAGCCATTGGCACAGCGACATCAGTTCATGCTGAAGAGACCATGAAGGCTATCGACCATGGTCTGCATGTCCTCTGTGAGAAGCCATTGTCAACGGACATTGAAGTGGCAAGTACCGATCTTCGGTGTTGACCTATAGCTTTATCTCAAGGTGTGTATTAACGTATTCTACAGTGCAAAGCAGTCGTGCGGAAAGCAAAGACAAAGCCTCATCTCAAAGTCATGTGCGGCTTCTCTCGGCGGTTCGATGAATCCTACCGTGAGGTTCACGATAAGATCAGTCAAGGCTTGATTGGCCGACCTTCAATTGTTCGAAGCCAGACATGTGACAAGTTCGATCCCTCAGGGTTCTATGTTGCATATGCAGCATGGTCTGGAGGTGTCTTCGTCGATATGTCAGTCCACGATATTGATCTTACTCTGTGGTATTTCGGCGATGATTCAGTCCCCAAGAGCATTTCCGCCCACGGAATTACCGCTGTTCAGCCAGAACTGAAGAAGTACAACGATTATGACAATGCAGTAGGGATTGTCGAGTTTCATAACGGTAAAATTGCCTATTATTATTGTTCACGTATGATGCCGCACGGCCAGGAAGACACGACAGAAGTTATTGGCACTGAGGGCAAATTATCTGTGAACGTCAACCCTCAACGCAACTTTGTCAACTTCTACCACTCCGGTGGTATCACTCGAGAAGTCCCTAGTAACTTCATCGGGCGTTTTGGGGCTGCTTTCGTCAAGGAAGCGAATGAATTTACCGCTGCTTGCCTAGACGACACACCGCTCCCAATTAAACTGACCAACGCAGTCAAAGCTGTGGAGATTGGTTCCTACCTTCAAGAAGCTCTAGTCACTGGGAAGCAGATTCACTTCGACGAGATTGGAAGGAGGATTGAGAAGCCTAGCCTGTGAAAGTGGGCACGCATCACTATTAGTGAAAACTGCTTTGGTATTTTTATCAACATATACTCTCATTCCCTCTCAATGTATTCACCCTTATGCCCATGGTACCTAGGGCTGTGTGTGTATATACCTAAACACTATAGGGCTAGATCTAGCCTTATATGGTGCCGAAGACCACTAGCAATATAACCCTTCATTCTTAAGGTCTCTTCGCAATTGGTTGAACTGGAGTATCTTAGATCCTACTACCTACTCCTTTATTACGGAGATCGGCATGTCCATCAAGTGGTGACGGATCACCTGAATGACGAAACCGATCGACAAGTCCGTTGGAATCCATCTACACCTACTGATTACCGACTTACAACTTCGTTTGCTTTGCTCCTATTACCTTAAGTGAATATCTTTGTAAGAATTAAACATCAAGATATCTACTCAAGTATGTGCCTTGATCTTTCGAAATCCTTTAGACATCAGTACGTACTCTACTCACAGCGTTCCTCTATACTTTCGCACGAGCGAGATTCCATAAATTATCGGCCAAGATTACCCCTCCTATCCCCGGGCAGTTCGAAATCCATACCTCTCGACATGGATGCCCAGCGATCAGGTCAAGACTTTGCCGTACGCCGAGCCTCTTTTCTGGGCTGGGCAAAGTCTTACCTGGTAGGTAATGGCGCCGGTCGATGGTCAGACATGTAGCTTGATGGGTGAGAAGAAATCAGATGATGATATTCTCCCGGCTGTTGTTTCAAGCGCGGATTATACGTCTACTCATTCGGTATTTACACTATCTGCTGGCTTGGCGACTTCCACTCTAGATTTCTTCTTGCCTGTATCTCCCAATTATCTTCGGCAGTCTCTCCCTTTCAGTAAGATATACTTGCCATCAATGGCTTGTGCTAACGAAATTGGTAGCTGATACCATAGATTGTAGGCTGCTTGACTGTCTCTGTATCCGCCGCTTCTGCCAACAACATTCAGGTCTACTCCAGCATCGATGGCCGATGGCGGGGGAAACAAGAAAGCATTGAGCGAATATTTCAGAACAAAGAGAGCACTGCCGTTTCCCCCTAGCAGTCAAGAACACTACCCTGTACGAAGAACATGATGATATGGCAGTATGGGGCGAGGCTATTTTTGCAACTCGTCTAACTTCCACGTCTACGCTCTCTTTTGCATCTGGAAATTTGAAAACACAAGCTCCCAGTTTGTCAAAATAGGGCGGTTGAATGGTAATGGTCCTTGGCTTCCAGCAGGGGGGGTTGTCTCTCTATCTCATGGCCTTGGGACAATTGCCAACACCCAATCCGTGAGGTTTGCTGTTGGATATGTAAGAGAAGAGGCGGTTGATCATCTCGGAACACCATATACAGGATATTACAGGGCCAGCTACCCAGGAACACTTGAAGCAGCCGCCTACTTTCTGGACGACTAATTGGATGCTTTCCAGGAATCGTTGAGCCTCGACTTAAAACTGTCTACTAGAGCCAAAACAATCGTAGGCTAAAAAGTATGCGGACATTGTTGCTCTATCGACCCGTCTGGCTTATGGGGCCTATTTACATGACCATCCCCAATCATCCCCTTGATACAGATAATACGCTAGCGTTCATCAAAGATCTCTCTAGCAATGGCAACCTGAATACTGTTGATGTTATATTATGCCCGCCTTCCCTGTATATTACGTCATGAACCCTGACTACATTCGATTGTTGCTGGAGCTGATGATGGGATACCTTACTGCAGGGCGTTAGCAAGAGTTCACGACATGGGTGCTCACTATCCTAATGCAACTGATCAGGGTAACAAACAAGCCGAACCATGCCCATCGAAGAATGCGGTAACTTGATGGTCCTGACATTAGCGTATGTGCGCGCTATCGGTTATAGAGAATGGACAGCCAAGTATCAAGAACTCATGAGGCCCTATGCTACCTGGTCGACAACGGTATCGACATCGCGGAGCAGTTTTATCTTCTAATGATGCTGCGGGTGCTCTAGCGAATGAAACGGACTTGGCCTTTAAGGCCGCAGTCGGCATTAAGGCATTCGGTGAATTGACTGGACTTTCCAAGTATTCTTGCATTAGCAAGGAGCGTGCAGACCTCATCTACAATCAAGGTCTATTATACCAATGAACAAAAGGCACATTTCGTGCTGCAGTATCCCGAGAATCTGGCCTTCTCGAAGATTCCATATAACTTATACCCAGATATCCTACTTGGTCTTGAGACTTTTCCTCAAGAGCCTCACAAGATGTCGAGCACATTTTTCAAATCAGTCCGAGCAGAGTATAGAGTCCCTCTTGATCACCGTCAAGACTAGACCAAATTCGATTAGAATACGTGGCTGGCGGCCACATTTGATTCGGACACCCGAGATGAATTTGTTGAAGACTTGTGGGAGTTTATGACCAACTGAAAACACAATAGGCCGCTCTCTGATCGTTATGTTGCCACATCAGCGAAAGGAACAAGTCCTGAGGTACCGATCCTATGTCGTGCTCAGCCCACAGTGGGTGGGCGTTTCGCAATGATGGCTTTAAATGGGCCCAGGTCTCTTCGGAGCATTACACCCGGTTCTACGGAATTATCTAAGACTGGGGATGCAGAGTTGTTGGAGATGCAAAGGGAGGAGTCATAGTGCTACAATATATTGTTAGAGCCGCTGGAATATACCGTCTGTAGTGTTCTCGTCCCAATGAGACTAACATTATGACCTTTTTGTATAAAATCTACCCATTAGCAGTTCTCGATTTAGAATAGTGAATGAAGGGTCAGACATGTATATAAAAAGTAGGAGGAATGGACAGTTAAGTGAAGCCATCTATCAAGCCATATTAGTTGTCTCCCGAGACATCGTTAGGACTGCGAAATTAATTCCCACACTCCCTTGCGCTGTGGTATTGATTGATGTTGATCTTTTCTTTCAGGCATCAAGGGAACCAAGGGCCCTTGGAGATTACATAAGCTGTCGTGGCCTCAGGTTCGACACCGTCTGTGACACTCGTCCCGAGAGAGTTTCGCTGCATCCAAACTGCTTCGCCGCTGTGTTTAGCTTTCCTTCTCCCTGTTCCCTCGCCGTTCTGTCTTTTGCTTCTTCTTTCTCTCTCCCTCTTTTTCGCTTTATCGCCACCTACTAGCCTTCCTCTCTTCATCTTCCGCCCCTTGACCAGAATATCCTCATGGCTTCTGTATGTATTCCCTCCGTTTGACTTCTCCGCCATTTCTCTCCCGTGCAGATAGCTGGCCAACGTCATGGCTCGCCCACCACGCGTTTGCACGCGCCAACAGAACAAGCATCTCTGCTAACACTTCTGTGCTCCTCTGATAGCCCCGTCCTCCTCATAACTTCGGTCCGCAAGGCTATCCCCTCCCTAACGGTGCTACTGGTCCCGTACCTGGCGCCACCCCTCTTCTGCCAAACAATGGCCGAGTCATTCAGAACGGCCCCGTCAGAGTCTTGTGCATTGCGGATGTTCGAGGTAAGCTTCCCCAATATATACTTATGGAGATTGATGATAAGAGAGGCACTGAGCTAACTGGGCTTTCTTTTTTCCGTTTGTGTTACGTAGGGAATCTGAAGTCTCTGAATGAGCTGGCCAAACAGGCCCGTGCAGATCATATCATCCACACTGGTGATTTCGGTTTCTACGATGACACATCATTGGATCGGATCGCGGAAAAGTGAGTAATACACTTGAAGCTCGAGCTTTATCTGCGGATCAGATTACGTAGGTGCTTTACTGGAATTGAATTCACTGACCGTTGGATATCCAAAAATTAGGACCTTAAAGCATGTGGCCCAATATTCTCCACTGCTTCCTGAAAATGTGAAGCGGACCATCGCACAGACACCCCCTCAGCAGTCCATTAAGCAAAGATTCACTCCGGATCAGCTACCCCTCTCAGAGCTTTCTATGCTGCTTGATAAGCGGCTCACGCTTGATGTCCCGGTATACACTGTCTGGGGTGCCTGTGAAGATGTTCGAGTGCTGGAGAAGTTTCGCTCTGGAGAGTACAAAGTCAATAATCTTCATATCATCGACGAGGCCAATTCACGCCTGCTGGACATTGGTGGCGTCAAGCTTCGTCTGCTAGGGTTGGGAGGTGCCGTGGTCATGCACAAGCTGTTCGATAACGGCGAGGGCAAGACCACCATTGCCGGTGGCCAAGGCACCATGTGGACGACTCTACTGCAGATGGGCGAGCTAATTGACACAGCAAACCGCGTGTACGACCCATCGGAAACCCGTATCTTCGTCACGCACGCCTCACCCGCCCGTGAGGGAATGCTGAACCAGCTATCCGTGACCCTGAAAGCTGATTTCTCTATCTCTGCCGGTTTACATTTCCGCTACGGCTCGTCCTACAACGAATTCTCCGTAAACCCCTCCCTGGATCACTACCGAGGCAAGCTGGCCGCATCGAAGGCTTCCTTCAACGATGTCTGGGAGACAGTGCGCAGTGAGGTCGAGTCTGCAATCTCCTCGAACGAAGCCCAGAAGACACTCCTAGACAATGCCCTGGATGTGGTGCAAAAGATGCCTACTATCGCTAACGGTGGGAACCCATTCGGCGGACCTACCGGCCCCGGAAACGCCGCTGGTCAGGTCGACGAGAGTGCTTTCAAGAACATGTGGAACTTCAACCTTGCGGATGCAGCGTTCGGATTCCTGGTCCTTGAGATCGAAGCTGGCCGTATCGCGACGGAGATGCGCGCCCAGGGTTTCAACTTCGCCCACCGAAGCGGCAAGGGTCCTGTGCCTGCTGTTGCTGGACAGCCCAATCCTCCTATTCCCACCGGTACCCCTGGTGTGGCTTCCCCGGCAGCCCGTGCCGCTGTTCCTCAATTCGGCCAGGCCCAGCCCGTTCCCGGACGTCCTGCCGCCCCTCAGCAACAACAGCCGCAGCCTCAGCCTCAGCAGGGACAGGCCAAGGCTCCAGCTGCGGCCCCCGCTCGCACTTCTCCGGTCCCTGTTATCCCTAAACCGGCAACCCCTCAGCCTTCTGGCCCGGCCGCCTCCCAACACGCTCCTACTTCGCCCGAGAAGGTTACGGCTACCGAGGCCAATGGCACTTCACAGCCCGAGAGGCCATCTGAGTCGCCTATGCCCCGCTCTGAAAAGAAACAGAGCAACGGACTGTTTGTTTCGAACGTTGAGAATGAACAGGCGGTTCGTGATCTGTTCCCGGAGGAGGATAAGGCGAAGATGACTAAGGTCGATAAATGGGGCAAGTATAATCACGTCGTGATGTTCAACACTGTTGAAGAGGCTAAGGCTGCGCTCGATCGGCAGCCTCTGGAGCACAAGAAGCCTACACCTCCGGGTCAACCTCGCAAGCCCAACATCAAGTTCTTTGAAGACCGTGGCAGCCACCGTGGCAATGCTGGCACGTGGCAGAGCAGCAACCGCGGAGGAAACACTTCCCAGCGTGGGTACCAGAGCGGCGGTGCTAGCGACAGTGAAGGAGGACGGGGTCGTGGTGGATTCAGCGGACGTGGCCGCGGCCGAGGCGATCGTGGTCGGGGCGGACGCGGTGGTCGTGGTGGATTCAACAAGGGAGGACCTGCATCTGACTCGCCTGCTCCATCGTCATCGACGCCATCCGGTGAGAAGCCCGCTGCAGCTGGCGATGCTTAAGCTCGACTGAGTCGGTTTAACGCGTTTCTTTGTTGCTTTTGTGTTGAAAATTATTTACGCTTTTTTTTTTATTTTATTTTATTCTATTTTTTTTTTTTTTTT